TCTGTCATATAAACAAATACACATTCCATATGAATATAAAAACACAATGTGTAACATTATGTTCCTTTATTGAATAAGGACAAAACAAAGCAGGTAAACCATCAGCTCCTTTCGAAACTGAAGTCACAGTGACTCTACAAGATGGAAAGCACAGAATCCAAGCATATTATACAAAATGATACATACACATTCAAAGGTCTGTATATAACACACCCTGCATGTCTGCACACTAAAATAAATGCAGGACAAATCCATACACATCAACTGAACAGACAAATGAATGGATGCAGTAGCCTCCCTGCAGCCTTGTATTACACACAGTATACCGCACAAACATCATAAGAGGCCAAATTCGTAAAAAAACGAACCCAAAAAAACCCAAATTCCTCTGCCACCGCAGGACATATTTAACCAAAATTGAAAGCACACATACTAACTAAAATAATTCAACACATATTGGTCCCTCAGCAGCCGACCACTGTCGTCATCAGGGAAGATTGCCGGATTGTCCCAGTCCATGGCTGGTGGCACTCTGGGGGCCCTCTCCTTCCTCAGGCAGGCCACATTGTGGAGGACAGCACAAGCCACAGTAATATCACATGCCCTAACAGGGCTGACCCTTAATTTGTGAAGGCAGTGAAAGCGTGTCCCTTTAGGAGGCCAAAGGTCATTTCAACTCTGGCCCTGGTCCTGGCATGGGCATGGTTGTAGGCCTGCTGTGCTTCCTGGGGGTCTGTGAAAGGTGTCAGGAGAAAAGGCTGGCAGCCATACCCCCTGTCTCCCAGCAACACACCAGAGAATTCACCTGTCAACACAAAATCTCATCATTACTACCTCATAAACACAGTGATATTCTTGACACAGCCATGATGGTTATAAATAGGGGTTGTGTGGCTTACCTTGTGATAGGCACTGATAGATTTCAGAGGCCCGAAAGATTCTGGAGTCATGGACTGAGCCAGGCCATTTTGCCACAACATTGCTGATCACACAGTCAGCATTGCAGACCATCTGAAATCATAAGATGAGGAATATTACACCAATCAATGCACATCACTGGCAATGCAGAGTGTTCGTCAATGGACAATATCAAAAAGTTATGTTCACCTGAACATTAATGCTGTGAAAGGATTTCCTATTCACAAAATCGGCCTCATGGGCACCTGAGGGGGCTTTTATCCTTATGTGTGTGCAGTCCACTGCACCAATGACATTGGGGAAACCTGTCACACAAAGTAATGAGTATCCTACTATGTGTTAACAGTTGTCCTGTAATTTGTAGATCCTCTTACCTGCAATCCTATAGAACTCCTCTTTGATGTCACAGAGTCTTCTGTGGCCAGGGAAGGAGATGAAGACATCTGCTAATGCTTTGATAGCCAGACACACACTCCTTATTGTGCGGCAAATTGTGGCCTTGTTCAGCTGTTCTGCATCCCCCACTGAGTACAGGAAGGCTCCACTAGCAAAAAAGCGCAAGGCCACACAAACCATTTGCTCCACACTCAGTGCATGGCTCCGTGCAGTGCGGTGCTTAATCCTGGGACCCAGTAGTCTGCATAGATACCTGATGCCATCTGCAGAAAACCTGTATCTTTCATATAGATGGTCATCAGGGAAGGCCAGTGGGTCCAACCGGTCCCTGAAGACCCTTTCTCGCCTGAAGGCTCTCCTCAGCACAAGTGCTTCTTCATCCACCACATCTCGCACGAATGGGCATGCCATTGTCAGAGCAGAAAGGAACACACAATTTTGGGCCTTCATATAGGCTAGTGGCCACACCTGGTGCTGGGGGGGTGGGCAAAAGAGGGCGATGCCTTATAACGATGACTTGGTTGTACTGATTGCTGGGAAAATAAAAAAAACCTTAGAAAGATGCCACCGTCCTGTGTGCTCACAATAAGAGCTCATATGTCATGGCTCACTTGACTTTACGAGAATATACCTAATTTTTATTTTGAGCTGTGTCATCTTCTTGGAGCTGGGGGAGGAAAGAAAAATAATGATTAATACATTTGTGTTACAGTTAGCATACAGTGTACATTGAAGGCATATCTCACCTCCCTCTCAAGTTTTTTTATTTCAAGGTCCAGTTTCCTAATTGTCCTCTTTTTTATTTCGGACTCCAGTGCAAGATTTTCCATCTTTTTCTTCTTGTACTGAATGTCTATGTCTGCCAGTTCTATTTGGCGCCGGAGGTGGTTGGCATACAACTTTCTGATAGCTTGTGAGCTCTGTGAACACAATACAATTAGCGCAGCTGGAATTTGGCAGGATGTGGTGTCCTTTTATTAATACGCACTATGTTGCCAGGCTGGTTTTCCCACTGTATAGCATCTGGGTCCTGTAAAAGAAATTAGATTTTTTGATTTTGATGAGGACTCCTCACCATTGTAGAGTAAATAGTACTTTCACAGTCTTAACATGATACCTCATGCCTTCTGGAATCCAGAGAGATGGTCTCCTCCTCATCATCGTCTCCATCATGAGCTGTTGCTGCTGCACTGGGGCCTTCACCCTATCACATTTAATCGGATTCATATTGAAGCTAGTAGACAAGACATGCCAGGCCTACAGTATGCCTTTGATGGAGTACTCACTGGATCAGCATCGTCTGGTGCTTGTGCTGGTGGCTCTAACAGGAACACAGTGCTGCCAGACACTGCAAGGCAATAGGTAAACCAAAGTCAGACAGTCCAAATTGATTCAATATGAATGTGGTTGTATCCCATGTAGAGATGGAAGGACATACCTTGAATGAAGCGGGTGGCATCTTGGGAGGAACCTATGCTCGTCTCTTTCCCCCCAGGGATCCCCTCTAAGACGGGCCTGCCTTTATTTAGCTCCAAGGCCATGTCCTCTGCTGGGGTAAGGTCAGCCTTTGGTGACCCACCACCCGTGCCTTGTCTGTGGGTATTCTTTTTCACTGCTAAAACAGTACAGACAATGTGTGAGCAGGCACCTTCTGGGTACAATATATGCTTGTGCTTTGTTAAATATTAGTCAGGGACCATACCATTCTGCAGAATGTTCTTGTATTTGATTTTGACCTGCTGCCATGTCCGTTTTGGCCCGTTCATGTTTAATCTACACACACACACACACACACACACACACACACACACACACACACACACACACACACACACACACACATTTAATGGAGTCACACTGCAAAAAATTACTTGGTATTTTTGTCTTGTTTTCAGTAAAAATATCAAAAAATGTATCATAGCTTTATACAGTGTGATGGAGTTACTTTACACAATTTCACTCATATCTGCAGTGCATTTCAATTAAAAATTTAACCGTTTCATAATTACAGTACAACTGCATTTTTGGAGATGTGAATTAAATATTTGAATTGTAATTGTGATGTTTCAGCGGAGCGGTGAGTGTGTAATTGTGCACTACTTACGCATTCAGGCGGTCTGCAATACTTTGCCACGCTTTTTCTCTTTGCTTTATCACTGTGGCGGTGTTGCCTTTCTTCTTAATTATATATTTTACCTCCTCGTATGCCTCCATGAGGATTTGTGCTTCCGACGGGGAAAAGTACGCGGCTCTAGTTGCCATGGTAAATCAGTTAATCTGTGATCTGTGGCGGGGTCTATTTGAGTGAGCCGTGAGCGCGCACCTATCCAGGATTGGTTTCACCTGGCTTAATGAATCCGTGTCTGCTCATCCTGGCTTGGTCTTTGTGCAACCAATTAAGCCTGGACGCACATGTTTTGGCTTCATTGAGCTCAGCTGAGTCATTTATCCCGGATGTCTTAATTCTACTTTTGTGCAACAGGCCCCTGGCCTTGGTGGACCTCATCTGTTTACTTGAAGGAAGAGGCTTGAAGAGCGGATTGGCTGTTTTGTATTCTAGGGACACAAGTGAATAGACTGGACCCTGGTTTTATGGACACACTATAGATTGTTTTGCCTGTGCAGTGCAATATTTGTATCGTAGAGTGTCCAATGGCTCCATATTAAGTCATTTGACGTTATTTGTCAGGCAAGCCATATGCATTTTTTGGCACAGGTCAAGGCCAGTGGGCTGATTTAAATGTGTAAAAGGCGCAACTGGCTCATCATCATTAGGTTATAGGTCGTTTACAGCAGGATTTCCTGAACTCGGTCCTGTGCCCCCCTGGGTGCACGTTTTGTTTTTTGCCCTAACACTACACAGTTGATTCAAATAACCAACTCATTATCAAGCTTTGATTATTTGAATCAGCTGTGTAGTGCTATGGTAAAAAACTAATAGTGCACCCAGTGGAGGCCCCAGGACCGAGTTTGGGAAACCCTGGCTTACAGGTATGCCAGTCCATCATTGTTTACATTGTGTCTTAAACTAATCTCACCTATAGGCCTACAGTGTATTTGTACAAATGGCTGTGAAGTATTTGTAGTTAATCATTTTCAGTAATGTTAGTTCATTATATCAGAGCTGTAGCTCCACCCACTGGTGAAGTGGAGCAGAGCATGCTGGGCGATATCCAGCTTAGAGATGATCAGCTCGAGAAAAGTCAAGTGAGAGAAAGTTCCAGCCATCCTCTTGTTTTCCCAACAGTTAGCTTTCATTGTGTTAGCCAAGGCCGGTGTGCGTCCTTGTTGATATACCACACACACACACACACTTTGGTTGAAGCAAGTTGCCAGACCACTAAGTGCCTTAGCCCATCCATACTACATACAATGTGCTGTGCTGTTCCGTCCCTGTGCATATTCAGCGTTATTAAACCACCTCAACTGGAATCCTACCTGTCTGTCATCTGTGCCCTTACCAGCACACAGGAGGGAACACATAAAGTAAAACCTAATCTAAATAATATACAGTCCATCAAGTCCTCACTTACATTGTGGTCCGTTCGGACCGGATAAAGGTGCAGCGAGTTACCGGTGAAGCCTGGACCTGGTCTGATCAGCCAAGGCGCCAAGCCTCACCTTATCCATGTTATGGTAGCACAGCACAGTATGTACATGGGCAAGAAGACGACCTTCAGCCTCGCATGGAGGGAGCTGCCAAGATGACACCCCTCACTCCACCCAGTCCCTTCCTCTCCAGCCAGGCCAGATGGGACACAACTCCAGATGAGTGGGGGACCTTCAGAGAGTACAGGTCCGTCCTAAACCCCCCATCTGACCCACGAGAGCAGAAGGATGAGCCACAGTAAGCAGAGTAAGGAGCAACATAGAGGTCTGTCCATGGTCTACAACAGTCACTGGGAACACAGGAAGCGACCTACAGAGCATGAGCTAGTGAGTACATCGAGCAAGAGAGAGCCCAGCTGCGGCAGTCCCAGCAAGCTATGCAGGTCAGGCTCACTCAGCTACGTGAGCAACAAGAAGAGATGGTACAGCTCTCCGAGACACTCCGCTCCGTGCTGCCACAGCTCACTTCCCAGTCTATAGCTAGTCTCTCTCCCACTAAGCCAGCCCCTACAGAGCCCTCATCCCGAGGTATCCTTCCAGCAGATAGAGTTCTGCTGGCACCACCACTGCCTGCGTTAGAGCTGGTTGAGCATATGAAACCATCACCCAACGAAGAAGATACGGCTTGCGATGGACAGTACGACAACAGTGAGTGGCCTGACCCCCCAATGTGGCCTCCAGCATTTGATGAGTCACTACTGCCGTGTCATCAGAGTGACACTCCAAGCCTACAGTGCGGCTACCAAGAGCCTCCTTCAGCAGCTATGAGTTCCCTCAGTCCCGGCGCTCACTCCACCTGTCAGGAGGCTACTCCTCCACCAATGGTCCAGCTAAGAGACATACCTACCTGTCAGCTCCCAGACACTCCCAGTGTGGAGTACCAGCCCGTTGACGGTGCCAGGGTGTGTCTACCCGTCCCTGCCATTGGTTCTCAGTTTGCCCTCAGAATGGGTATCCAGCCTGTTCCTGACAAGGTGTTTCAGTCTGCCACCACGAAGGACCCATCAGTCAACAGTAGCATACCCATCAGTCAACAGTAGCCTGCAGCCAGCCACTGTTCCAGAGTTGCCACCCGATCCTGCTACAGAGCCGAAGTTAATCAACGAGGTGGACTCTTCAGTTGCTCCGGCTACAAAGCATCAGCCAGGAGTAGCCACGGTGGTGCTCCAGACCAACATGGTGCTACAGCCGTCTTCGGTCACAGGGGCTCTGCCTACCCCTGTCCTGGAGCCCAGACCAGCTACCACAGATGGGGCCCAGTCTGCCCCTTCCCCAGGGTTACTGCTGATCCCTACAAAGCTAACCCATTCTTCCCTCAAGTTCCTGTATGCCACTGATTATGGGGCCGAGCCTACCTCCTGCTCCAGTCTCCTGCCTGTTCCTGCTATAGGAGCTCAGCCTACCCGTCAAATCAGACTCACTGTCTGCCAGGCATGAGGAGCAGCCTTCTCCACCCACGAGGGTCCAGCCTGCTTCCGTCATAGTAGACCCAATGCCTCCTACCCGGGCAGCCCAGCTGGACCTGAAAGTACAACCTGGCCCTGTCTTCAGATCACCAGCTCTTGCAACAGAGAGCCATCGTGTTGCAGCCACAGGCCCACAGACCGCCGTTGATGCAGATCATCAGCCAGCATCTCCCTGGTTGCCACCAGCCGCAGCCCAGGGATCCACAGCCCCTGTCCCAATATCGCTGCCACCAGCTGCAGCCCAGGGGCAACCACCTGGCTTTACACTAGGAGTCATCCCTTTTTCAGTTAGGGGGGCTTCACCAGAAGCCAACGACAAGCCCCCACCAGCTCCTGATGAGGAGCCCAGTTCATCTCTAGCCACGGGCCCTCCACTTGGCCCTGTCTTCCAGACACCGGCTGCCCATGCAGTGTGGTTCATACTTACCTCAGCACAAACAGACCAGCCCAGCTCTGTTGGGGAGCCCCCACCTGGTCTTGAGTGGGAGCCCTCTACGGGGGCCGCTTCAGCCTCCACCCAGAGTTCCCATCCAGTCCTCGCCAGCAAGGTCCTCTCCGATCCTGTGGGGGAGCCTCAGCTTGCTCCTCGTCGGAGACCTTCAGCGACGCCTCCTGAGAGGCCAGAACTTGACCCTGACTTCTGGGCCCTTCAGGCCTCTGCCCTGCAACCTCCGCTAGTCCCTGCCTGTGATGTCCACCCTGGCTCAGTCGGGGAGCCCCAACCTGCCAGTCGTCGAGAACCCTCTGCAGCTCTAGCTCAGGGTCCACAGTCACACCCTGCCTGGGGAGCTCTGCTGCCTTCTCTGGAGAACGCGCCTGTCCCTGCTGTGAGACCTCAGCTCAGCCCGATTATCAGCTCAGATCTGGCTCCTGACCCTAAGACTCAGTTTCCCCTCGTCTGGAGGTCCTGATCCGGTTGGGGAGTCTCACAGAGCCCTTTACGCTGTCCGCCATAGAGCTATTACCTGGCCCTGCTCTAGGGATCAAGCCAGCTCCTGCCAATGGTGCCCAGAGCGCTCCCTCTTTCGAGTCTCAGACTGTGTCAGCCCCAGAGACTGTTTCCTCTGATAAGTTTGCCCATAGTACAGATTTCCTGCTGGTAGCCCCAACAGCCTCTGATAGTCAGTTGCTGGAGACCTGTTGGACCATGTAATAGGACCTGTCTGCTAGCCTTTACTTGCCACAGTGTCCTGCACTTGGTTATTAGTCAGGCCATGTTGCCAGGCCTTTAGGTGCCCCTGTCCTTAGCTCCCCAGTCACCAGACACTCAGGTGCCCTATTAACTAATCAGTCTGGTGTTTCCCCTAATTTCCTGCCAGCTGACACCCTAGTAGTTTGGACTGTTTCCTGCTGTTAGAACAAATCAGTGTTCCATCAGTTACATGCACCCCTCTCCCATGAGGACATTCTCACCACAGTGTGCCCCTGATGGACTAAGTGTTCCTGCCCAGCTGTTACGGACAGCAGCTCTTCTACTCCACAAGAGCAGAGAACCCTTTGCATAATTTAAGTACTGGACTAGAGTTTATTTGATATTAGTGGTTATGCCTAGCGAGGCCCTCTATTGATGGGGCGGCTAGACACCCATGTCTGTTAAGTTTGGGTATGATATGTAAGTAAGAGTTAAGTAAGAGTTAAGATAGTCAAGTGAAGTATTGAGCCTTTCTTAGGAGTGAATTAACATAGTGAATTCAGGGGCGGCTGTACAAAAGGCTGTGAAGTATTTGTAGTTAATCATATCAGTAATGCTAGTTCATTATATCAGCGCTTTAGCTCCGCCCACCGGTCAAGTGGAGCAGAGCATGCTGGGCGATCTCCAGCTTAGAGAAGATCAGCTCGAGAGAAGTCAAGTGAGAGAAAGTTCCAGCCATCCTCGTGTTTTCCCAACAGTTAGCTTTCATTGTGTTAGCCAAGGCCAGTGTGCGTCCTTGTTGATATACCACACACACACACACACAAACACACACACACACACTTTGGTTGAAGCAAGTTGCCAGACCACTAAGTGCCTTAGACCATCCATACTACATACAATGTGTTGTGCTGTTCCGTGCCTGTGCATATTCAGCGTTATTAAACCACCTCAACTGGAATCTTACCAGTCTGTCATCTGTCGGGAGCACACGGGAGCGAACACATAAAGTAAAACTTAACCTAAAGAATATACAGTCCACCAAGTCCTCACTTACAGTATTGTACTGCAGTGAATGGAGTGGGTGAAGTAGAAAGTGTTGCTGGGTATTTACACCTCAGTCCCCCATAAAATAACACCATATATAGATTCTACAGACCATGGTGAGTTATCCCAACGCCACTCTTACTTTGGCACCTTTAATAGTTTTCTGTCTATAAGTAAATATGTAATTTATAGCCCTGTAGTGTATTGCATTGGGACCAATGGAGTGGGTGGAGTAGAAAGTGTTGCTGGGCATATAGACCTCAGTCCTCCATGAAATTAAACCATATATATACATTCTACAGACCCTAGTGAGTAATCCCAACCCCACTTTTACGTAGGCACCTAGAATAGTTCTCTCTAAAAGCCAATATGTATTTCATATACAGTGTATTGTGTCGGGGGCATTTATTTGACCTTGGAACAAATTTTAAAACCCACATTTAATGCAAATGTCACGTAAATATTAAAACATGAATCATTATTAATGTTTAGACAATTATTTTCCATATATCATGAATAAATACATGTTAATGCCACTTTTATACTATTACGTGGGTAACATTTATTTTTAAAATTTCCGAAATTCTGTGACCCGGAAATACTTTTGTAGTGTTGGTGACGAAAGGCTGGTAGCACCGAAGAAGAAACTGGAGCTACAGAGCTAGCAAGCTACTTGTTTTAGCCCACTATTTATGTTTAATCACTTCGTCCAACTTAGTCGTTGTCGAAATTTGAAGTGAACGTGATTCAATATATCCAATATACATCGCATGAGACTGTATTTATCGACTTTTAGTGCTCGCGAGCCAATCGTCCAAAGATGTCGGGTCGCCTTGAGTTCCAGACACAGCTAGCTTCCATTATGGAGGTATTGGCCAATGCAGCCGTGGCAGAAATCTGCAAACTGGTAGACGACGACTATGCGGTTGTAAGTTTGCAAATGTCACAATGCCAAAGGGAGAACAAAGGTTTGAAGCGAAAGCTGAATCTTCTCGAGCTGAAGATGGCCCGTGGTTACGCCGAGCGAAGGCTACGGGAAAGCGCAATGAACAGCCGACCCAACAGCAGAGTTCATATCAACACCAATGACAAATTCAGAGAGTCGTCTTTATCAACTGGTAAGAAGACTGTCAGTAATACCATACCATCTTAAATACTAGTTTATTTGATTACCCTGCTGATTAAAATAAAATAAAAACACCACTGGAAAACAGGGCAGGCTGACATGGCCAAAATATCGTAGAACGGTGTTTTAATTTTTGACGATATTTGACGGTTCTGAATAATACGTTCTAAATATGCTTTATAGGTAGTGCATTAAACACTTAAATGGTTTTAATGGGCTTTTTCCATTCTGATTGCTTTATACTGTTCAATCAAACTTCAGCCAAAAATAATAAGTGGTCAAAACTGACAGTAAAGTAGTCCTTTTTGTAGAACATTACATAGAAATCAAAATCCTATTTTGTAGCCTCAAACTCTGGTACTGTTTCTATTTGCATAGTTATTTGTTCACTTCCAGCATTAATTTCCAGCATTTTCATTAATTTCTTCATTTCCTGCAATAATTTTATCATTTGCACACTAACGTTTCTGTTAAAGTTTCCTTTATGACAATAATTGTTCTCCTCTTTCACTGTATTTTCGGCTTTAATTGCAGTTCTTACTTTCGCCACTAGGGGCAGTCGGCCGAATTCCGGGGCTCTATTTGGCAAGCTTGCCTTCGGTCATGTCTAGATGGGATACAGCTTTTGTCAAATTGATGTGAAAAGTTGTTTTTTTTTGCATTTTAGCTAACCCTATCCCAGGGGTCTCCAACAGGTAGGTAGATGATAGATCTCAAGCTACCAGTAGCTCACAGCCCGACGAGTAGTTCGCTAAGCAATTCTGAAAGTGCATGCATTTTTTTCATGTTCCATAGTAAACTGTCAAACATAAAGCTCCTCCCGGCTACTATCCAATCAAAGCTACATTATCCAACCCCTGGTTAGCCACTATTGGCATAAAAAGCCAAACGTAACACAATATCTGCCAATTGATTTCCAGCAGTATTGCTCGTCTGTCTGTTTGGTGCACGCATTTGTCTTATCACTCCGTAAGTAGCCAGTTAGTGATGCTAGTCATGATGACCATCTTGTGGGTAGACAAAGACTTTCCCAAAAAATCTTCTCAATTAATGTTAACTGCACAGTAGGCTTAACTGACAGAAATATATAATGATTATTTGTATCAATCGGGTGGGCCATTTTTGCAAACTCTGTCATGACGTGCTGCAACAGTAGGCCTAACATCGCTGTGGTCTGGTAGAGCACGGCGCTTGTAACGCCAAGGTAGTGGGTTCGATCCCCGGGACCACCCATACTCAAAAAAAAAAATTGTATGCACGCATGACTGTAAGTCGCTTGGGATAAAAGCGTCTGCTAAATGGCATATTATATTATTATTATTATCGCTAGACCGACACATTCCTCTTTGTCTAAATGCGCAATTAAAAGGGTATTGCACTCAAATCAAAATGTGTTCGTTTTTTTCCCCAGACCTCAAAATTGTTATTCTGATGGGATTCAAGCATTGACATGGATTCAGAACATCAGTTTCTCTATGAATAATTGTACTATTGAGAAAAATATACTTTTATGGGGCCTTATTGCTTGTTTATTTAAGCAATAAGGCCTGAGGGTCTGTGGCATATGGCGGATATACCACAGCTAAGGGCTGTTCTTATGCACGACCCAATGCGGAGTACAGCCCTTAGCCGTGATATATTGGTAATATACCACAAACCCCCCGAGGTGCCTTATTGCTATTATAAACTGGTTACCAACATAATTAGAAGAGTAAAAATAAATGTTTTGTCATACCAGTGGAATACGGTCTGATATACCACGGCTTTCAGGCAATCAGCATTCAGGGCTCGAACCACCCATTATTTTACAAGGTATGTTGACCGAAAACACATCTCTTGTACACCAAGGATCCGGGGTTGCAGGGTAGAGGGGAAGTGAAAAATTTGCCAATTTGAAAGCTAAAAAAAAAAAGGTTGGAGACCCCTGCCCTAACCCTTTTCCTAACCTTAACCTAATTCTCCTAACCTGCTATGTTAATTCTCCTAACCTGCTGCGTAATTTCTCCTAAACATTTTGACAAGCTGTATCCTTTCTAGACAAAACCCTTGCCCTCCCGTAGTTGTTGACTTGTGCTAGAAAGTTAGTTAGCTAGCAGTTATTGCCATCATTTTTTCCAGTCACTACTGAATTATTTTATGTAATAAATCAAACATTAAAATAGCGTTATAGAAGTTAAAGTCAAAATCCAAACTGGTCCGTGAATGAATACCGTTATATCATTTTGACGGTTTACCGCCAAGCCCTACGGGAAAACCATAAAAACGTGTGTAATATTGACAGCTTTTTCCCCCATTGGGGCCACCTACACTGAGTGTACAAAACAGAAACACCTTCGTAATATAGAGTTGCACCCCCTTTTGCCCTCAGAACAGCCTCAATTCGTCAGGGCATGGACTCTACAAGGTGTCAAAAGCGTTCCACAGGGATGCTGGCCCATGTTGACTCCAATGCTTCCCACAGTTGTCAAGTCGGCTGGTAGTGGATCTCTACTCCAACTAGCTTGTTCCATCTTATTCCACAGATGCTCAATTTAACTGAGAGCTGGTGACTGGGCAGGCCACTGCAGTAAGCTGAATTCACTGTCATGTTCGTGGAACCATTCCTGGACAATCCTAGCCTTGTGGCATGGGGCATTATCCTGCTGAAAAAATATATTTGCAGATGGATACACTGCTGCCATGAAGGGATGCACCTGATTGGCAACGATGTTCAGATATCCTGTGACATTCAAACGTTGCTCCACTTTTATCAAGGGGTCCAATGTGTGCCATGAAAACACACCCTACACCACCCCCACAAGCCTGCAATGTTGACACGCGGCATGATGGATGCATGCACTCGTGGTTTTCTCCGTACCCTAGTCCTCCCCTCAGTGTGAAACAGAAGGAACCGGGATTCATCAGACCAGGCAATGTTTTTCCAATTCTCTAGTGTTTTCGTTCCTTAACCCACTGCAACCGCAGTTTCTTGTTTTTTGCTGAAAGAAGTGGAACTCTGTAAGGTCGTCAGCTGCCATACCCCATTTGTGTCACGGACTAACGAGTTGTGCAATCTTTTATTGGTCTTTGGGCACCAGTGTTGTAACTGTAGCCCGTCTGTTGTTCTGCACAATTCGTGTCAGCCTTCTTTGTCCTCTTTCATCAATGGCCTGCCATTGGCTGGATGTCCTTTGGGTGGTGGACCATTCTTGATACACACTGGAAACTGTTGAGTGTGAAAAACCCAGCAGCGTTGCAGTTCTTGACACACTCAAACCGTTGCGCCTGGCATCTACTACCATACCCCGTTCAAAGGCACTTAAATATTTTGTCTTGCCCATTCATCTTCTGAATGACACACATACACAATCCATGTCTCAATTGTCTGAAGGCTTACAAAAAATCCTTCTTTAACCTGTCTCCTCTCCTTCATCTACCCTGATTTGAAGTGATTTAACAGGTGACATCAATAAGGGATCAAAGCTTTCACCTGGATTAACCTGGTCAGTCTGTCATGGAAAGAGCATGTGTTCCTAATGTTTTGTACACTCACTGTATACAGTCATTGGGATCCACCTTTTTTGGGGGGTTATTAAAATCTGACAAAGCTCATCTAGGCCAATGTTACCTCGTCAACCTGCAATTTTTTAAATCAGTAATTTTTAATCATTTTTTTAAATTATAGGTGGTGTCTACAACATACAACTGGATCCCATGGGGATGTGGTCAGGAGGACCTGTAGCCAATAATGATCACAACAACAGCTCCCAGATGCATCCCAATCCCATCCGAGACAAGGTAAATTCAAGAAACCAATCCTGTAATGCTGGTTGTCAATGTCTTACACAGTTCAAGAAAACAAATATACTTGGTGGCTAACCGTTATATTTCATTATAGCATAGTCCTACAGTACACAATGGCCCATTTTGAACCATTTTGGGCACTTGGCAGCGTCTGTCACCAGTAGGTCATCATCAACCATGTTGTGGTGTATATTTATGCAGTTAATTCCTGACCTTTCTATCTTCCAGTCGCCAGATCTGCAGCTTGTGGAGCCTGAGTCTCTTCTGGTCAAAGAGGAGAGGATGGAGGATCCCCTTGGAGACGCAGAGGCAGACGACGTAACACTGATCGGAGAGGACGGTTAGTGTGTTAGTCCGTCTCAAGTTTGGTTGCTGTGTTGCAGATACTGTAATTACTCACCCCATGCATTTGATCAACATCAAGACTCCATTCTCACACTAGTCAACCTTGCCATAACTTTGACTTGAGTTAGCTCAACCATTAACCTGCTCTCATTCCCTTCCTCTCTCCTCCAGGAGTGGTGGAGTGTGGACCTCGTGGAGGCAGAGGTAGAACCGGCGCTGAGGACACCCCATCCCATCCACCCACTTCAGCTCATGGCCCAGAGCAGCTCAGCCAGCCTCAGCACCCCGAGCAGCAGCAGCAGGGCCCCAGGAACAGGCACCGTGTGGAGGTCAGTGGCTCGGCACCTCTCCTTAAGTCTGACAGTGAACCCCAACACGCAGGACTGCTGCACCAACCCCACCCTGCTGAGTTTGATATGTTCGGTGGTGATGACGACAGAGGGGATGTTCTAGGGCCGCTGGGCTCGTTCTTTAATGAGAGCAACCAGACAGAGACGGCCGGGGCCGGGCAGCCATCTTGTTCGTACAGCACAGTCGCTGAGGCCGCCGCGTCGTTTCAGTCCAGGCACCGCCGTCAACTTTCACTTCCTGCTTCGGTCACCATCCACCGCCATCTCCCGGGGAAACGAGAGGAGGTTCTGAACGTCGACGAGGAGGAAGAGGAGGAAGGGAAGGAGCCTCCGGAGAAGTGGGGCTGCGACAGTGGAATGTCTGCAATGTTTGGGGGAGGAGGCAGGTTCCAGGGTAACCATGGCAGCATGGCCGCCCCATCACAATCTCGCTCCATCAATGACATTGCGATGCCGTCGACTTCCGACGCAAACGGGTGGGCACACGGCGGCGGGGGCAGAAACACTGGCGGCGGCAACACTGGCTTCCCCCTGACGAGGGACGGCAAGGTCCCCCACAGGACCAGTGCCCGGGAGAAACTGTTCATCTGCAACTTCTGCGGCAAGGCGTTCAACCGGCCCAAGAAAGTGGAGATCCACCTGAGGACCCACACAGGGGAGAGACCATTCAGATGCAACACCTGTGGGAAGATGTTCTCTGAGGCTGGCAACCTGAAGAAGCACCAGAGGGTCCATACAGGGGAGAAACCCTTCCACTGTGAGCTCTGTGGAAAAGGATTCGCCTGGATACGCAACCTCAAGACCCACCATGAGAGGAACCATCCAGACGTATATCCCCCGGACATGAACAGGGACATGAGCCCTAGTTTTATCTCACCTGGACTACTGCCCAGTCATATGGTCAAGTGCCACAAAGAAGAACATAGGCAAATTACAGTTGACCCAGAACAGAGTAGTATGGCTGGCCCTTAAATGTACACTGAGGTCTAATATCAATAACATGCATGTCAATCTCTCCTGGCTCAAAGTACAGGAGAGATTGACTGCATCACTACTTGTCTTTGTGAGAGGTATTGACATGTTGAAAGCACCAAACTGTCTTGTTCAGACAGCTCAGACACCCAAACATACCCCACAAGACATGCCACCAGGGGTCTCTTCACAGTCCCTAGTCCAGAACAGACTCTGGGAAACACACAGTACTACATAGAGCTATGACTACATGGAACGCTCTTCCACATCAAGTAACTCAAGCAAGCAGTAAAATCCGATAAAAAAAAACCCAGATAAAACAACACCTTATGGCACAATGCGGACTGTGAAGAGACACGCGCATACGCTAACACATGCACTCTACACACACACATACATTGTAATATTGAGTATTGTAGTGGTGTAATGTGTTGTATGATGTATTGTTTTATTTTTTTATCCTGTTTGGACCCCCCTGGGCAGCAGCTAGTGGGGATCCTAATATATACGAATACAAAATTAGCTTAACCTAACGGCAGGGGCAGGGCCCCAACTTACTCATTTAGTTTTTCTTCTCATCTTAAGCTAATCAAGTTTCCACTGTGTTTTAGAAACCAGCTTAATGTTTCTAGCCAGGAGGACGCAACCTTATAATTAAAAATGAATCAGGGGTGACCTACCATCTGGCGAACTAACAGACCAACAACTAAACACTGCTCTAGGGCCAGTCATCATGAATCACAACTCTCTAGAGTCAGAGCCCCGATAGATGGGTACGCATGCAAATGTTCTGGGGCATGACGGGTTGTTTTGATTATGTACATAAGACATTTCATATCAGTTGACTAAGGGAGGGTGAATATCTGGTCCAAAATAAGCTACCGATAAGGTATTCATGGTAAATGTCAACCTTAAAAGTGTCAATCTGGAGTGGATGATGCTGGTTAGTTTTGTGTACATATTTAAAACAGTACTGTATATCTAATGCTAAGGGAATATTTTACATTGGACAAATTAACTTTGTAAATAAGGCCCAGCGGCCCCAATAAGTTTATGAATGAGTGGCAGTTTGTTAAAGTAAATCACTTTTCTCCTAAAGAATCAGCATGTATTACAATGCCTCTTCTATGTTTTTTTGATTTTCTACATATGGAACTATTATGAATAAAATACATTCCTTACACTGAGGTTTCTGTCATTATTGAAATTAATAGTCAATGGTGGTTTATATGGCAGACAAAGGAAAGCTGAAGGGATTCAAGTGACTAACCAATAAGAAAAGCTGTACTGGAGTTACTTGAAAGTCTGTCACACAGAAATATCTCCCACCACCTGCAAGAACACTCATAAATAGTCAATATTTGTTTAATCCTTATTTAGCAAGACACAAGTTTGTTAATCTTCCAAGAAGTTCTTAATGTCACTTAATCTTTGTGAAATAAATTATATATATATCAAATCACTCAAACCCATAAGGTCACTATAACCACAATATTTAATTGGACAGGTCCAATAATGAGGTTCTGAGTAACAGACATCTATTAACTACCGGTAATCAAATGATGCAACAAGATGCATATAAAATATCAGTAAACATCTTATATAGCTACATAACATACTTGTTGCATACATGTAAGATATACACAATTTGTAATCATTGGTCCGAATATTTATTCCAGTCACAGTTGTAGTGTGTGATTTAGAAATGAATATGATTCATTGCATAATAGTAATTGTGATATCTAATTCCTGGTCCATCCCTGTGTTTCCAGTCTGCAGCAGTGGAGGACAGAGACCCTGACATCGTGCTGATCAAGGTGGAGGATCTGGACCCACAGGGAGGAGGACTCAGCATCCAGGAGGGTGAGTGGAGACTACAGGGGTGGAAGGCAGTGTGTGGTGAAAGTGGGTAGTGGTGCTAACAGCAGGGCTTGGTAATCAAGGTGTTAGACTTATTAGGATCTGATACAAGGCTAGTTAGATCCCATGTAAAGACTACGCTGTTGCAGACATCCCTGCCTGTTATAGAGCTTTGAAAACATGTTATAATGGCATTGACATTCCCCAAGTTTAGCTCCATGGTGAGATCGCCCGTTGATTTCAACACCAGCCAGTGGTGTGATTGTGACGCTGTATTCTCTTCACCAGGGCTTGAGGAGTCGACCAGAGACAACTACAGAGGAGGAGCATTACCCCTGGAGGCCACCCACCACACCTCACCCTCAGACCACACCCACCACCACCCCGGGACGACCAGGCACCACACCACGGAGGTCAGCTATGGCCGTGTGTCGTACGAGAACCACCCCCTTCCACTGTGGACGAATGGGGGCAGTGGTGGTTCTGGTGACACTAGCGTCCCAGGGCCGTCCTCCCTCAACCTCTCCTACCCAGCAGGCCCAGGCATGCTGATCATGGGAGGGAGGATGGGGCCTGCTGGCTCAGAGATGGGTCAGCACAGGGGTTTCACTGTAGAAGGCTCCGGAAGCTTCTCCGGTTCTATGGGTTGTAGAGAGGGGTCAGAGATGGCTGGTTATGAGATTGCAGAGGCACAGGGGGGTCAGGATACGTACAAAAGCGGGAGGAAGAAAGCGGTGAGGAAGAAAGCGTACCTCTGCAAGTTCTGTGGTAAAGGGTTCTCCTCCCCGGCCAATCTAGAACCGCACCTTAGAACCCACACGGGCGAACGGCCGTTTGGGTGCACGGTGTGCGGGAAGCACTTCTCTCAGTACTGGAACCTTAAGATCCACAAGAATGTTCACACGGGGGAGAGGCCATACCCCTGCGCGCTCTGTGGGGAACGCTTTGCCGATCCCAGCAACCTAAAGAAACACCAGAAACGACATCATCCTCAGCAGTAGTAGTACTAGATGGGACAGGGATATAATATCAACCATCTATTACAATATGAGGAGGGCCAGGTTTTTCCTGAAAGCTCAGATGGTTATAGATTTCAACTAGGACCAAGTGTTGTCCCTGATCACATGACCTGACCAGAAACAACTCTGATAGTTATAGGATAAAACTAGGACCCAGAGTTTTTCCTCTGGTCAGGTCACATGATCAGGAATCTCTTGGCCTTGAATCTAGACCCTATATTAGAATTAGTAAAGGGGCTTAGGGAAGGGTTGTTGGTGGAGTCTTAATCTCTCGTGGGAAGATGCACGTGCATTTGAAGCAATTACGCAAAGATTTTAATTTTGGGTGTCCGAGATTAGTGTAGTCTGGGTAATTTTGTCTTAGCTGGTGATGGTAATAAGCATATTTATTTGTTTTCTATTCATAAAGATGTATGAAAATTATACTATGTGGTGAGAATAGTGCATGTTTGATCAAATCCATTTAGAAGATAGATGATTCCCCTTATACAGTGGGGAGAACAAGTATTTGATAAACTGCCGATTTTGCATGTTTTCCTACTTACAAAGCATGTAGAGGTCTGTAATTTGTATCATAGATACACTTCAACTGTGAGAGACGGAATCTAAAACAAAAATCCCACTCCTCCATACAGACCTTCTCCAGATCCTTCAGGTTTCAGGGCTGTCGCTGGGCAATACGGACTTTCAGCTCCCTCCAAAGATTTTCTATTGGGTTCAGGTCTGGAGACTGGCTAGGCCACTCCAGGACCTTGAGATGCTTCTTACGGAGCCACTCCTTAGTTGCCCTGGCTGTGTGTTTCGGGTCGTTGTCATGCTGGAAGACCCAGCCATCTTCAATGCTCTTACTGAGGGAAGGAGGTTGTTGGCCAAGATCTCGCGATACATGGCCCCATCCATCCTCCCCTCAATACCCTCGCGATACCTGTCCCCTTTGCAGAAAAGCATCCCCAAAGAATGATGTTTCCACCTCCATGCTTCATGGTTGGGATGGTGTTCTTGGGGTTGTACTCATCCTTCTTCTTCCTCCAAACACGGCGAGTGGAGTTTAGACCAAAAAGCTATATTTTTGTCTCATCAGACCACATGACCTTCTCCCATTCCTCCTCTGGATCATCCAGATGGTCATTGGCAGGGGGACCTTGCGTGCGCTGCAGGATTTTAATCCATGACGGCGTAGTGTGTTACTAATGGTTTTCTTTGAGACTGTGGTCCCAGCTCTCTTCAGGTCATTGACCAGGTCCTGCCATATAGTTCTGGGCTGATCCCTCACCTTCCTCATGATCATTGATGCCCCACGAGGTGAGATCTTGCATGGAGCCCCAGACCGAGGGTGATTGACCGTCATCTTGAACTTCTTCCATTTTCTAATAATTGCGCCAACAGTTGTTGCCTTCTCACCAAGCTGCTTGCCTATTGTCCTGTAGCCCATCCCAGCCTTGTGCAGGTCTACAATTTTATCCCTGATGTCCTTACACAGCTCTCTGGTCTTGGCCATTGTGGAGAGGTTGGAGTCTGTTTGATTGAGTGTGTGGACAGGTGTCTTTTATACAGGTAATGAGTTCAAACAGGTGTAGTTAATACAGGTAATGAGTGGAGAACAGGAGGGCTTCTTAAAGAAAAACTAACATGTCTGTGAGAGCCGGAATTCTTACTGGTTGGTAGGTGATCAAATACTTATGTCATGCAATAAAATGCAAATTAATTACTTAAAAATCATACAATGTGATTTTCTGGATTTTTGTTTTAGATTCCGTCTCTCACAGTTGAAGTGTACCTATGATAAAAATTACAGACCTCTACATGCTTTGTAAGTAGAAAAACCTGCAAAATCAGCAGTGTATCAAATACTTGTTCTCCCCACTGTAACACCAAGGTATAGGTTCAACATACAAGAAAAACCAGTAAATGGGTTGAAGTAACCATATTTGTTAGCAGTAAACTTGTAAATATCTTGTTGGGTGATGGTACTATTTTCTATTTTGAGTCCAAAATACTCTACGCTTATAGGGATAAGTCTATTGTGTCACAATTCTGTGAAACTTTAATCGATGTCCTTATCTTGTAATGTTAAAAGAAGATTAAAATGTTTCTTTGCAAAAACGATGAATGAATTAATGTGGTTATTAACATTACATTACTCCATCACAGGACATTCAATTTCCTCAACTGTGACACAATATCAATATCTTAAAGAGCATTCATCACATCCACAATCTATGCCTAAAATGGGAATAAAATAATTATCACTTAAAGATATTCTCCGGTACTTTTGTATACATTTTAGCCAGTAGTTCTGAAAGTAACACCCACGAGCCAAAAGTGGTCCTGGAAAATTGCGTTCTACATCACAAATGTGCAGATGTGTGCACCACCTCACTGCTCTCTCTCTACTTTGTGCGCGTCTTGCTAGCTTTCACTCAAATGGCAAGGGGCTGAAGCTTATTGGTTGAAACTCGAATTGCTAGGGGGCTGGCCCACGTGGGGGTAAATGTAGGGAAAATGGCGCCACACAGCTTCCAGAAAACAGTCGCTTTCAAACAAGGGATTTTATGGATAATAGAGGTAAAACAGTAATTCTGCTCATAGATTATGCATGTATGAGCCACACATTGACACATCCAGCCCAAAGCGGGAGGTTTAAAAAATACTATATACTCACCAGTACCGGAGCATGTCTTTAACAAATTTACTAGTTTTAAGAAATTATTATTTATAGCATGGAAGTCAAAATGGTGAATTAGATTTTCCTAAATATATGTTTGATTTACAGTACACAGAGTATACAAAACATTAGGAACACCTGCTCTTTCCATGACAGACTGACCAGGTGAAAGCTATGATCCCTTATGGTTGACACTTGTCAAATCCACTTCCATCAGTGTAGCTGAAGGGGAGGAGATAGGTTAAAGAATGATTTTTCGCCATGAGACAATTGAGACATGGATTGTGTATGTGTGCCATTCAGAGGGTGAATGCCACAGGAATGGATATCTGAACATCATTACCAGTCAGGCGCATCCTTCATGTGGTCCTCTGTAGCTCAGCTGGTAGAGCACGGCGCTTGTAACGCCAAGGTAGTGGGTTCGATCCCCGGGACCACCCATACACAAAGAAATGTATGCACGCATGACTGTAAGTCGCTTTGGATAAAAGCGTCTGCTAAATGGCGTATTATTATTTATTTATTATTATTATAGCAGCAATGTATCCATCTGCAAATTGAGTTTTTCAGCAGGATAATGCTGCATGCCACAATGCTAGGATTGTTCAGGAATGGTTCCACGAACATGACAGTGAATTCAATTTACTGCCCAGTCACCAGATTTCAATCCAATTGAGTGTCTGTGGGATGAGATGTAACAAGCTATTTGGAGTAGAGATCCACTACCAGCCAACTTGACACAACTGTGGGAAGCATTGGAGTCAACATGGGACAGCATCCTTGTGGAATGCTTTCCACACCTTGTAGAGTCCATGCCCTGATGAATTGAGGCTGTTCTGAAGGCAAAAGCGGGTCCAACAGAATATTACAGTAATTACAGTAACCTCTAAATCAAATCCAATTTTATTGGTCATGTACACATATTTAGCAGATGTTTTTGCGGGTGTAGCGAAATGCTTATGTTTCTAGCTCCAACAGTACAGTAATACCTGACGATACAAAGCAATACATGTACAATTCTGAAAAATAAAGGGAATTATGAAATATATAAATATTAGAACTAGCAATGTCAGAGTCCGGAATATAAATATTTATGTATATGATGGTGTGTATACAGTCGTGGTCAAAAGTTTTGAGAATGACACAAGTATTGGTCTTCACAAAGTTCGCTGCTTCAGTGTTATGAGATATTTTTGTCAGATGTTATTATGGTATACTGAAGTATAATTACAAGCATTCCATACGTGTCAAAGGCTTTTATTGACAATTACATGAAGTTTATGCAAAGAGTCAATATTTGCAGTGTTGACCCTTCTTTTTCAAGACCTCTGCAATCTGCCCTGGCATGCTGTCAATTAACTTCTGGGCCACATCCTGACTGATGGCTGCCCATTCTTGCATAATCAAAGCTTGGAGTTTGTTATAATTTGTGGGTTTTTGTTTGTCCACCCGCCTCTTGAGGATCGACCACAAGTTCTCAATGGGATTAAGGTCTGGGGAGTTTCCTGACCATGGACCCAAAATGTTGATGTTTTGTTCCCCGAGCCACTTAGTTATCACTTTTTCCTTATGGCAAGGTGCTCCATCATGCTGGAAAAGGCATTGGTCGTCACCAAACTGTTCTTGGATGGTTGGGAGAAGTTGCTCTCGGAGGATGTGTTGGTTACCATTCTTTATTCATGGCTGTGTTCTTAGGCAAAATTGTGAGTGAGCCCACTCCCTTGGCTGAGAAGCAACCCCACACATGAATGGTCTCAGGATGCTTTACTGTTGGTATGACACAGGACTGATGGTAGCGCTCACCTTGTCTTCTCCGGACAAGGTGTTTTCCGGATGCCCCAAACAATCGGAAAGGGGATTCATCAGAGAAAATCCTGTGTAGCTCAGTTGGTAGAGCATGGTGCTTGCAACGCCAGGGTTGTGGGTTCGTTTCCCACGGGGGACCAGTATGAAAAAATTTATGCACTCACTAACTGTAAGTCGCTCTGGATAAGAGCGTCTGCTAAATGACTAAAATGTAAATGTAAAATGACTTTACCCCAGTCCTCAGCAGTCCAATCCCTGTACCTTTTACAGAATATCAGTCTGTCCCTGATGTTTTTCCTGGAGAGAAGTGGCTTCTTTGCTGCCCTTCTTGACACCAGGCCATCCTCCAAAAGTCTTTGCCTCACTGTGCGTGCAGATGCACTCTCACCTGCCTGCTGCCATTCCTGAGCAAGCTCTGCACTGGTGGTGCCCCGATCCCGCAGCTGAATCAACTTTAGGAGACGGTCCTGGCGCTTGCTGGACTTTCTTGGGCGCCCTGACGCCTTCTTCACAACAATTGAACCTCTCTCCTTGAAGTTCTTGATGATCCGATAAATGGTTGATTTAGGTGCAATCTTACTAGCAGCAATATCCTTGCCTGTGAAGCCCTTTTTGTGCAAAGCAATGATGACGGCACGTGTTTCCTTGCAGGTAACCATGGTTAACAGAGTAAGAACAATGATTTCAAGCACCACCCTCCTTTTAAAGCTTCCAGTCTATTATTCTAACTCAATCAGTATGACAGAGTGATCTCCAGCCTTGTCCTCGTCAACACTCTCACCTGTGTTAACGAGAGAATCACTGACATGATGTCAGCTGGTCCTTTTGTGGCAGGGCTGAAATGCAGTGGAAATGTTTTTGGGGATTAAGTTCATTTTCATGGCAAAGAGGGACTTTGCAATGAATTGCAATTCATCTGATCACTCCTCATGACATTCTGGAGTATATGCAAATTGCCATCATCAAAACTGAGGCAGCAGACTTTGTGAAAATTTGTATTTGTGTCATTCTCAAAACTTTTGACCACGACTGTAGACATTATGGACAGTATATAAATAGAAAAGGTGTGTACAGCGGTAGTTATATAGGATAGGACTATAATACAGTATATACATATGAAGTGGGTAAAACAGTATGTAAACATTATTAAAGTGACCAGTGTTCAATGACTATGTACATAGGGCAGCAGTCTCTAAGGTGCAGTGTTGAGTACCGGGTGGTAGCCGGCTAGAGTTCTGGGCAGGGTACTGGGCGAAGGCCGTCTAGTGGTGACTGTTTAACAGTCTGATGGCCTGCAGATAGAAGCTGTTTTTCTGTCTCTCGGCCCCAGCTTTGATGCACCTGTACTGTCTCCACCTTCTAGATGGTAGTGGGGTGAACAGGTCGTGGCTCGGGTGGCTGAGGTCCTTGATGATCTTCTTAGCCTTCCTGTGACACTGGGTGCTGTAGATGTCCTGGAGGGCAGGCAGTGTGCCCCCGGTGATGCGTTGGACTGACCGCTATCTATCTAGAGTTTAGTTAATCTCATAGGCTCTTTCTCCTCTCTTCTTCCTAGTTTGCAGCTCCTGAATCAACTCCATCAACACTAAGACTGGGACAGAACCTGGGAAGTATCACACCAACAGGAGGACCTGACCTGACAGCAGAGTGTAAGTGGAGAATGAAAATAAACCAGGAATGCATGATAACCGTGTCGGCGGCCACCAGACAGCGTCACTCACTTACAATAGTTTACTAAAAGCTATTTTTTTATGAGGAGGGAAATGAGGCTAGTTCAGTCCCCCTTTAAGTTGAATGCACTAACTGTAAGTCACCGTGGATAAGTGTGTCTGCTAAATCAGGGTTTTCCAAACTCGGTCCTGGGGTCCCCCCTGAGTGCATGTTTTGGGTTTTGCCCTAGCACTACACTAATTAAAATAATCAAAACTTGACGATGAGTTTATTATTTGAATCAGCTGTGCAGTGCTAGGGCAAAAACCAAAATGTGCACCCAGGGGGGGTCCCAGGACCGAGTTTGGGAAACCATAACTAAAATGTAAAAGGCCTCTCTAGCTTATTATCCTTTACCATAACTTTTAACTCAGAATGAGTGTCTTAACTAGTATTTACAATAAACATGCACCTTTTCCATGTTCCTTATCCAGGTACTGTGGAGTCCTCCAGACCCACACTTCCTGCCCCTGCCTCACAAAAAGGTATTGGAACCACCAGTCCCACAGCGAGCCTAGGTAATACAGCCAATGTGCCCAAGGGAGCGCCAGACAACACACCTCCAACCCAGACCACACAACAGCTCAGCAAGCAGAGAGCAGCCAACACGCAAGGCTCTGAGTACTCACTGTTTGAGCTGGAGACCTTCTTCACGCGCTGGGCCCCAGACACATCGGCATCAACAGCGCCCTCCGGTGGTCCCTCGTGCTCCTACACCGACGACACCACAGACACTGACCCAGACTGCCTCATAGTCGACCCAGAGCCTCATCCCCAGCTCCCCTCAGCGACTGTCAGGCCCACAGGGGAGGGTGTGCCTTTCTCTGGGCATCAGGGAGTTCAAGCAGCCACTCTGGGTGTGGGTGGGGCCATCCAGGGGCATCCCACATGGAGCAGGGCAGCCATTTTGAGAGCGTCTCAACAAGCACATCAGCGGCAGCTTCAACGACGCCTCAGAGCACAGCAGCTACAACAGACTCACCCAGAAAACCCAACTACCTCCACCACCAACACTACTAGTACCGGTATGTCTTCCCAATCCCTTCACTCCTGGTAGGTCTACCACCAGGGAGAGGGGCTACGGCCAAAGGCTTTGCCCACATCGAGGTGACCCTGGCTGGACAGCAGGCAGCCCAGCTGGCCCAGCAGCACTGCGATGCGGCCGGGAGGAGAAAGAGCTACGTGTGCCGAGCCTGCGGTAAGGCCTTCACCGGTCAGTCCAACCTGGAAGCTCACCAGAGGGTACACACAGGGGAGAAGCCGTTCAGGTGTGCCACCTGTGGGAAGATGTTCTCAGAGGCTGGCAACCTGAAGAAGCACCAGAGGGTCCATACAGGGGAGAAACCCTTTGCCTGTAGCCACTGTGGGAAGTGCTTCGCCTGGATATGCAACCTCAAGACGCACCAGCAGTCAGTCTGTGGAGGTGGAGGAGGAGGGGTGTGAGGCATAGAATTAGAATCAGTAGACTGGACGGACATGGTTCTAAAATCTACAATAGAATATTCCTCACACAGACATTAATGGGAATTCATTCTAATTCTATGTTGTGCGAGCAACAACACCCCAAACCTCCAAAACAAACACTACAATACAAAGGAAATGTAAAAGGGATTAGCAGAATGTTGTCTTTACATGTGACACTTTTTTCCTCTGTTCAACTCCAGATCTTTGTTACAGTAGTTAAAATAAGGGGCTTATAATTTTATGGCCGACATACTACCTTAGGCGATTATTAGATAAAGTATCTTTATTTGAAAGTAAAATGTGGAATTAATATCGAATATCATGTGCGTATTTTATGAACAAATGTATTTTTTATATTATTAAGGTACACCTTTTTTTTATTTGCAAGATTTGACATGTACTAAATAATTGTCAATCTGTGTCAGTCATTCAATAGCAAGTAATATAATGTGGTCACAGACAGTAACATCAAAATAAACATATTTTCTTAACACAATAAGGTAGTATTTGGTACTAAATATTCACAACGATTATGAACTATTCTGTGCTTTTGTTAGACCAGCAAGTTTGTTTTAAAAATCAGTTTTCTGACTTGCTACCTAGCCACATCGCTCCGGCCAAACGCCACGCCCACTAGCGTTTATTTTCCACGATGAATGTATGGACTCTGAAGCTATCGATATAGCAGCGGAATTACATAAAAAAGGCAACACACTTTCACCCGTAAATGCCAAATGCATGACTTGTTCGTTTCAAAGGTCTATAGAAAAAAGATAGCGCCCAACGTGGGGCTCGAACCCACGACCCTGAGATTAAGAGTCTCATGCTCTACCGACTGAGCTAGCCGGGCCTACAAGCAGGCTGTATTTGCAGATGAATTTGAAAGAACGGCGGGAAAGTCTGAAATAAATATAATTAGTTGTAGCGTTTTGCCACATAGCGGTTGCATTTAACATTTACACAATGACTGTAGGCCCCCGTAACAAAAACTGATTTGGCCTACAGTCATTGTGTAAATGTTAAATGCAACCGCTATGTGGCAAAACGCTACAACTAATTATATTTATTTTCAGACTTTCCCGCCGTTCTTTCAAATTCATCTGCAAATACAGCCTGCTTGTAGGCCCGGCTAGCTCAGTCGGTAGAGCATGAGACTCTTAATCTCAGGGTCGTGGGTTCGAGCCCCACGTTGGGCGCTATCTTTTTTCTATAGACCTTTGAAACGAACAAGTCATGCATTTGGCATTTACGGGTGAAAGTGTGTTGCCTTTTTTATGTAATTCCGCTGCTATATCGATAGCTTCAGAGTCCATACATTCATCGTGGAAAATAAACGCTAGTAGGCGTGGCGTTTGGCCGGAGCGATGTGGCTAGGTAGCAAGTCAGGTAAGCTAGGTTCAAACCAGGCATTTTACTATCGCTTCCCTTAAAAATATCATTAATATAACATACATGATACATGATGTATAAATACGCCACAATACATGATGGTGAAAAAGATTAAATCCATCCACCGCTGGGTAACCTAGCTAACGTAGAAGGCGTAAAATAGAACCTTTGCGTTATGTGCACAGCTGTAGCTGTATTCTCATTGGCCAATTCTTGTGGCGCGGTCTCTGGTCGGTCATCGAGGTTGAATTCTTGGTACAGTTTTGGTAGAGGACATGGTGAAAAAGGACTAGCAGAGGATGGTTTCGATCCATCGACCTCTGGGTTATGGGCCCAGCACGCTTCCGCTGCGCCACTCTGCTCTGGAATGCTTCAACAAAGGATTTTGTTCATAAACCTGAGGTAGGGCATATGTAACATATATCAGCTTCTGGTTTCATTGCTACTCTTTTCTTTTGTTGTATATTATTTGTTTATATTTACTTTTGTACCCATAATTTGTCATCATTACAGTTCAATACATTCATACACTTCCCTTTCACCCTTTCAAAAACAATTAGCTACCTTTTTCAAAAGGTAAACATTTGATAATACTCTTGTTTCACAAATACAATGTGCATAATATATAATGCATGTGTATTTATGGGCGCTGATTTATTTGTGAATTTACGGGGTCTATTTATGTATCTGAACATTACTAACAATGATTGTTATAACTAACCCATTGTTCTAGCTGTGCTACTACTGCATGTGGGTATACGACTGAGAATGAAGAAAAGTATTAGTTCCCTGACCGGGAATCGAACCCGGGCCGCGGCGGTGAGAGCGCCGAATCCTAACCACTAGACCACCAGGGAAAGTTAGGTAACTCAGGACAGTTTGACTATTCATCTGGGTTACTATTTGACGCTTTGCCCTCTGCCTGGTAGAGGATGTTTTCACAGTGAAAACAATCTTCACATGAACTTGATTGGTCAACTCGCCCAGCTCTCCTGCATTCATTTACATAACTGGTATCCTTTTGGGTTAACTTTGCCCATTCAGAGGACTGTAAGAAAACGTTGGTTTACTGATGTAACATTGGTTCTCTGAGTAGAGTAACTGGTCGCCAAACGACCTATGGTAACTCCTGCCCCTTCACGCGATGTGATTGAGATGCTTAATATCAAAGTAATTTACAGTCATGCCACACCCGTACTGTACCCGCGTGACCTGCCACTGTAAAAGGCAGTGTGGCTGATATACTTAAGAAATAACGCCGGAAGGGGTGTGGTATATGGCCAATATACCAAGGCTAACGCAGGACGCAACTTGGAGTGCCTGGATACAGCCCTTAGCCGTGGTATATTGGCAATATACCACAAACACCTGAGGTGCCTTAATGCTATTATAAACGAGTTACCAACGTAATTAGAGCAGTAAATATATTTTCATACCCGTAGTATACTTTCAGCCAATCAGCATTCAGGGATCGAACAACCCAGTTTATAATGTCTATTACTTCACTTGAACCCCACAGAGGTGGAGGAACGCCATGAAAGCTTGGCGACCCATTACTCTACTCAGAGAACCAAGGTTACATCCGTAACCAAACATTCTCTTTTCTTTTCCTAACGGGTCGCCAAACAACCTATGGGAGAGGCTGTACCAAAGAGGTCGTTCAGACAACAGAGTGGGATAACTCAAATTTTTACTTAGTCCAGATGAGTCCCTGGGACATCCTTGTATCCATCACAGGATGCAACAGAATATAATTACCCGACAGGGTAACACAGAATTTCAACTGTGGTATACAACCATATACACAATTAAGCTGAAAGCTAGGACATACAACATGATGCTTCAATTGGGTGCAACAGCACCAAGAGTGGAAGGCCTTTGTATAGAAAATCTCACTGATTGTTGATAAGTATAGGTTCATGGTAAGCTCACCTATATGGGTTGAGAGAGCGTGCCATGTACAGAACCACAGACCCCACTGATGGTGTGGACATAACATTGAGTCTGTAGTAGGGCTGTTGTGGTGACCGTATTACCGCCACACCGGCGGTCACGAAACATGAAGGCAGTCAAATTCCACATGACTGTTTAGTCACGGTAATTAGGCTTCTCCAAGCTCCGATGCTGCTGATGGTCATTGGTAGCCTACCAAACTTGTAACTGCCTGGTACTCAGCACTCTGTTGTCCCTCTAATCACTGTGACATCAATGAAAATGTAATCGAAAAACAAATCTTCATGAGAGCCCATGAGCTCATGTTGAGCAACATTTCTACAGGCTATGCAATTGCGCGAGAAAACAGAGTGATGGCCTCTATTAAAAAGAGGAGGATCCCATCAGCTTAATTTGGGATCTATCGCATCATACAACTGTCCCAGACTATGTTTGAAATATTTATTTCTCGCACAGAATAGAATTGATCAACTTTTGTACTGTGGAGGATAGTAGATTGATGTAGGCTAGTGCTTTTGCTGTTCGTTAGTCCTACTCATCTTGTTGGCTGACGAAAAGTAAATGTGGACAGTTCTTCCAATATCTTCAATATGCACCTCGGAATTGGATAAGGACGCGCAATTGCGTCCCAAATGTGTCTGTCTTCACTTGTAGCCTGTGAGAAAGACCTGATCACGTGATGAAGAGCCGTGTGAGCAATAGGTGCTTCAGAGCACGCAGCACTCAGGGAGAAGGGAATTATAATTATTACACTTAGCCCAAGGGCACAACGGCCACTGGCCCGCAAAAGGAATGGATTTTTTTAGGGTGCATAACGGCCACACAAAGGGGATGCCGCCGGGAAATTCGAGGCATTATCAAGTGCTTGTCAAATTGTGAATGAGAGACTGATGAAGTGTGTACAGCCTGCGCAAAAAACTAAGCAGAGCTCATGCCTTTCAAGCGACTTTTTTCAAATCATCATTAGAGTCGCATCATGCAGCCTTACAATGTATTAAAAATCATATCATACTAAATGGGGTGTCTCGGTTTTACATACAGAATAGTACGAAATGCTCTGAGACCAGTTTGAGAAACTCACTTGGGTGAAACAATAGCCAATAGAAAGGCAGTCTTGACTGAGAGCTCACATAGCTCAATTGAAGACAGGGGCTCAAATGGTGGGCTCATATGTGATCGTAGGACAACATCTAACTCCCATGAGGGTACTGAAGGACCCCTGGGGGGCAGTAGTCTGCTGGCACCTTTCATGAATTGGGATACTAGAGGATGTGCCCCCGTTGAAGACGTGTAAATCGGTCCACTAATACAGGACTAGTAAAGGACCAGTGCACTACTTTTGTGATTAAAAAAACAACAAAATGTATTGCAGTGTTTACCAGCATTTGTAACTTCAGTCTGATAATTATCTGTACAAAACAGTTAATCTGATAATACTTGTGGAATATAAAAAACTTGCTTGATAGGCCTATATGTTTTCTAGTTCCTTGAAATGCAAATGCAACTTATTTATAATGTGAAAACTAAAATGGTCTATTCATAACTTTTTAGTAGATGCTCTTATCCAGAGCAATTTACTGTAGTGAGTCCATTCATTTACATACTAGGTCCCCCATGGGAATCAAACCCACAACCTTAGTATTGCAAGTGCCATGCTCTACCAACTAAACCACATCATCACAAACCACTTGATGTCTCAATGTACTCAATTACTGTATTGTGCATTGTTTTTCTTCATAGTGATGGAAAGTCTACAGGTACAGATTATTTCACTTATAATTCACTGTATCACAATTCCAGTGGGTCAGAAGTTTACATACACTAAGTTGACTGTGCCTGTAAATAGCTTGGAAAATTCCAGAAAATGATGTCATGGCTTTAGAAGCTTCTGATATGCTAATTGACATCATTTGAGTCAATTGGAGGTGTGCCTGTGGATGTATTTCAAGGCCTACCTTCAAACTCAGTGCCTCTTTGCTTGACATCATGGGAAAATCAAAAGAAATCAGCCAAGACCTCAGAAAAATAATTGTAGACCTCCACAAGTCTGGTTAATCCTTGGGAGCAATTTCCAAATGCCTGAAGGTACCATGTTCATCTGTACAAACAATAGTATGTAAGTATAAACACCATGGGACCACGCAGCCGTCATACCGCTCAGGAAGGAGACGCGTTCTGTCTTCTAGAGATGAACGTACTTTGGTGCGAAAAGTGCAAATCAATCCCAGAACAACAGCAAAGGACCTTGAGAAGATGCTGGAGGAAACAGGTACAAAAGTATCTATATCCACAGTAAAACTAGTCCTATATTGACATAACCTGAAAGGCCGCTCAGCAAGGAAGAAGCCACTGCTCCAAAACCGCCATAAAAAAGCCAGACTACGGTTTGCAACTGCACATGGGGACAAAGATCGTACCTTTTGGAGAAATGTCCTCTGGTTTGAAGAAACAAAAATTGAACTGTTTGGCCATAATGACCATCGTTATGTTTGGAGGAAAAAGGGGGATGCTTGCAAGCCGAAGAACACCATCCCAACCGTGAAGCACGGGGGTGGCAGCATCATGCTGTGGGGGTGCTTTCCTGCAGGAGGGACTGGTGCACTTCACAAAATAGATGGCATCATGAGGAAGGAAAATTATGTGGATATATTGAAGCAACATCTCAAGACATCAGTCAGGAAGTTAAAGCTTGGTCGCAAATGGGTCTTACAAATGGACAATGACCCCAAGCATACTTCCAAAGTTGTGGCAAAATAGCTTAAGGACAACAAAGTCAAGGTATTGGAGTGGCCATCACAAAGCCTAGACCTCAATCCTATAGAACATTTGTGGGCAGAACTGAAAAAGCGTGTGCGAGCAAGGAGGCCTACAAACCTGACTCAGTTACACCAGCTCTGTCAGGAGGAATGGGCCAAAATTCACCCAACTTATTGTGGGAAGCTTGTGGAAGGCTACCCGAAACGTTTGACCCAAGTTAAACAATTTAAAGGCAATGCAACCAAATACTAATTGAGTGTATGTAAACTTCTGACCCACTGGCAATGTGATGAAAGAAATAAAAGCTGAAATAAATCATTCTCCCTACTATTATTCTGACATTTCACATTCTTAAAATAAAGTGGTGATCCTAACTGACCTAAGACAGTGAATTTTTACTAGGATTAAATGTCAGGAATTGTGAAAAACTGAGTTTAAATGTATTTGGTTAAGGTGTATATAAACTTCCAACTTCAACTGTAGATGACCAGCTTATGTACAACACAGTAATGTACATTTACATTAAGTGGTTTGTAAGGATGGTAAATTAATACTGCACAAAAAGTGGTTGTTTTCCATGTTATTTGATCAAGAAAAATATTTAATTTGATGAGGATGTTTTGTGTCTTTGAACATAACTTTGCACCTTTTGTTGTAAATGTTTGAGGACAGGGTTTTGTTCTTTTTGGATCCCGTTAGAATGACAATCACAGAGAAAGGGACAGGGCAACAACTCTTACAATTCCAACTATTGAATCCTGCAAGATACCGTTCTTAATTATGCAACTACTTTTTTGCCAAAGCAGAGATGCTGAAAAATTGTTTTGTTCTCACTACAGATGTCTATATCGGTCTGCTAATACTAGTAATGGCCCAGTGTACTACTTTTGTGAACACATATTTTTATTTTTTTGTGTAAATATTTTGTATTCATATTTTTTTGATATTCTGATTTTTCAGGGGTGCTGCAGCATCATCATCACCCCTAGTTCCTGTGGCTATGCCTGGAATGGCTCAAGAAGGAGGCTAGACTGTTCTGGAGCGGCCAGCGAAGAGTTCAGATCTGAATTACATCCCTAAACTATGGCGAGCGCTGAAAAGAACAGTTGGTGGAGGGCACCCCTAAAACATTGAAGAATTAGAGCAGTTATCTTGGTCAAAGGCTGTGCAACCAAGTACTAGCTCCTGGGTGCCAATAACTTTACCCATGCCATTTGTCATTTTCTAAATTAAAATTGTAAACTTAAGTTTACAAAAATACAATTGGTTCTGCAGTGTTGAAAATCCAATAACAAGGTGTGGAGACCAAACGTTTTTTTTCTTCAATTTCAACTTATTAGAGAAGAAATAGGTCATTCTTTAAGAAAGTTGCAAGGGTGCCTATATATTTGGCCACAATTGTATGATTGAATTGTTGACAACACACTATATTATGCAACATAAATGGGTTAAACCACATTTCATGCCCCATGGGGTCAATAATCAATATTCAGACTAAAGGTTGCCTTTAAAATAATACCTGTAATAGTAATACAATAAAACACTTTTATTATGTCAAGATGTAGTCTGAACATGTGGGAAACATGATGAAAATTCAAGAAAAACATTTTGGTGGATATTGCACACTATACACCACCTGAAAACGCATTCATTTCAATGTAATTGAATATTCATGTTTTGTCAAACAAAATTACCATAGTTTTCCCAAATTCAACATCAGTCCTCATTTAACAATGCTTACCTAACTATGAAAGCCATTGAAGCAGACCTAAAGTAATTTATTTAATATATATATTTTTATAAGCAAAAAATGTATGCAAATTTCAATTATAATATGACATTGCTAATATGACCCTCTTGACTTCTCAACCGCCTGGTAGAGCTCTGTAATTTCCAAATTAAACATAAAGTTGAAAAAATATATATATTGGAAGTTCTTATTTGAGTTGTTCATAATAGGAATTTACAGTGAAATAACACATTTTGTTCAACGTGTTTTTCAAGAAGTGACAGTTAAGATGTGGCTTTGTTTTTGTGCAAAAGCGCAGGTGGATTGCCACTCTAACAGCTGTGCACGGGCTAAAAAAACAAGACCAAAACATCTCTGCCCTCCTTCAACCCTGCCAGCTGTCTTTCTGGTAAACATCTTAAATGTATTGCAATTTCTAAGACGCTGGAGAGTGTAACCTACAGCGATCTAGTGTAACAGCCAGCTAGCTCCAGTCCTGCGTTTTGGGATGGATCTGTTGGAGCCCCCCACGCCGATGAATGATCATGCTGCTTCTCCTCCTTCGGTGTCCAAATCCAAGAACTGCGATCTGTCCCCGGCTATGAGAGCCAAGATCGAACGGAACAGACAGCGGGCTGTGATGCTGAGGCAAGCCCGCCTGGCCAGCAGACCATCGGCTGGAGAGGGGGGTGGAACCTCGGCTAAAGTCGCCAAGACAGTCGACTCTGGTGGAGGGTTCTTCATTGATGAAGAAGAGGAGGAGCAAAGGACAAAGAAAGTGGTGCATCAACCAGGTATGTGGATTTATAATAAATTAAACATTGCTGGGGGCATCAAGGTATTCATATCTGTTGCATTATGTAATCTCTCTCATTTGTCAAGATGTCAGATGTGAAACAGAGAAAGATATATTGGTGGTTCATGTGCGCCCCCTTGTGGATTCGTGTCATACCACATGCCAGTTGCTGATTGGAGTTTGTTTCTTTCAATCAGGTATAACTACCTACTACAGTAAATAATGGCCATAATACATTATTTACGGCATACGTGACAACCAACCACTATCTGAATGACTAGTAACTCAGTGTTTGACTATAGCATCTTGGCTGAACTCTCCTCCTAGCACTCTTTCCAAACTGATTATAAGTTATATATACTGTGTGTGTGTATATATATATGTTGGTACTGTATATGTATATGGTACTGTGTATATATATATATATATATATATGTATATATATATATATATATATATATATATATATATATATATATATACAGTGAGGGAAAAAAGTATTTGATCCCCTGCTGATTTTGTACGTTTGCCCACTGACAAAGAAATGATCAGTCTATAATTTTAATGGTAGGTTTATTTGAACAGTGAGAGACAGAATAACAACAAAAAAATCCAGAAAAACGCTTGTCAAAAATGTTATATTTGACCCCTCTGCAAAACATGACTTAGTACTTGGTGGCAAAACCCTTGTTGGCAATCACAGAGGTCAGACGTTTCTTGTAGTTGGCCACCAGGTTTGCACACATCTCAGGAGGGATTTTGTCCCACTCCTCTTTGCAGATCTTCTCCGTCATTAAGGTTTCGAGGCTGACGTTTGGCACTCGAACCTTCAGCTCCCTCCACAGATTTTCTATGGGATTAAGATCTGGAGACTGGCTAGGCCACTCCAGGACCTTAATGTGCTTGAGCCACTCCTTTGTTGCTTTGGCCGTGTGTTTTGGGTCATTGTCATGCTGGAATACCCATCCACGACCCATTTTCAATGCCCTGGCTGAGGGAAGGAGGTTCTCACCCAAGATTTGACGGTACATGGCCCCGTCCATCGTCCCTTTGATGCAGTGAAGTTGTCCTGTCCCCTTAGCAGAAAAACACCCCCAAAGCATAATGTTTCCACCTCCGTGTTTGACGGTGGGGATGGTGTTCTTGGGGTCATAGGCAGCATTCCTCCTCCTCCAAACACGGCGAGTTGAGTTGATGCCAAAGAGCTCCATTTTGGTCTCATCTGACCACAACACTTTCACCCAGTTCTTCTCTGAATCATTCAGATGTTCATTGGCAAACTTCAGATGGGCATGTGCTTTCTTGGGCAGGGGGACCTTGCGGGCGCTGCAGGATTTCAGTCCTTCACGGCGTAGTGTGTTACCAATTGTTTTCTTGGTGACTATGGTCCCAGCTGCCTTGAGATCATTGACAAGATCCTCCCGTGTAGTTCTGGGCTGATTCCTCACCGTTCTCATGATCATTGCAACTCCACGAGGTGAGATCTTGCATGGAGCCCCAGGCCGAGGGAGATTGACAGTTATTTTGTGTTTCTTCCATTTGCGAATAATCTCACCAACTGTTGTCACCTTCTCACCAAGCTGCTTGGCGATGGTCTTGTAGCCCATTCCAGCCTTGTGTAGGTCTACAATCTTGTCCCTGACATCCTTGGAGAGCTCTTTGGTCTTGGCCATGGTGGAGAGTTTGGAATCTGATTGATTGATTGCTTCTGTGGACAGGTGTCTTTTATACAGGTAACAAGTTGAGATTAGGAGCACTCCCTTTAAGAGTGTGCTCCTAACCTCAGCTCGTTACCTGTATAAAAGACACCTGGGAGCCAGAAATCTTTCTGATTGAGAGGGGGTCAAATACATATTTCCCTCATTAAAATGCAAATCAATTTATAACATTTTTGACATGCGTTTTTCTGGAATTTTTGTTGTTATTCTGTCTCTCACTGTTCAAATAAACCTACCATTAAAATTATAGACTGATCATTTCTTTGTCAGTGGGCAAACGTACAAAATCAGCAGGGGATCAAATACTTTTTTCCCTCACTGTATACACTACTGTTCAAAAGTTTGGGGTCACTTAGAAATGTCCTTGTTTTCCATGAAAACATACATTAAATGAGTTTGAATAGGAAATATAGCAAAATGCATAGGAAATTTAGTCATTGACAAGGTTAGAAATAATGATTTTTAATAGAAATAATAATTGTGTCCTTCAAACTTTTCTTTCGTCAAAGAATCCTCAATTTGCAGCAATTACAGCCTTGCAGACCTTTGGCATTCTAGATGTCCATTTTTTGAGGTAATCTGAAGAGATTTCACCCCATGCTTCCTGAAGCACCTCCCACAAGTTGGATTTGCTTGATGGGCACTTCTTACGTACCATACGGTCAAGCTGCTCCCACAACAGCTCAATAGGGTTGAGATCCGGTGACTGTACTGGCCACTCCATTATAGACAGAATACCAGCTGACTGCTTCTTCCCTAAATAGTTTTTGCATAGTTTGGAGCTGTGCTTTGGGTCATTGTCCTGTTCTAGGAGGAAATTGGCTCCAATCAAGCGCCGTCCACAGGGTATGGCATGGTGTTGCAAAATGGAGTGATAGCCTTCCTTCTTCAAGATCCCTTTTACCCTGTACAAATCTCCCACTTTACCACCACCAAAGCACCCCCAGACCATCACATTGCCTCCACCATGCTTGACAGATGGCATCAAGCACTCCTCCAGCATCTTTTCATTTGGTCTGCGTCTCAGAAATGTTCTTCTTTGTAATCCGAACACCTCAAACTTCGATTTGTCTGTCCATAACACTTTTTTCCAATCTTTCTCTGTCCAGTGTCTGTGTTTTTTTGCCCATCTTAATCTTTTCATTTTATTGGCCAGTCTGAGATATGGCTTTTTCTTTGCAAGTCTGCCTAGAAGGTCAGCATCCCGGAGTCGCCTCTTCACTGTTGACGTTGAGACTGGTGTTTTGCGGGTACAATTTAATGAAGCTGCCAGTTGAGGACCTGTGAGGCGTCTGTTTCTCAAACTAGACACTCTAATGCATTTGTCCTCTTGCTCAGTTGTGCACCGGGGCCTCCCACTCCTCTTTCTATTCTGGTTAGAGCCAGTTTGCACTGTTCTGTGAAGGGAGTAGTACACAGCGTTGTACGGGATCTTCAGTTTCTTGGCAATTTCTCGCATGGAATAGCCTTAATTTCTCAGAACAAGAATAGACTGACTTTTCAGAAGAAAGTTATTTATTTCAGGCCATTTTGATCCTGTAATCGAACCCACAAGGCCAGTTTTATTGCTTCTTTAATCAGCACAACAGTTTTCAGCTGTACCAACATAATTGCAAAAGGGTTTTTTAATGATCAATTAGCCTTTTAAAATGATAAACTTGGATTAGCAAACACAACGTGCCATTGAAACACAGGACTGATGGTTGCTGATAATTGGCCTCTGTACGCCTATGTAGATATTCCATTAAAAATCAGCCGTTTCCAGCTACAATAGCCATTTACAACATTAACAATGTCTACACTGTATTTCTGATCAATTTGATGTTATTTTAATGGACAAAAAATTGCTTTTCTTTTGAAAACAAGGACATTTCTATGTGACCCCAAACTTTTGAACGGTAGTGTATATTTAGTATGTGTATAATGGTTACAGTACCAGTCAAAAGTTTGGACACACCTACTCATTCAAGTGTTTTTCGTTAATTTTTACTATTTTCTACATTGTAGAATAATAGTGCAGACATCAAAACTATGAAATAACACATATGGAATAATAATAATAATAATAATAATAATGGAATCATGTAGTAACCAAAAAAGTGTTAAACAAATCAAAATATATTTTATATTTGAGATTCTTCAAAGTAGCCACCCAGTGCCTTGATGACAGCTTTGCACACTCTTGGCATTCTCTCAACCAGCTTCACCTGGAATGCTTTTCCAACAGTCTTGAAGGAGTTCCCACATATGCTGAGCACTTGTTGGCTGCTTTCCCTTCACTCTGCGGTCCAACTCATCCCAAAGCATCTCAATTGGGTTGAGGTCGGGTGATTGTGGAGGCCAGGTCATCTGATGCAGCACTCCATCACTCTCCTTCTTGGTCAAATAGCCCTTCCACAGCCTGGAGGTGTGTTGGGTCATTGTCCTGTTGAAAAACAAATGATAGTCCCACTAAGCCCAAACCAGATGGGATGGCGTATCGCTGCAAAATGCTGTGGTAGCCATGCTGGTTAAGTGTGCCTTGAATTCTAAATAAATCACAGACAGTGTCACCAGCAAAGCACCCCCACACCATAACACCTCCTCCTCCATGCTTCACGGTGGGAACTACACATGCGGAGATCATCCGTTTACCCACACTGCGTCTCACAAAGACACAGCGGTTGGAACCAAAAATCTCCAATTTGGACTCCAGACCAAAGGATACATTTCCACCGGTCTAATGTCCATTGCTTCCATGAAGGCCTGATTCACACAGTCTCCTCTGAACAGTTGATGTTGAGATGTGTCTGTTACTTGAACTCTGTGAAGCATTTATTTGGGCTGCAATTTCTGAGGCTGGTAACTCTAATGAACTTATCCTCTGCAGCAGAGGTAACTCTGGGTCTTCCTTCCCTGTGGCGATCCTCATGAGAGCCAGTTTCATCATAGCGCTTGATGGTTTTTGCAACTGCACTTGAAGAAACTTTCAAAGTTCTTGAAATGTTCCGTATTGACTGACCTTCATGTCTTAAAGTAATGATGGACTGTTGTTTCTCTTTGCTTATTTGAGCTGTTCTTGCCATAATATGGACTTGGTCTTTTACCAAATAGGGCTATCTTCTATATACCACCCCTACCTTGTCACAACACAACTGATTGGCTCAAACGCATTAAGAAGGAAATAAATTCCACTAATTAACTTTTAAGAAGGCACACCTGTTCATTGAAATGCATTCCAGGTGACTACCTCATGAAGCTGGTTGAGAGAATGCTAAGTGTGTGTAAAGCTGTCATCAAGGCAAAGGTGGCTACTTTGAAGAAACTCAAATATAAAATATTTTTTGATTTGTTTAACACTTTTTTGGATACTACATGATTCCATATGTGTTATTTCATAGTTTTGATGTCTTCACTACTATTGTACAATGTAGAAAAAAGTAAAAATAACGAAAAACCCTTGAATGAGTAGGTGTGTCCAAACTTTGGACTGGTACTGTATATATATATATAAATAAGAGCGTCTGCTAGCCTGATGTATGTGATGTAGACAGTGTTGAGCTTTACTGCTCTCTCTGACTGTCCTCCTAGCCCCGGTGATAGAGGCAGACTACCTGGTGTGTGATCACTGTGACAAGTCGTTTATGGATTCCTACCTTAGCAACGGCTTCGATCTGGCAGTCTGTGACAACTGCAGGTAAAACCAGTGCTGTTCCTTCTTGTGTCAATGACATCAGAATATGCAACTATACAGATATTGTATTACTTATACTAGCCTTGTATTTAAGCTTCAAGGGTATAAGAATAATAGCCTGGTCCAGATGTATTTGTGCTGTCTTGCCAACTAGTCATTGTCACGCACCCCACTATTACCATAGGAGTTGGTAAGACAGCACAAACTGATCTGGGACCAGGTTATAAGAATAGAGGCTGCAAATGAGCTAGTATACTATATTTTCTCTTTCCACTATGAATGTCCCCCACCAGAGACTACGAGGTGAAACACAAGCTGATGTCCCGTACGGCGGCAAAGCAGCTCTACCTACTGAAGGACTGTGATCTGGACCAGAGGGAGCCAGTGCTGAGGTTTGTCCTGAGGAAGAACCCACACAACCCTCACTGGGGAGACATCAAACTCTACCTCAAGCTGCAGGTAGGACGAGCTAACAGCCATTATTACTGCTTCTAAGTCGCTGCTTTTCCTCATCTTGGCTGTGTCTGATGCCTCCTCCTACGTGCTTAGAGAGGAAGGTGAGGAAGCAAGGCTTTGGTGGCTAGTGAAGTTTTCAGACACAGACCTTGTCTTCACTTGTCACTGTACTAGTGTTCCCCTACTATTGTTTACAGCCACCCCCTAATGTGTTAGTGGGTCGTCTTTATTAGGCACCAAACAGAAGAAAGCATACTGAGATAGGGAAGGAATACCTAAACTCGTCTAGAATACATTTTTATTATTTTCCGTTTCAAAACGTTTTATGTTGCGTGCCCTAATGAACATGACCCAGGTGTATTTACGTTAGATCAGTAAACATGTTGTGCTGGGTTTCCAGGTGGAGAAGCGCTCCTTAGAGGTGTGGGGCTCCGAGGAGGCCCTGGAGGAGGCCAAGGAGTCCAGAGAGGAGAACAGGGAGGTGCAGAAGCAGAAGCGCTTCAACAAAAAGGTCAAAGGTCAGTAACACTGATTTTGTAAATGTATTTAACATGAATTAAATAGTGGGATTGAGACAGACAATAGGCTTTACAGACAACAGAACGACTGTGTTTGTGATCCTCACTCGGACACAACACAACTGAATCATGAAGTCACCTTTTTCTCTTTAAAAAGCTTGCAGAAAGATGCATTAATATAGATAAAACCTAGCACCTCCAGTGGTTTGTACTAATCAGGTGATGCAAAGATGCATTAATATAGGTCAAACCTAGCACCTCCAGTGGTTTGTACTAATCAGGTGATGCAGTTTTGTTTCTTTATTATTGACTTGCACACTGAGCTTGCCAGTGTCACGTGATTATTCAGCTTACCGTATTTTAAGTCAATAATAGTGAAACAAACTATATTAAATAAATACAAATTAACCAAACAATTCCCACACACCTGCAACAAGTACCCTCAAATGTGCGACTGCTTTTCTTATTTATGTATTGACAATTTACCGTATTATGATTTTGGCTGTTGTGGCCAGAGCTGCGTTGTGCGATGAGGAGCAGCGTGTGGACAAAGGGAACCAATGTTCACCAGCACCAGTACTGCCCTGAGGAACTAGTGGATGAAGAGGAGGATCTCTACAGGAAGGTCTGTAACACCTGTGGACATGAACTGACCTATGAGAAGATGTAGCCTGGTGTCCTTTAAAGTTCGTTTTTTGTGGACCACTGGTAGACACCGGACGCGTAAACTGACATTCAAATGACTGTTACCTTGTACTTGACACATGCCTTGAAGCGAGGAGGCCTACCTGAAATCATGTCTCAGTACATGCCATACACAATACAGATATACATCAATATTTATCTCTTACAATCTGTTGTGTTGTGCTCAGAAGATGGTGATAGTTGTTATACTATAAAATGTCAACTGTTAATATGCTTAACTTCCCTTTTCTATAGACCATTTGTAAAATCATGTAATATGTCAAAGGATCTGCATGTCTGAAATTACTTTTGTAATTGTAATGAAAAATACATATTTTTCCATAATGTGATCACTTTTTTTGCAATAACTTGAACATTTAGTTGGATTACTGTGGATGGATAAAGACAGGATACAATCCGGAGCGCGGAAGATCCACGTTGTAGTGGTAAATTAACTTGTGTCATTATTCTGAGGTTGGTGGTTCAATCCCCATTTGCTATTTTTCACAATTAAAAATATTTAAAGAGAACATTGAAATGTTAGATAATTTGTGGGTCAGATAAGATCTTTGTTCTGTAATTCTGGGCCCAGTTTTTCCGATCACATAACTTTTGAAAAACTGGGCCCAGATGAGTCAAAATTCAACTGCTTAGCCTTCCCTGAGTATAAAGAAACAATGTGATGATGTTGGGAAAATGTGCAGTTGGCTGAGCGGTTAAAGCAACTTTCTTGGTACCCTGAGGTTGTGGGTTCTAATCTAGATGTACAATATGTGCTTTTGACTGTACTTCACAATGTCAAATACACCAACCTGGTCTCAGAGCATTTCGTATTATTCTGTACGTAAATCCGAGACACTACATTTAGTAGTGTCTCGGATTTCATATGGTATGTATTAATTTGTGGATGTCCATCATCCATTTCGTATATGTTACCGCCCCGTGGTTCCAGAACAGCAGTGGTTATGGAGGGAAACCGCTGGAAAAAGTAGGTACAGATTTTAAAAGCACTAAGTGACTACTTTTTCCAGAGGTTTCCCTCCATAAACGCTGCTGTTCACAGGAGGGAGAACCGCAGGACTTAACCCCCATTAGTGGTCACAGTCCACCAACCATCAGTGAGTGTCAATGCAACCACACTCACAGGATCTGCCTGGGCTTGAACCTACAACCCTGCGCTTATACACCAAGTGTATACTAAGAGGCCACTAGGTGGCAACATGGGAGCTGTAAATAGCAGTCTGTTAGTGACCTCTACTGGTCAGGTCCATAGTCCAAGAAACACCTGGGGTGTATTTATTACGGCGATTCTGTTGCAAAAAAAGTTTTTTTTGTGTACAAAATAAACCATTTACTCCAAAACATTTAGCAAATTCAGTTAGGTCCCTCCCCGTTTTTGTTTCCATTTGGTTCTTAAACAGTAAACGGTTTCGCAAGACGTAATGAATACAACCCAGGTGCGGGAGCTTGAGGCAGACAACTGGCCCTAAGACAACCGGCATGGGGTGGAACTGGCTGGAGAAGACTACCAAGAACAGAGAGCTCTGTGGGAGAGTCGTCTCTAGCCTATGCAAGGGCTAGATTCTACCAGATCCGCGCTAGCCGACACCCGCATAGCGGCTGTTTTGGCGGTGTCGGTGGAACTGTGTTAGAGCCTTCAAATTGACAAGCGGCTCCCGGCATTATACATATCATGGACATTGCCATTGCCTGCATGGCAGTTTCGCGGGGTTCCTTCCCCCTATTTTTACAGCTAATTTCCTGTAAAAAGACAAATGTCCATGGCTTATGACATGGGGGGGGGGGGTGGGGGTACACCAGTCGCATGCAGCCGTGTTTACAAGTTTGAACACTGGAATGTGATGTAATCTACACCTCGATTAGGCTGATAGAAATCCTCATTATTTTCTTCAATTTAAGTATCATTATTTCTATATAGCCTACACTTTCTCGTTCGGAACTTTTCAAGCGAGTGGGACAGGTGTGGCTTTGTGAGAATGACTACACGAGCAGCCACTCACTGATTTGACATCTCCAACGCAGTTACACCTCCGACATATCGCGTAAATAAATAATACGATCTGCTGTGCAGGTGTCAGTTATCCCGGGTTAACGCTGAATTGATTGACTCGAGCCCATAGTTGTCACCCAGCTTCAGTTCGAGGTTGGATACATGGCATCTATAGGCCAGTCGTGTGGGCCAGACAGCTCTCCCTCAGACACTGGGCAGAATCACATCAGAATGCTAACACAGCCAAACCCTGGACAGGTCAACTAGACAATAAGGCCACACCTCTGAACTCACCTCACCTTAAGCTTCCATCTAAACTGTGCAGACGGATATTCATGTCTTAAACAACTTCTAAAATCGTCATGAATGACTTCACCCTAAGAGATAACACAACATGATCAAACACCAAACATATACCTCATAGTAAATTTATGAAAAACATCATCCTCAAACTGTCAATACATTTTATCAAAATAATTTATACAGTAAACATTTTCTGTTTTGTTTGTTTTTATACGAGAAAGAAAAGCCTTATACATACGACCAGCTGAGAAATTCAGCAATCCTACAATTTCAATAGCAACTAAATGTGACTGTACTGGTATTACACAGCCACTGAAGAACACATTCACAGCAATCTGATGAATGAACCAGAAAAAATGCATATACATAATTCCTTCTGAAGGAATTTTAGAAATTCACAGATTAAAAAAAAGGAAATATAATTTGCATTAAATTCAAACGCAAAATAAAACAAGTTAAACTGCAAATGTTCCTATGGTTTTAAGGACCATACAGGTAAGGTATCAACTGTTAGTGGTATTATTTTCTAAAACAATTATACAGTCCTATCCCGCAGACTGAACATTTAAGAGTTCTTGAGTCATTCCAATCTTTCTTGACATATCAATCAGTGTGATATTCACAATTCCACATCAACCACACCAATTTAAGTACAGACCGTCACCTATGCTTGTCCCAGATCCCTGATGACATCACTTGCTGTTCTTCTGACATCATGGAAAGCTGCCAATGGCCTCCTGCCCATCTATCTTCTCTTGGTCCCTCCAAAGCCTGACAAAAAGGAATCAAAAAGCCATCCTAAGAAAAACTCACCCATTCCATACAGTACCTGTAGCAGCAGGCCGTGGGACAGAGTAACTCCGTGTTGAACTGAGAATAACTTAATGATTGATTTATACAAACATGTTGTACTGTATCCACACATATACATTTTAATTTAGACGTCTATGATTTTACAGTAATACACAATTTAGCAAGATAATTCTACTGATTTTATTACATTGATTTGACAATTTATAAACTACACACCAGTACATACAGATGCTCTGGCTACATTAGTTATAGTAGTTGGGCAGCAGTACCTGAAGCAGCGCGTGTTCCGGTGCTAGGGGCTGGGGTCGGTGGTGTCCTGGGCGCAGAGTAGTTTGAGTGGGTGTTTGTGTACGGCGTCTGGCGTCTACAATAAACAGGGAGAGGAAAAAACATGACCAACAACTTTAGCTGTAAATCTGAATTTTAAAAAATGTCTAGTGATTGTCATGTCCTACCCCTTCTCTAAGCCCACCAACCTGCATGTCCACACTACATGCCCATCCCTGTATGACAGATCCTTCCCCAAGACGGATCATCAAGACACCGTAAACCAAAGGTATGCACACACAGCCCAATGAAATACACTGCCATAGATTACACCAGTGTTTCCCAACTCCTCGAGTGCCCTCAACAGTACACATCTTTGTAGCCCCGGACAAGCACACCTGATTCAACCTGTCAAGCCCTCAATGAGTTGAGTCTGTCCGGGGCTGTTGGGGGTACTGAAGGAGTTGGGAAACACTGGATTACACCACTGACCTTTGGCTCCCAAACAGATAACCGAGGACTCCTCCAGTCCCCATCCCAGTCCAGAATCCATTCCCTGTTCCTCCAGCAGCACGGGCCCCTGCTCCTGCAAAGTGCTGCTGCTGCTGCTGTCCGCTGTAGTCACTGCGGAACCCGTACCCAGGGTTGGCACCGTAGCCAGCAGAACCAGCATATCCTCCAGCAGAACCAGGGAACCCAGAAGCACCTGGGAACCCGGAAGCACCTGGGTAACCTGAAGAGGAACCTAGGATAGAGAAAGATACCATTTACAATCAGTGACAGCCTGGTCCCAGATCAGTTTGTGCCGTCTTGCCAACTCTTATGGTCATGCCAATTGGCAATACAGCACAAACCGATCTAGGACCAGGCTACATACAGTGTCGTCTGAAATTATTCAGACCCCTTGACTTTTTCCACATTTTGTTACGTTACTGCCTTTTTCTAAAATTGATTAAATATTATTGTTTTATCAGCAATCTACACACAACACCCCATAATGACAAAACTAAAACAGTTTATAATTTTTTTGAAATGTATTAATCCTAAAAAACAGAAATACCTTATTTACATAAGTATTCAGACCCTTTGCTATGAGACTCAACTGAGCTCAGGTGCATCCTGTTTCCATTGATCATCCTTCAGATGTTTCTACAACTTGACTGGAGTCCACCTGTGGTAAATTCAATTGATTGGACATGATTTGGAAAGGCACACACCTGTCTATTTAAGATCCCACAGTTGACAGTGCATGTCAGAGCAAAAGCCAAGCTATGAGGTCGAAGGAATTGTCCGTAGAGCTCCAAGACAGGAATGTGTGACGGCACAGATCTGGGAAAGGGTACCAAAACATTTCTGTAGCATTGAAGATCCCCAAGAACACAGTGGCCTCCATCATTCTTAAATGGAAGAAGTTTGGAACCACCAAGACTCTTCCTAGAGCTGGCCGCCCGGCCAAACTGAGCAATCCGGGTACAAGGGCCTTGGTCTGGGAGGTGACCAAGAACCCGATGGTCACTCTGACAGAGCTCTAGAGTTCCTCTGTGGAGATGGGAGAGCATTCCAGAAGGACAACCATCTCTGCAGCACTCCACCAATCAGGCCTTTATGGTAGAGTGACCAGGCTGAAGCCACTCCTCAGTAAAAGGCAAATGACAGCTCGCTTGGAGTTTGCCAAAAGGCACCTAAAGACTCTCAGACCATGAGAAACAAGATTCTCTGGTCTGATGTAACCAAGATTTAACTATTTGGCCTGAATGCCAAGCTTCACGTCTGGAGGAAACCTGGCACCATCCCTACGTACGGTGAAGCATTGTGGGAGGCAACATCATGCTGTGGGGATGTTTTTCAGTGGCAGAGACTGGGAGACTAGTCAGGATCGAGGCAAAGATGAACGGCGCAAAGTACAGAGAGATCCTTGATGAAAACCTGCTCCAGAGCGCTCAGGACCTCAGACTGGGGCGAAGGTTCGCCTTCCAACAGGACAACGACCCTAAGCACACAGCCAAGATAACGCAGGAGTGGTTTCGGGACAAATCTCTGAATGTCCTTGAGTGGGTCAGCCAGAGCCTGCACTTGAACCTGATCGAACATCTCTGGAGAGACCTGAAAATAGCTGTGCTGCGACGCTCCCCATCCAACCTGACTGAGTAATGTTGCCTAATGTGATATTTCAGTTAATTTATAAATTAGCAAAAATGTATAAACCTGTTTTTGCTTTGTCATTATGGGGTATTGTGTGTAGATTGATGAGGGGAAAAAAACAATGTAATACATTTTAGAATAAGGCTGTAACGTAACAAAATGTGGAAAGATTAAAGGGGTGTGAATACTATCCGAAGGCACTGTACCTGAACCCTAAATATAAGCAAGGGTGTGTAAGCAGACGGGGTAGGTGTTTAGACTTTAGCCCACCTGTGAAGTCTGGCTTGAATCCAGGAGGTGGTGGCCCATTGGGATTGTGGGTATTGGAGCCGTTATCAGGGAACTGCTCGTTTTGTCCTAGATTCGTCGGTCCACTCAGGAAAAGCTTGTACACACCATAGGCCAGAAACAAGAGCAGAGCGACTACCAACAACCCGCTGGAATCTCCCTCCCCTGTAGAACTCTGTTGTCTGTTGTTGCTATGGTGATGCTGGTTGTTATTGTCTGAGGAACCCTTGAAGAAGCTGGAAGCGAAGTCACTGAAGCCACCTGGGAAATCATGGTTTTGTTCATTGGTATCAAACGGAAGAAAACGTACTGAAACAGGGAGGGAACTTGTCCAATAAGACACTCGTTATTGTTTTCCGTTCCATAACGTTTTGAAACATTTCACAGTGGTGTGTACTAATGACCCACCTGTTGAGCCGTGTGAGCCCCCCTTGTGCCTCCTATGGCCTTCCTCAGTCAGCTCCAGTGAGTACTCCAGTCCACACGAGCCCTTCAGTATGTAGGCGTCATCTGGATGGTTGAATCCCTCACAGCTGACCTCTATCCGTCCAAATTTGTAGGCGTTGTCCATGTCTGTTTTGCACTCCCACTGAAAGTGAAACAAGGATCTGTAAAATCTGGCACTCTTTTCATTTACCTTGTAAATGTAGGCTCGCCTGGTCCCAGATCTGTTTGTGCCATCTTGCCAACTGCCAACGGTCATTGTGCTAGATCTGGGAGCAGGCTAAATGTAGCGCTACACCCTTTTCCTCCATCTGCAAGTGTTCAGTCTTACCTGTGCGTCGACTCCGTCCCAGCCTTTGTTTGTGCATTGAACCACTTCAGGAATGAAGGATCCACAGCCGGCTGAGCCTCTAACACACTGCAGCTGAGGTACAGGGCTACTGCGTCTGGCAGTGGTGTACTTCCCCTTATACAGGGTGAGTACCTGCACGTCTCGGAGCAAAACACTACCTGGAGCTGTATAGAGAGAAATAATTATTCTCCATTCCAGGCATTATAAGGCTGAGCAAATAGGCTACAGATGTAAAACGTATGGCAAATTGGCAATCCTCAACAACCTAGTCATTATGTGTAGAATGTGTTTATAATATAATGTTGCCTAAGCCTCCCTTGTATGTATTGTGGATCTTCGATCTTTACGGCACAAAAGCAAATTCTTCATCATGAACACTAATATCCACCTGCCTAGCTGGCCATTTCTTAAATTGGTACAATGATATTTGAGCTATAATGCTGTAGCCTAAACGTTTACCAAGAAAGAGAACTAGATTCTAGAAAGTGACTAGCTATTATGCGGAAGTAAACACTGACCGTCATTCCAACTTCTGATGTGAGCTACAGAGAGGAAAAGCAAAACGACTTGAAGCAATCCCTTCATCGTTGGTATTCGTCCACCAAATCCTTCAGACGTCGTGGTGTGTAGTCTGTTATAAATTCTCATTTGAATCATATGCTGGGCAAAAAAAAGAGCTAAATTTACCTGACTGATGAAACCACAACTTCCGGGTGTAACGTAATCTGTTTTGAGCAGGAATGAGCCAATCACGAGCAAGCACGACAGTGCTGTTATGTTCATTGCTCCGTGGCGCCCTCTAGCGTACATATCTAGGTAGCTAATGATCGAAAGAGGATTATAGTCATATGATGCAACACAGTATGTGGATGTTTCTATTAAGACAAATGTGTATTTTTAGGCCAGGCTAATTGAGATGGTGTTTATCCAGATTACGTTCCTTTTTTATCCATATAGTCTTGCTCTATGGCCTCTTCAAAGCGGAATGTGATACAAGCCCAATGTTCCTATGACTGGAATTAATACTAATACTGCCCTTGATAAATGTGAAATCAAAAATACTCTGACAAGGTTGTTTGTTTCAGTTATCAATATTTTATTATATATATATATATATTATCAATTTTGTGTTCACTCTAGGCTAAATCCTAGAGTAAAATCTGGTTCAGTCTGCTTTCCACCAGACACTGTGATATGTGCTTTAGGTTATTGTCCTGCTGAAAGGTGAATTCAAGGCCAAATCTACACCGGAGTTGCTTACCAAGAAGACAGTGAATGTTCCTGAGTGGCTGAGTTACAGTTGAATACTTACGTAAATTTGATATTTCTGTATTTAATTTTCAATACATTTGCAAGAATGTCTAAACATGTTTTCACTTTGTCATTATGGGGTATTGTGTGTAGATGGGAGAGAAAAACATATTTTTGAATTCAGGCTGTAACACAAAATGTGTAATAAGTCAAAGGGTATGAATACATTCTGAAGGCACTACATACAGTACATACATACAGACAAAAGTAAAACATTTTGCATTTTTTTTGCAGTATTACTTTAGTGCCTTGTTGCTAACAGGCTGCATGTTTTGGAATATTTTTATTCTGTACAGAAGTGGAGACTGCTGAGGGGAGGATGGCTCATAATAATGGCTGGAATGGCATCAATGGAATGGTATCAAACACATCAAAGATGTGGTTTCCATGTGGTTGATACCACTCCATTGACTCCATTCCAGCCATTATTATGAGCCGTCCTCCCCTCAGCAGCCTCCACTGCTGTACAGGCTTCCTTCTTTTCACTCTGTCAATTAGGTTAGTATTGTGGAGTAACTACAATGTTGCTGATCCATCCTCAGTTTTCTCCTTTCACAGCCATTAAACTCTTAACTGGTTTAAAGTCACCATTGGACTCATGGTGAAATCCCTGAGAGTTTTCCTTGCTCTCCGGCAACTGAGTTAGGAAAGACACCTGTATCTTTGTAGTGACTGGGTGTATTGATTAATCATCCAAAGTGTAATTAATAACTTCACCATGCTCAAAGGGATATTCAATGTGTGTGTTTTTTTTTTTTTACCCATCTACCAATAGGTGTCCTTCCTTGCGAGGCATTGGAAAACCTCCCAGATCTTTGTGTTTGAAATTCACTGCTCGACTGAAGGACATTTACATTTTAGTCATTTAGCAGACGCTCTTATCCAGAGCGATTTACAGTTAGTGAGTGCATACATTTTCATACTGACTTACAGATAATTGTATGTGGAGTACCGAGATTAGGTAGTCATGCAGAAACCATGTTAATGTTAATATTGTCCATGCAACTTATTATGTGACTTATTAAGCACATACTCCACATACTCACTTACTCCTGAACTTATTTAGGCTTGCCATAACAAAAGAGGTTGAATACCTATTGACTCGAAGACATTTCAGCTTTTCATTTTTTATTAATTTGTAAAAATAAATCGAAAAACATAATTCCACTTTGATATTATGGGGTATTGGCCAGTGACACAAAATCTCAATTTAACCCATTTTAAATTCAGGCTGTAACACAACAACATGTGGAAAAAGTCAAGGGGTGTGAATACTTTCTAAAGGCACTGTAGGTCAGTTGTATAAAACATATTTGATATCAGTGTGGGTCTCTAAACTAGTTTATCATCAGCGGGGAAAAAGTGGGTTAACATTTGATCCATCCATAAGTTGCTAATTAAAAAGGTCCAGTGGGGGTGTGTCTGTACAGAACCAAAACATAAATAATACACAAAAAATAAATACACAGGAAAAATAAAGTCCAAACCTTTCTGCCAACCCGTTACACAAATCCATGTTTCCATCTTTGTTGTCGATATTGTGAGGCAATATTGCATTGGTAAACTAAACGGATGTGAACAAATTTGATTGGAAGTGCCATATATATCTCGAGTCCAGGGGTAGCTATACAAACTAAGTATGATACCACAGATACTGTTTATACTCACAGTTCAATCAGATGTTGGCCCCTATTCAAGCCTCTCAGAGTAGGAGTGCGGATCTAGGATCAGGTCCCCCTTCTTCATTACCAATTAAAAGTCTAAACTGATCCTAGATCAGCACTCCTACTCCGAGAAGCATTTTGAAGACAAGCCTTGTTGTTCCTTAGCTATCAGCTGTTAAAAAAGCAAAGTAAAAACAATACTGTTTGTTCTCTATGGTTTACAGACACACAAACAAAACATTTCATAGACACAAAATAAAGAGAAGAAACCACAAAGGTCAATCGTTGTCCTATTATTCAGAAAAATAGAGCAGGAGACTCATTGGGGAAATAATAAATATAATTAATTACTGGAGTACAACAACACATTATTATACAAAGAAACTGAAGTATACTGAATATTATAGCTTTCATGTATATGATAAAACCAAAAATGCTTGATTTGACTATGTCTGCTCTGAAATGCCACCCTGTTTTCTATACAGCCCACTGCTTTTGACCACGGCCCATAGGGCTCTGTGATTTTGACCACGGCCCATAGGGCTCTGTGCTTTTGACCACGGCCCATAGGGCTCTGTGCTTTTGACCACGGCCCATAGGGCTCTGTGCTTTTGACCACGGCCCATAGGGCTCTGTGCTTTTGACCACGGCCCATAGGGCTCTGTGCTTTTGACCAGGACCTATAGGGCTCTGTGCTTTTGACCAGGACCTATAGGGCTCTGTGCTTTTGACCAGGACCTATAGGGCTCTGTGCTTTTGACCACGGCCCATAGGGCTCTGTGCTTTTGACTAGGACCTATAGGGCTCTGTGCTTTTGACCACGGCCCATAGGGCTCTGGTCAAAAGTAGTGGACTACATAGAGAATAAGGTGCTATTCCAGACACTTAAAAACACTGGAAGGCTGGAAATTACATGATTCGGGTCCAGTATGTTTCCTATATTGTCTTTGTTCTAGTCCAGAGAACCTATTTGTAACAAAAGGCATTTTAACAAAGGCATTAACACAGTTACAGAGGTTTTTTTGTTCATCCAAACAGGTGGGAAAGGAAAACCAATCTTACAAATGAAGTGATTTACAAAATAGCCTGGTCCCAGATCAGTTTGTGCTGTCTTTCCATCAATGACAAAAACCACAGGAGTTGGCAAGACAGAAAAAACATATCCTGGACCAGGCTATTAACTGACAAAACATTTAACTGTAAAATTGAGACTAGTGCCCAGTGAACGCAGTAATAATTAGCGTTGCGGCGGGTCGGTGTGAAAAATCCTAAAGCCACAGAACAGTATCAGTGCAGTATCTCAGAGACAGATAGAGGTGGAAAAGCGGTTATATTACATTCACAAGGTTTATGTTTGTTTTGTTCTGAATGAGAGAGAAAAAAATTGCAGAGCACCAGCTTTGGACAGAAGACATTATATATGATATACTGTAGTAGGTCACCTTCTCTCTCTCACACACACTTAGCTAACACTGATGCCCAATACCAAATCAACCCCTAGCCCCTACCCACGATACACCTGTGGAGATCAGAGAAGATTGGATGGATGTAAGAAATACTAGCAGAAGGCAAAGTGGCGTTATTACCATATGACTTACACCTATCCAATCCTGTTAGATCTCCATAAGAGTGTAGGGGATAGGGGTTGATTTGGGACTGAGACTCTCAATCTACCCCGCACCCTGCCCTGTGGTGCAGTTCCACCACAGGACACCAGAGGGTGACAAACACACATTCTCACACACACACACACACACACACACACACTCTCCTCCCCCCCACACACACCACTCTCCAACACACATTATAAAACTGTACAGAAAAATCACGAGCAGAATACAAGTACCAAAACAACTCTATTTTGGGTTTCTCCTGATATAAGAAAGCCATTATTTTGGTTCTTTTTTTTTTACAAGATAGTATTCAATTACAACTTATTATACAAATGCATAAACTATAGTGTACAAACTATTAGATTGTTTTCATTCAAAGTAACTACACTATTAAAATACTTCATTGTTTCACTATGTATTCATACATCATCAGCCGGTAGGGATGGTATATTGATCTTAGCTCGTGTGAAGTAGGCCATCTTCTCCCTGCAGAGAGAAGAAATGGGTATCAATCCATCAAATGTATTTATAAAACCCTTTTTACATCAGCAGTTGTCACAAAGTGCTTATACAGTAACCTGACCATCAAGGCCTATCAGGATGGAGCATAACAAGTTCAGAGACTACAGCCCTGTTTATACCTGCTTCTTACATTATCTTCTGAATATGCCCACATTTTTTGACATATTGTGATCTAATTGTGATCAGATCTTATAAATGTAAACAGACAAGATCAGGACGAAGGATGCATGTTAACGGCAGGTATAAACACGGCTTATATGACCAGTAGGGTCAGTTATCCAAGATGGCGAGACAAGATACAAACAGTTCACACCCTATGGTCAAATAGCTGTCCCTAAAGGCATAGGGGCTGTACGAATGGACGAATGGACGGACGTCCGTCCGTCCGTCCGTCCGTCCGTCCGTCTGTCTGTCTGTCTCACCTGAAAGACTGGACCTGCAGGGGGACCTTCTGGCTCTGCTCTCTTAGCCGACACACGTCTTTGGAGGCCCTTCTCATCAGCTTCTCAGCCCGCTGCTCCTGACGCTGCTGCTCCTTAGACTGCTCCGCCTGGGACGGAGACAGAGGAAGTGTTCATTGAATGAGAGAGACTGATTTAATCGAGAGAGAGAATTCCATAAAAGTGAGAGCAAGAAAGTATTTTCCTTCAGTTCCTCTGAAATGCAGGATACAGTGTCTTCCGACTGATGTGTATTCTGCAAATGAATGTTTCATTCTTTATGCCAAATTCAAGTTGTGACCTGGGCAACGTTTTATTTCTTTTTAAAGGGTCACTTCAGGTGAAAGCAAACGGCACCAGATTATACAGCCATTAAGTCTCTTCAGTGCCTAATCAAGCCTGAGAGAAAACCTGGGGCCAGAGGGCTGGCATTAACTGCCGTTAGCTGCTATTAGTGAGAGTGGCTGATGGCATCATGGCATGGTAGAGTGCCTGAAGGGATATAAGGGGGTACAGGGTACCCTTACACCAACCATCCGAGTGCCATTTAAACCATTCCAAAACATTGTGATGTCGAGTGGCCTTGGCCTAGGAAATTAGCCATGTGTATGCATGTGCATACTGTATATATCATATGTCTATCCAGCCACTTACCTGTCTCTCGGCCTGCTCCAGCAGTCTGTGAAACCTCTGGTCGTGCAGCACGGATCCAGGCAGCTCCGTCTCTCCCCGGGCCTTCAGGGCCTCCAGGTGGGCCTTCAGGTCCCTCAGGGCCTGGAGCTCGTCGTTCAGACGGCTCTGACGGGTCCGCGACGCCTGGAGGGCCAGCTCCAAGTCCAGGGAGGTCCGGCTGTTGGTCTCTCCGGCTCCACCACGCCTCCGCACCACCACCGGCTGGCACAAGGTCTGAGGGAGGGGGGAGAGAGAATGAAAGAGCAATGCATAAATAGTTGCTTCCTTATATTGCACATAGTTGAAGAACATTCTCAGCATTGCTCTTCAGGTTATAACGAGTTTCATTGTATTTCTTGCACAGATCTGTGCTCTTTTGCCTGATGGAAATGTCCCCCTTTATTGACAAAATCACTACCATTAAGTTAACTGAAACTGGATGCAAGATAAAGAGATAAATGTTCTACTCACCCTCTTAACCCTTAGGCTGCGTCTCTCCGAGGTGTTCCGGACAAAAGGGCACTTTTTGGATAATGTGGAGCTGTCGCTATCACTCCGGTTCAACTGGAAGAAGAAGGAGAGAGAGAGAGGGAAGAATGGGAAACAGGAACATCCACTAGTGTTAGTCTGTGAAAGCTCTGTGGTAGTTTGGTATTTGGTCTGGGATTGGGGGTGTGTGAGTGTGTGTGTGTTTCTGTGTGTGAGCGTGTATTTAAAAAATGACACCTCTATCTGAAGTGCGACCCGACCCTGGATTTGGCACGGTTGCCATTTTAACGCCCAGGAAATCGATTTTTATTCTACAACAGAGGAAGGATACTGTAGTGTTAGTGTCAGACTGTCTGATTTGAGCAGTCAACCCCCTGGGCATCTTCCAACAGACACCCCATGTCTCAACCACAAAGTGGCACTGCTGCCTCTATATCCATGACTTTAGAGATACATGCACAACTGGGTTCCAACTGGGGTTCCAACTGGGGTTCCAACTGGGGTTTCAACTGGGGTTTCAACTGGGGTTCCAACTGGGGTTCCAACTGGGGTTCCAACTGGGGTTCCAACTGGGGTTCCAACTGGGGTTCCAACTGGGGTTCCAACTGGGGTTCCAACTGGGGTTCCAACTGGGGTTTCAACTGGGGTTTCAACTGGGGTTCCAACTGGGGTTCCAACTGGGGTTCCAACTGGGGTTCCAACTGGGGTTTCAACTGGGGTTCCAACTGGGGTTTCAACTGGAGTCCTAAGAACTGTTTCCCTCTCTGTGTGCTGTAGATGTGAATATTGTCAGGGCTAAATTCATGCAGTATTTACACATTTCAGTGGGCGTGTGTATATGTGTGTGTGTGTGTGTATACAACCCACTCACCCTGCAGATGTACTGGTTGCGCTCCCCGGGGGAGAAGGTTTGAGATCTCATGATCATACTGTTCCGTACGAAGCCTCTCTGAGCGCTGCGTGGTCCTGGTCCCAGACTGGGTCTGTCTTTAGGCCTCACCGCCACACCACACATCTCTGTGTTCGTCTCTGCATCCACCTGGACAAGGTTAGAGTATACTACAGCTACAGAGACATGCAACTAAGGCAAGAAAATGGGTTCACTGTATGTGTGTGTGTCTAGATCTAAAGGGCTCTGGGTTCCACATTAAACACACCTCTCGAGGCTAGATTTCTCCATTCAGCCGGGTGTGTGTGTGTGTGTGTGTGTGTGTGTGTGTGTGTGTGTGTGTGTGTCAGAGCACACGCGGCTTACCAGCGTTGGTCCTTCATTTGCCTGAGGGAGTCTCTCTTTACATCTCCTCTCCTCCTCTTCCTCTCTGGCTGGCTCTTCTCGACACTCCTCCCGCTCTTCTCCTCCATACGCCTGCCCAGATCCAGCAAACCTCTTCTCTGCCTTGACAGAATCTTTCCTCTCCTCTTCCTCCTCCTCTTCCTCCTCCTCCAGTCCGAGGACCAGTTGAGCGCTGTCCTCTCCCAGCATGCTTAACCTGTCATGAGAGGAGAGGTCAGGGGTCAGCCATATTGTTACATGCAATACAACCTGTCTATTAAAAATGTTACGGTGTGTTTGCTCACAGTGAGAAAAATATCACCCAGGGGGTATGTTTGAGTAAAATGTTGATGTAGCCATGTTGTGTGTATGTCTTGAATTAATTGATTTTAAAACATACAATCTACCAGCAGTGAAGCCGCTCAACATTTACATCACATTCAGTCATCTAAACGTCTCCCGTCCAGAGCAACCCACAGGAGCAACCAGGGTCAAGCACCCTACCCAAGGGCACGTCGACAGATCTCCCACCAAGTCAAAAGGTGTTTGTAATGGTTATAAAGTGTCATCTGTGCGTGTCAGTACCATTGGTCTCTGTCCATGTCCAGTTGGCTCTGCCTCTCCACCTGTGATATGTGTGTGTATTGAGACTAATGTTGTTTGTAATGGTAGTAAAGAGTAGGTTGTGAGGGACAGTGTGTCAGTACCATTGGTGTCCGTCCATGTCCATCTGGCTCACTCTCTCCTTCTCCTCCAAGGCCAGCTCTTGTTCCACTGCCTCCAACTCACTGGAGGTCCTCTGCAGCAGGGCCGACACCGCGTCCTGACAACATACACACAACACAATATATGACGAGGCGCCACTACAGCCTGGTGTTCGATCCCGGCCGTGACCCGGGAGCCCCATAGGTCGGCGCACAATTGGCTCAGCGTCGCCCGGGTTAGGGGAGGGTTTGGCCGGGGGGCTTTCCTTTGCTTATCGTGCTCTAGCGACTCCTTGTGGCGGGCTGGGCGCCTGCAAGCTGACTTCGGTCGTCAGGCTTCAGGGTTTAGCGAGCAGTGTGTTAAGAAGCAGACCGGCTTTGCGGGTCATGTTTCGGAGGATGCATTACTCGACCTTCGCTTCTCCCGAGCCCATTGGGGAGTTGCAGCGAAAAGACAAGATCGTACTACCAATTGGATATCACGAAATTGGGGAGAAAAAGGTGTAAAATTACAACAACAAAAAAACACAATCATTTACATTTTATAACTTTCCATTTGACTTTCGTGTGCTGCCATCTGCGGTTGATACAGCTATTGGTGACTGCGTAGATTGAGGCCTCCACTAGTCATTTCTCCTTCATTAGAATATAATGCATGTTCTGTATAATATAACCTGCATGCAGCAGTGAATTCCAACTGATCTCCAATCAAAGTGAAGTGGACATATCCAGAAACATATAGACTGAGACAGGCAGAGTCAAGTGGTCTGAAGTGGTGGAGGAGGACTCACCATATCTACGGGTCCTGCAGTGTGCTGCTCTGGCCCAGGGCCGGGTCTCTCCTGGCTGGCCTCCTCTGTCTCTCTGGTCCTCTCACTGGTCAACAGGTTGTACCACACACTGGTCATATCCCCACTCACTGGCAGCTCTGCCAGACTCACATGGGCTCCAGCCTAGTGAGAGTGAGTGAGAGAGAGAGAGAGAGAGAGAGAGAGGGAGGGGGGGTGACAGGAGAAAGATAATGACAAAAATAGTGTTTGTGAGAAAGTGTCTGTCAGTTCGTCCGCCCATCTCTGGTCACATCCTTTGCCCTGTCCCAGTAGTAATGGTTGACGTTGTTATAAGCAAGCAATATGTTGTTGTGCGGTAATTCTACAGTGGGGGTGTAGTATTAGCTCGATATCTGTATTTAGTTAACTGAGTGTTGGTAGGTGCAACAAAGGCTGTTGGTAAGTGTGTTTGTGCTGTGCATTGTGTATGTACCAGGCAGTCCTCGGTGCGTCCGGGGCCCACGGTGCAGGCGTCGATGCGGAGCGTCTTGTGCCGGAGGACGCTGTGCGGCGCGGCCGCCCTGAACACCTCGTTGAACGTCACGCTGTCAGGCAGCGCCACGGGCACCACACGGGTCCTGAACAGACTGCTGATGTCACTGGAAGACGGGAGGAGCGCCACCCGGATGTATCTGTTGGGGGAGGGTGGGGAGGAAGAGAGAAAAGAGAGTTATACAAATACATATTTTTTTTTTTGTTCACCTTTATTTAACCTGGTAAACCAGTTGAGAACAAGTTCTCATTTACAACTGCGACCTGGCCAAGATAAAGCAAAGCAGTGCGATAAAAAACAACAACACAGAGTTACATATGGAGTAAACAAAACATAAAGTCAAAAATACAACAGAAAATATATATACAGTGTGTGCAAATGTATCAGGTTATGGAGGTAAGGCAATACATAGGCCATAGTGCAAAATAATGACAATTTAGTATTAACACTGGAATGATAGATGTGCAAGAGATGATGTGCAAATAGAGATACTGGGGTGCAAATGAGCAAAATAAATAACAATATGGGGATGAGGTAGTTGGGTGGGCTAATTTCAGATGGGCTGTGTACAGGTGCAGTGATTGGTAAGGTGCTCTGACAACTGATGCTTAAAGTTAGTGAGGGAGATAAGAGTCTCCAGCTTCAGAGATTTTTGCAGTTCGTTCCAGTCATTGGCAGCAGAGAACTGGAAGGAATGGCGGCCAAAGGAGGTGTTGGCTTTGGGGATGACCAGTGAGATATACCTGCTGGAGCGCATACTACAGGTGGGTGTTGCTATGGTGACCAATGAGCTAAGATAAGGCGGGGATTTGCCTAGCAGTGATTTATAGATGACCTGGAGCCAGTGGGTTTGGCGATTAATATGTAGTGAGGACCAGCCAACAAGAGCGTACAGGTCACAGTGGTGGGTAGTATATGGGGCTTTGGTGACAAAACGGATGGCACTGTGATAGACTAAATCCAATTTGCTGAGTAGAGTGTTGGAGGCTATTTTGTAAATGACATCGCCGAAGTCAAGGATCGGTAGGATAGTCCGTTTAACGAGGGCATGTTTGGCAGCATGAGTGAAGGAGGCTTTGTTGCGAAATAGGAACCCAATTCTAGATTTAACATGTGCTTCAGGCTTTCAGCAGAAAACGAGACATTTTCATAAGCAACTTCGAGTTCCAGAAGAAGACATATAAATGTTGAGGTCATGTCGTCCAATAACAACATAATATTCCTAAACTCAGAGTTTATGTGGAGACAGAGGCAGTAGGTTGTAAAAGTTCATGTGGCCTGGGGAGTGTTTGGGATAAAGGCTGGTTAACTCTGGTGTCTTGTGTTATTGAGATATGTTCTGGGGCGTTTTCTCATCTCTTTCTGCCTGCTGTTCTGTAGCTTCTGGCCAGAGGCTTCAACAATCTTTGAGGATTTCTCTACTCCAGTTAACACTGACTCAAACACTTCCCAGAAAAACCCTCTCTGCAAGACTCCTCTCCTCTCACCCACAAACAAACCCCCATATAGCAGACTCATCCAAATATGCATATTTCACAAACTACAAAGGAGCCCAAATTTTCACTCAAATGAGTTGAATGATAATAACATGAAGGAAGTTTGGTTGAAGAAAGAAAAAAGAAAAGAAAAAAAAGAAGAAAAAAAACAAAGACTTAAAACGCCTAGCTACCCCCTGCTAAGTTTTATCATATTTTTTGGGACATATTTCAGCTGAATGTTGTGTGAGGGATTCAAAGGCGTTTCCCCGCTGTTCGATTGGACACGAATGTCTTTTCAAGCCTGGGAACATGAGAGGATGGATTAACTTCATTTTTCATTTCTGTCGGCCATAAAAGAAACACGAAAAGGGTCTGCTGGCGGGAGAGATAGCCGCGAGGGGTCTCAATAAATAATACAACGACAGAGCCCACCCACCCCTGCAGAGAGTAGACAAGACACACCTGTGTGATGTAAGGGCAAGTGTGTGTGTGTGTGTTTCAAGCTTTATTTAGTCGTATGTACGGGATACATATGGTATACACTAGGGATATTCAACTCTTACCCTTCGAGGTCCGGAGCCTGCTGGTTTTCTGTTCTACCTAATAATTAATTGCAAAACACCTGGTGTCCCAGGTCTAAATCAGTCCCTGATTAAAGGGGAACAATGAAAAATGCAGTGGAACTGGCTTCGAAGTCCAGAGTTGAGTCAGGATGCTCTCGACGGTGCAGTGGTAGTATTTGGATGCAGCGTGTGTGAGAGAGAGTTTGTGTTTCACAGAGAGGTGTGTGTTTGAGGCTGTCCCGCCTCTCCTCCCATTCAGTCTCATACTTCTCTCTGAGAGAGAGCGAGAGAGAGCGAGAGACAGAGACAGAGAGAGAGAGAGAGTGTGTGTGTGTGTGGACGTGTTTAACTATTCTTGTGGGGAACAGAAGTCCCCACAAGAATAGTAAACTAACAAAAATTGGAGGTCAAATGCTATTTCTGTGGGGTTTAGGGTTAGAATTACGTTATGGGTTAGGGTTAGGAGCTAAGGTTCAGGGTTAGGTTTTTGGGTTAAGGTTACGATTAGGGTTATGGTAAGAGTACGGGTTAGGGTTAGGTTTAGGGTTTAAGGAAAATAGGATTTTGAATGGGACTGAATTGTGTGTCCCCACAAGGTTAGCTGTACAAGACTGTGTGTGTGTGTGTGTGTGTGTGTGTGTGAGAGAGAGAGAGGACATCACACCAGCCCAGTATTAAGCTCTCTAGATTCAACATTGACACACGTCCCCAGAACAACCCTAACACCTCCAGGTGCCAAGTCAACTCAACACTGACAGGGTGAGCACAGCAGCACTCTCAAAGTCAACATTGTCTGTAACATACCGCGATGCTGTCTGTGTAAACTCAATACTGACAGAGTCTAGTTAGTACACACGGATATACGAATGAATGAAAGGAAAGAAGGAATGAATGAATGAATACATTGATGAATGAGTGAATGGAAGAATTAATGCATGGATGAATACTCACACTCTGGTAGTGGAGGGGACTGACAGGGCAGCAGGGTTTTGCAGCTGCATGATCACCATGACAAAACTGGAGTTGGCAGCATCATATCTGTAAACAACAACACAATCTTTCATTTGTCCGACAGCAGTGTAGGATGGAGTAATAGACATTGTGTAGTTTAATGTGTGTGTGTGTGTGTACTCTTACTTCAGCCCTATCTGGACCTGGGCAGACTCAGGAAGGGCAGGCTCATCCTCCAGGTACACCGCTGGTTCATCAGCCTCCATCGACCTACAAACACACACAGCAGTTTTTTCATTTATTTAAACGTTTTTTCATTATTACCAATTGAAAAGAAAGTCTGGAATATAAAACAGAGAACAGAGGCGGAGCAGAGGAGAGAGACAGGAGGGAGCAGAGGAGAGAGACAGGAGGGAGCAGAGGAGAGAGACAGGAGGGAGCAGAGGAGAGAGACAGGAGGGAGCAGAGGAGAGAGACAGGAGGGAGCAGAGGAGAGAGACAGGAGGGAGCAGAGGAGAGAGACAGGAGGGAGAATAGGAGAGAGACAGGAGGGAGCAGAGGAGACAGACAGGAGGGAGCAGAGGAGAGAGACAGGAGGGAGCAGAGGAGAGAGACAGGAGGGAGTAGAGGAGAGAGACAGGAGGGAGTAGAGGAGAGAGACAGGAGGGAGCAGAGGAGAGAGACAGGAGGGAGTAGAGGAGAGAGACAGGAGGGAGTAGAGGAGAGAGACAGGAGGGAGTAGAGGAGAGAGACAGGAGGGAGCAGAGGAGAGAGACAGGAGGGAGCAGAGGAGAGAGAGAGAGTGGAAAGGGTGTCCTTGGCTCATTGTCTAATTAAATCAAACCAAGGGGAGAGCAAGGGAGGACGGGAGGAGAATAAAGAAAGAAAGAAAAAATATATATAAAAAAAGAGCAAGCAGAGACAGAGAGCAAGAAAGAAAGAAAGAAAGAAAGACAGAAAAGGGGAGCGAGGAAAGGAGGGAGGGAGAAAGCTAGCTGAGAGAGACAGATAGAGTCCACACCACACTGGTTGAAGGGATCATCATCAAACTATCTCTTTAGGGGGCAAGAGATGATGAAAGAGTTTGACCATAGGAGCAGTTTTAGTGGGAAAAACAAACATCAATGAGGCCATTCTAATTACGAACAGCCAAACTGGGCAACCGAGCCCATGCACTCTAATTAGGAAGAAACAACTGGGCAACAGCACTCTGTGTGTCTGCATCTCAAACATCTCTCACTTTTGACAAACACAAAGGAACACAGACAGGGTTCCTTCCATTCAGTCATTAAAGATCAGATTTAGCGTTCGTCTCCAACTGTGATACACGTGAGACGAAGCTAATTGTGTGTGTGTTTGGTGAGTTGAGGAGCCTTCAGTTTGGTGGTCTGTTTTAACTGAGGTCTTGTGGTTTGGAAAGAGAGGAGGGGAGGTTAAAAGAGCCACCATGACCCTTTGAGTGGACCAACACTATTGGGAAGAGCAGCACCTCAAGATAAAGGAGAGAGGGAAGGAGAGGTGGGGAAGAGGTTGAGAACGAGGTTGAAGATGAAAGGCAAGGGAAGGGAGAGATGGAGAGTGCTGAAGAGACAGTGTGCGATCATTGGAAAGAATATAAAGAGCTGAAAGTGAGTGTTAGCCACCGTTTGATATTAGAGGCCTCGTACACCCCACTGTCCCCGGCCACAGACTCGTCTGACACGGCTGCTGACACACAGGCTGGCTTGTCCTCCCCCGGCCTCTGGAGGTCCACGTCTGACAACAACACAGACGTAACACAGACAAAGACATGAAGTACAACTGAAACAAGACACCAGAGTTGATATGCGCGGGGGACACAAGAAACGTGTTGTCAATGAGCATTGGTTCATTCATTAATCAAAAAAAAGTATTTTCATATATCTACGAGACACATCCAAGGCATGAGACATAGATGTGATGGGAGCCTACAAACTCAGCATGAGTGATTCAGCGTTTCCCAACTCCAGTCCTCCAGCACCTCCACCAGCACACATTTTTGCTGTAACTCTGGACAAGCACACCTGATTCAACTTGTTAACTAATCATCAAGCCCTTGAGTTGAATGCAGAGTGTTTGTTCGGGGCTACAATACAAATGTGTAATGTTCGGGGAACTCGAGGACTGGAGTTAGGAAACACTGTACTAGTTTATGCAGCGGTGGTGTTTCAGTGCAGCTCCATTTTGAGTTACTAGGTGGCAGCATTGCGCCATGCAGCGCCAGGCTTTTCTAATCAGTGATAAATTCCACTGAAGGGAGGAAGGGAGAATTTCCCTTATGAATAAAGCCAGTCCCAGCACTTTGGAAACATGGAAAGTAGCCACCTCAGAAATCTCTGAACTGTTGGATATGATGTAGGTGTGTGATGTAAAATGTTTACTTGATGGTGTTGTATTAGCAAATGACTTTGCTGTGTATATTCCAGTGTAGTGCGTGTTGTTTTAATTTGATTAAAACCTTTTTATATATATATATTTTTTATATATTATGGGTTGTCCAAGGTTGGGGATAGGGTGGGGCCGCCAGGGGTATGTTGGGAATAGGTGGGGTGGGAGGGTGTGTCAGTAAAAAAAAAAAAGGGGGAAAGTGTCATACTTTATTTTGATGATTGTATTGCCCTTGTGACCCAATAAAAAACCATTGTTCACAAAAAAGGAAGAATTTGAACAGAGCAAATGTCTCACCTGTAATACTCTCTCTGAGGGTAGCCAGTGACCCTCTCCCTTCCCTCCCCCCCTCCCCTCCTCTGTCCCTCTCCCCCGTCTCCGGCTCAAACATCCCCATCCCCTGGCCGTCGTAGAATCCCAGGCTGAGACCGCCAAAGTCCGACACCACCAGACCGACATCCCCGTCCCCAAAGTCCTGTGGGCCCGCCGGCGGGAACGCCCCGACCCCCTCCAGCACCAGCGGCGAGCCCGGCGGCGAGAGAGAAGACAGCGACGACCTGGAGGAAAGCGACGTCACCGACTTGGAGGGCTCGGCCGGCTTCGAGGACACCGCAACCAGCGGCGCTAATGGGACCAGGTCGGTGGTACCGGTTCCGACGGTGTGAGTGTGAAGTGGGTGTGTGTTTTCCACCTCGTGTTCGTGGATGGTGGTGATAGTTCCTGGGGGGTCTCCCCGCCTGTAGGTTATCCCAGACGGGGTCAGGGGCTCCTGGAGGAGCAGGTCCAGTTTGCACTGGTAGTCCAGGTCTAGGGGGGAGGGGGGTTCTGTAGGGGTGTAGTAGAGGTCTCCGGAGGAGAGGGAATTGAGGGAGCCGCGGGAGGAGGATGCGTTGAGGGATCCACGGCTTGAGGCCAGAGAACCCAGGCTGCTGCCTGATGAGACGGACAGCGTACTGGCCGACAAACTGTAAGGGAAAGAACACACACGTTGAACAAACAACCAGCAACGTATTACTTGAATTACTGTAGCTGTATGTAAACTCAGCAAAAAAAGAAACGTCCTCTCACTGTCAACTGCGTTTATTTTCTGCAAACTTAACATGTGTAAATATTTGTATGAACATAACAAGATTCAACAACTGAGACATAAACTGAACAAGTTCCACAGACATGTGACTAACAGAAATTGAATAATGTGTCCCTGAACAAAGGGGGGATCAATATCTGGTGTGACCACCAGCTGCATTAAGTACTGCAGTGCATCTCCTCCTCATGGACTGCACCAGATTTGCCAGTTCTTGCTGTGATATGTTACCCCACTCTTCCACCAAGGCACCTGAAAGTTCCCGGACATTTCTGGGGGGAATGGCCATAGCCCTCACCCTCCAATCCAACAGGTCCCAGACGTGCTCAAGGGGATTGAAATCCGGGCTCTTCGCTGGCCATGGCAGAACACTGACATTCCTGTCTTGCAGCAAATCACACACAGAACGAGCAGTATGGCTGGTGGCATTGTCATGCTGGAGGGTCATGTCAGGATGACCCTGCAGGAAGGGTACCACATGAGGGAGGAGGATGTCTTCCCTGTAACGCAAAGCGTTGAGATTGCCTGCAATGACAACAAACTCAGTCCAATGATGCTGTGACACAACGCCCCAGACCATGACGGACCCTCCACCTCCAAATCGATCCCGCTCCAGAGTACAGGCCTCGGTGTAACGCTCATTCCTTCGACGATAAACGCGAATCCGACCATCACCCCTGGTGAGACAAAACCGCGACTCGTCAGTGAAGAGCACTTTTTGCCAGTCCTGTCTGGTCCAGCGACGGTGGGTTTGTGCCCATAGGCAACGTTGTTGCCGGTGATGTCTGGTGAGGACCTGCTTTACAACAGGCCTATAAGCCCTCAGTCCAGCCTCTCTCAGCCTTTTGCGGACAGTCTGAGCACTGATGGAGGGATTGAGCGTTCCTGGTGTAACTCGGGCAGTTGTTGTTGCCATCCTGTACCTGTCCCGCAGGTGTGATGTTCGGATGTACCGATCCTGTGCAGGTGTTGTTACATGTGGTCTGCCACTGCGAGGACGATCAGCTCTCCGTCCTGTCTTCCTGTAGCGCTGTCTTAGGCGTCTCACAGTACAGACACATCTGCAGTCCTCATGCCTCCTTGCAGCATGCCTAAGGCACGTTCACGCAGATGAGCAGGGACCCTGGGCATCTTTCTTTTGGTGTTTTTCAGAGTCAGTAGAAAGGCCTCTTTAGTGTCCTAAATTGTCAATACTGTGAGCTTAATTGCCTACTGTCTGTAAGCTGTTAGTGTCTTAACGACAGTACCACAGGTCCATGTTCATTAATTGTTTTATGGTTCATTGAACAAGCATGGGAAACAGTGTTTAAACCCTTTACAATGAAGATCTGTATTGTTATTTGGATTTTTATGAATTATCTTTGAAAGACAGGGTCCTGAAAAAGGGACGTTTCTTTTTTTGATGAGTTTATGTGTATTGGAGGAACACTTCGGCTGCGTTTAGACAGGCAGCCCAATTCTGATACTTCTTCCCACTTTTGACCAATCACATCAAATCTTTTCAAATCAGATCTGATATGATTTGTCAAAAGACCAATTCGTGGAAAAAAATCAGAATTGGGGGGAAGAAGTGGGAAGAAGAAGTGATTGCCTGTGTAACCGCAGCCTTAGGGCAAGAGTGTATTTGTGTATAGGTATACATGCATGAAGTGCACACACACACACACACACACACACACACACACACACACACACCTCTTGAGCTGAGAGTGGAGCAGTGTGGTCAGTCTGGTTGATTCCTCCAGTCTCTGAACCAGGACTCGTCTCCTCTCCTGCACCTTCAACCTAGAGAGACAAATCATTATTAGTACAACATATCTATGTGTGGGACAGAACAGATACAGTGCATTCTGAAAATATTCAGACCCCTTGACCTTTCCACATTTTGTTAAGTTACAGCCTTATTCTAAAATTGATTAAATTGTTTTCATCAATCTACACACAATATCCCATAATGACAAAGCAAAAACAGGTTTTTAGAAATAAATAAAATAAATAAACTGAAATATGACATTTACATAAGTATTCAGACCCTTTACTCAGTACCTTTGGCCGCGATTACAGCCTCGAGTCTTCTTGGGTATGACGCTACAAGCTTGGCACACCTATATTTGGGGAGTTTCTCCCATTCTTCTCTGCAGATCCTCTCATGCTCTGTCAGGTTGGATGGGGAGCGTCGCTGCACAGCTATTTTCAGGTCTCTCCAGAGATGTTCGATTGGGTTCAAGTCCGGGCTCTAGCTGGGCCACTCAAGGACATTCAGAGACGTGTCCCAAAGCCACTACAGCGTTGTCTTGGCTGTGTGATTAGTGTCGTTGTCCTGTTGGAAGATGAACCTTCACCCCAATCTGAAGTCCTGAGTGCTCTGGAGCAGGTTTTCAACAAGGATCTCTCTGTACTTTGCTCCGTTCATCTTTCCCTCAATCCTGACTAGTCTCCCAGTCCCTACCGCTGAAAAACATCCCCACAGCATGATGCTGCCACCACCATGCTTCACTGTACGTAGGGATGGTGCCAGGTTTCCTCCAGATGTGACGCTTGGCATTCAGCTCAAAGAGTTCAATCTTGGTTTCATCAGTCCAGAGAATCTTGTTTCTCATGGTCTGAGAGTCCTTTTGGTGCCTTTTGGCAAACTCCAAGCGAGCTGTCATGTGCCTTTTACTGAGGAGTGGCTTCCGTCTGACCACTCTACCATAAAGGCCTGATTAGTGGAGTGCTGCAGAGATGGTTGTCCTTCTGGAATGCTCTCCCATCGCGACAGAGGATCTCTGGAGCTCTGTCAGAGTGACCATCGGGTTCTTCGCACCTTCCTGACCAAGTCCCTTCTCCTCCGATTGCTCAGTTTGGCCGGGCGGCCAGCTCTAGGAAGAGTCTTTGTGGTTCCAAACTTCTTCCATTTAAGAATAATGGAGGCCATGGTGTTCTTCGGGACCTTCAATGCTGCAGAATTTTTTTGGTACCCGTTCTAAGATCTGTGCCTCGACACAATCCTGTCTCGGAGCTCTACGGACAATTCCTTCGACCTCATGGCTTGGTTTTTGCTCTGACATGCACTGTCAACTGTGGGACCTTATATAGACAGGTGTGTGCCTTTCCAAATCATGTCCAATCAATTGAATTTACCACAGGTGGACTCCAATCAAGTTGTAGAAACATCTCAAGGATAATCAATGGAAACAGAATGCACCTGAGATCAATTTTGAGTCTCATAGCAAAGGGTCTGAATACTTATGTAAATAAGGTATTTCTGTTTTAAATTTTTAATACATTTGCAAAACATTCTAAAAACCTGTTTTCACTTTGTCATTATGGGGTAGTGCGTAGATTGATGGGTTAAAAAAAAAATCAATTTTTAGAATAAGGCAGTAACGTAACAAACTGTGGAAAAAGTCAAGGGGTCTGAACACTTTCCGAATGCACTGTATCTAGGTCTCCTTTGAGAAAGAGTTCTTCTGACCTCAATGAGATTTCTTGGTCAAATAAATGCTAAATAGACAACATGCCCCCTTTCCTCTGGTAGGAATTCCCTCTCCTCTGTTCTGCTAACAAAGCTTCCAGAACACTAACCTTAATTACTGTCTTCATTTATCGAGCAATTACACAGAGCCTAATTAGCTCAAGACACAATTATAGGGCTTTTTCAAATGAAGTCAATGTGTGTGTGGTGTGTGTAGTGTGTGTGTGTCTGTGACAATATGTAATTACAATTACAACCCCTACAAGCGTCATGTTTCCAATTACGGCTGTCGCTCTGCCTACTAATGTGACGCAATGTTTCAGCGACACAGTCTGCTTCCAAAACAAGACAATTACCACACAGTGTGTGTGTGTTCAGTGTGTGTGTGAGTAACAATTGGTATGCTAATGAACGGTAATTAAAGGCACCTTACAGTGTTTACCCTTTGGAACGTTTGTGTCGTTCATTAGGAAAACAAAAGGCTGTAACCGCGTGGGTGGGAAAATCAATTTGTTTGTTATCTGATGGACGTCAATGGGGAACTCAAACAGAAACACTACATAGACACAGCCTCAGGTATCGCCAACGTCTGACTGAGTAGTAGTGGGGACTTCACTTATCTTTTTAGAGTTCTCTATGTCTAAACTTCTGGAACTGTACGGCAACGACTAGCTGCGAGCCACCACCAGGTTTTTAAAGGGAAGGTGCCGGGGATAGTGTTAGGGGTGTGTCTCACCTCTGGGCCAGGGCGTGGCTAGGGGTGTTCCTGACGGCCTGCAGCTCCTGCTCCAGCTGCAGCCTCTGGGCCTCCAGACGTTGGAGATCCTGCGGGGTGCGTCGTCGTGGCGATACGAACTGCAGCTCCTTGAGGAGCTCCTCCTTCTCCGAGACGAGGAGGAGACGTTCCCGCTCCACGTCCACCGCCCCCGGCCACGCCTCGCTCTCCAGCTTGGCCAGCTCCACCTGCACGTTGGCCATACTGGGGGAAGGAAGGAGGGAAACAGAAACAGAAAGTAGGGACGCTATATACACTACATCGCCAAAAGTATGTGGACAACCCTTCAAATTAGCGGATTCGGCTATTTCAGCCACACCAGTTGTTGACAGGTGTATAAAATCGAGCACAACTTGACTGGCCTGCACAAAGCCCTGACCTCAACCCCATCCCTCAACCCCATCGAACGCCTTTGGGATGAATTGGAACGCCAACTGTGAGCCAGGCCTAATCGCCCAACATCAGTGCCCGACCTCACTAATGCTCGTGGCTGAATGGAAGCAAGTCCCCGCAGCAATATTCCAACATCTAGTGGAAAGCCTTCCCAGAAGAGTGGAGGCTGTTATAGCAGCAAAGGTGGGACCAACTCCATATTAATGCCCATGATTCTGGAATGAGATGTTCAGGTGTCCACATACTTCTGGCCATGTAGTGTTTTTCAACGCATCTATAAAACACACATGCGCTCATACGGGAATACAGTGAAAATACTTGACTTGAACGCCTTCCTCCTGGCACAAACACTCCTATGGGTCTAAAGCCAGCAGCAAGCCCAGGGGATAACAAGGAAGTTGTCATGCTGCCACACTCTACTGCTGGCTCTCTGTAGAAACACCTGTTCTATACCGGCGGATTAGAAAACGTTTCAAAGCCTAAATGTCAGGGATTATCGTCCATAAGGGGAGGGTTTTACCTGCGTTTTACTCACTGAGCCTAAAACTGCCCACCATTGTCACAGATTACATCGCTAATGTGTGAAACTGACAGTCGTCCAAGTCACAGCCTGTGACTGATAATGCATAACCATTTAATGGCTGGACGTGGGCCCTTAATTGCTCTGATCTGAAGTCAGATCGGAAGGGACTTAACGCCCATGTTAAAGTGATCTAAGGCCCATGTTAAAGTGATCTAAGGCCCATGTTAAAGTGCTCTAAGGCCCATGTTAAAGTGCTCTAAGGCCCATGTTAAAGTGCTCTAAGGCCCATGTTAAAGTGATCTAAGGCCCATGTTAAAGTGATCTAAGGCCCATGTTAAAGTGATCTAAGGCCCATGTTAAAGTGCTCTAAGGCCCATGTTAAAGTGATCTAAGGCCCATGTTAAAGTGCTCTAAGGCCCATGTTAAAGTGATCTAAGGCCCATGTTAAAGTGATCTAAGGCCCATGTTAAAGTGATCTAAGCCCCATGTTAAAGTGCTCTAAGGCCCATGTTAAAGTGCTCTAAGGCCCATGTTAAAGTGATCTAAGGCCCATGTTAAAGTGATCTAAGCCCCATGTTAAAGTGATCTAAAGCCCATGCTAAAGTGATCTAAGGCCCATGTTAAAACAGGCTTTCTGGCAAGTGCGCCCTCAATCCATATCTATTGAGTTGAGTTTACTCTTGCAGTTCTGTGGCCAGGTGATATGTATATTAACATAAGGAATGTCTGCAGTAAAAAAACAGAGAGAGAGAGCTGGAGAGAGAGATTACCTTCTTTTGGCCTCTTCATATTGGAGACTAAGTCTGACCTTCTCAGCCAAGGATGACCTGCTCCTCAAACCCGCCTGAGAAACGGAGGGAGAGCGAGAGCGAAAGAGAGAGAGAGAGAGAGAGAGAGTGAACAAAAAACATCACATGTACCTGCTTCAAGTTCAAGTGACTGGGTTTAATATCATTAGAGAGACCCCCACCTCTCCCTCCCCACTCCCTTCTCCCTCCCTCCATTTAGCATTCCATCGGTGAGACCGAGAGCAGGTCTCGCTCTGTGTGTGTGTGTGTGTGTCTCTTTGTGTGTGTGGAGAGAGAAAAGCCCCAGTGTAGTAAGCAGCTTTGCCTCTACCTCTAACCCTGAGCCCAGTCTGCCAGGCCCCTAGCAGCTATCATCTGCTCCCAGGAACCAGAGGAATCCAGTGTGTGTGTGTGTGTGTGTGTGTGTGTGTGTGTGTGTGTGTGTGTGTGTGTGTGTGTGTGTGTGTGTACAGAGGAATCCAGTCCCGCTAGGGAAGGCACACAGAGGCGGGGCGGGTGGACATTCCTCTCAGAAACACACAGGCATTTTATTAAGACAAAGGAGGGACATGGGAGGGAAGGAAAGAGAGAGAAAGAGATAGAGAGAGGAGAGAAAACAAGAGAGAGAGAGAGAGAGGAGAGAAGGCAAGAGAGAGAGAGAGGGGGGAGGGTGGGCACAAATTGTTGCGTGAGAGTGGGAGAAGATAGAGAGTTCGAGAGCCCAACTTGTGTGTGAGAATAAGGGGAGAGAAAGTGAGAGAGAGAGAAATAGAGGAGAGAAAGAGAGTGGTGCTCACCTCTCCAGAGACGTCTGTCTGGGAGCCGGCTTCTAGCGTCTGTCTGGAGCCCACTGGGTTCCGTAGGTCCGGTTCAGAACGGCCCATGTTGTGTTCCGAGTGGAACCTCTCCTTTAACTTAACCAGAGACTATGGGAGAGAGAGGAGAACATGGGGTGGGTCTAGAGGGAAGTTCAGGGTTGAAAGGCCGTACCAAAACGGAAAATGAAAATGAGCATTTCTAAATCTGATAAGTTCAGGCAGTCCCTTCCTGTTTCAGTCCGTTTCCTTCTGTTTGGTGCCTAATGAACATGACCTTGCCAGGAGCTCTCAAAAGCAGATATACAGTGCCTTGCAAAAGTATTCATCCCCCTTGCCGTTTTTCCCATTTTGTTGCATTACAACCTGTAATTTAAATGGATTTTTATTTGGATTTCATGTAATGGACATACACAGAATAGTCAAAATTGGTGAAGTGAAATTAAAAAAATAACTTGTTTCCAAAAATTCTAAAAAAGTAATAACGAAAAAGTGGTGCGTGCATATGTATTCACCCCCTTTGCTATGAAGCCCCTAAATAAGATCTGGTGCAACCAATTACCTTCAGAAGTTACATAATTAGCTAAATAAAGTCCAACTGTGTGCAGTCTAAGTGTCACATGATCTGTCACATGATCTCAGTATATATACACCTGTTCTGAAAGGCCCCAGAGTCTGCAACACCACTAAGCAAGGGGCACCACCAAGCAAGCAGCACCATGAAGACCAAGGAGCTCTCCAAACAGGTCAGGGACAAAGTTGTGGAGAAGTACAGATCAGGGTTGGGTTATAAAAAAATATCCAAAACTTTGAACATCCCACAGAGCACCATTAAATACATTATTAAAAGATGGAAAGAATATGGCACCACAACAAACCTGCCAAGAGAGGGCCGCCCACCAAAACTCACGGACCAGGCAAGGAGGGCACTAATCAGAGAGGCAACAAAGTTGTAGCTCAGCTGGTAGAGCACGGCGCTTGTAACGCCAAGGTAGTGGGTTCGATCCCCGGGACCACCCATACACAAAAATGTATGCACGCATGACTGTAAGTCGCTTTGGATAAAAGCGTCTGCTAAATGGCATATTATTATTATTATTAAAGAGACCAAAGATAACCCTGAAGGAGCTGCAAAGCTCCACAGCGGAGATTGGAGTATCTGTACACTCCACAGAGCTGGGCTTTACGGAAGAGTGGCCAGAAAAAAGCCATTGCTTAAAGAAAAAAATAAGCAAACACGCTTGGTGTTCGCCAAAAGGCATGTGGGAGACTCCCCAAACATATGGAAGAAGGTACTCTGGTCAGATGAGAATAAAATTGAGCTTTTTGGCCATCAAGGAAAACACCTCTCATCACCCCGAGAACACCATCCCCACAGTGAAGCATGGTGGTGGCAGCATCATGCTGTGGGGATGTTTTTCATCAGCAGGGACTGGGAAACTGATCAGAATTGAAGGAATGATGGATGGCGCTAAATAAAGGGACATTCTTGAGAGAAACCTGTTTCAGTCTTCCAGAGATTTGAGACTGGGACGGAGGTTCACCTTCCAGCAGGACAATGACCCTAAGCATACTGCTAAAGCAACACTCGAGTGGTTTAAGGGGAAACATTTAAATGTCTTGGAATGGCCTAGTCAAAGCCCAGACCTCAATCCAATTGAGAATCTGTGGTATGACTTAAAGATTGCTGTACACCAGCGGAACCCATCCAACTTGAAGGAGCTGGAGCAGTTTTGCCTTGAAGAATGGACAAAAATCCCAGTGGCTAGATGTGCCAAGCTTGTAGATAAAATACCCCAAGAGACTTGCAGCTGTAATTGCTACAAAAGGTGGCTCTACAAAGTATTGACTTTGGGGGGGTGAATAGTTATACACGCTCAAGTTTTCAGTTTTTTTGTCTTATTTCTTGTTTGTTTCACAACAAAAAATATTTTGCATCTTCAAAGTGGTAGGCATGCTGTGTAATTCCAGGTTGTAAGGCAACAAAATAGGAAAAATGCCAAGGGGGGTGAATACTTTCGCAAGCCACTGTAGGAACCCACACACAGACCAAAATAATTCACACACACACGCATTCACACACACACGTACCTGCATGAGGTCCTGTTTTTCCTTTTCTCCAGAGCTGATGGCCTTGCGGAGAGACTTGAGCTCCGTCACGATGGCCTTGGCCTCCTTCAGACGGTAGCCACTCTGCTCGCCACACAGTTTTTGGTCGATCCTGCAAAAGGGAGTGCACACACACGTAAAATAAACGTCACACTGAGTGAGTCCAAAGAGAGAAAAGTTTTGTTCACAAATATCAGAATCTCCAATGATCTATATGGGTGTTAAAGTCCAGATATACTGTACGGCTACAAGCATTTTCACTAACTCACAAGCGAGCTTTTTGTTGAGCGATGTGAGTGAGTGTTTGTCTATAAAAACAAATAAAGAGAGTACACATACTCTATATATAAACTCCCAGTAATTTATTGGGTAAGAAACCACCAACGTTTCGCCATCACTGTGTCTTCTTCAGGATCTGTCTAACAGCATAGTATGATAAAATTACATAACAAGCAGCCTTTGTTAAGCTGCCATGCATGATTTCTGACCTCCCTAACGTGCAGTGTGTGTGTGTGTGTGTGTGTGTGTGTGTGTGTGTGTGTGTGTTCCTGACCCCTTTTCACTCTTCCTTTATTGTATGTGTCTCCTGAGCGGATGGAGTGTGTGTGTGGAGGGTGAACGACAATGCTTCATTGTTTCAATTATTGTAATAAAAAGTGGCTGCTTCGGACAGGGCTTAATCCAGAGCCTGCCATGTGAGCAACATAACCCCTCTCTCTCTTTCTTTCTCTCCCTTCATCTCTCTGTCTACTCCCAATCCCCCTTTCTCCTTCTCCCTCCCACCTCTTACATTCTGTCTCTCCTTCTATCAACCCCTCTTTCCCCCCCTCATTCTCTCCCTCCCTCTCTCTTTACCTCCTATCTCACGGTCATTCGCTCCCTCACTACGAATGTGAATTCCTATTAGTAGATTGTAGCGGCTCTCTCGAATAATCCTGTACAGAGGTTCCTACAGATGTCGGATCTTAATTTGAGCCAGTTTGCTACAGCAGGAAAATAATCCTGCAGCAACAGGAATAGTGAATTATTATGTGGAATATAATTAATGGCCATTTTTGTAGTTTTAAATTTCCTGCATTGCAGGAAAGTGCTCCTGCAACAGAGTAATCAAATTAAGATCCTACATCTGTAAACTGTTTTACGACCGCCCCCAGGCCCTATCAAGTCCAACAGACACATAACACTAAAGCTGTAAAATCACAACATTTACAGAGCAACATACAATACACAAGTGTGTGTGTGTGTGTGTGTGTGTGTGTGTGTGTTTAATAGGCAGGTGTGTGACAGACAGGTGTGGGATCAATATGAAAAGGGGACTTACTGCTGCAAGGTTTCAAAGCCTTGTTCTTTGTAGATGAGCTCCTGTTTCATCTGGGAGAGCTCTCTCTTCAGCTTATTCACCTACAGTAGGGGACAGAGACAAAGACAAATGTTATAACCAGAGTACACACACATACACATTAACAGAGACACAGAGCAATACACTTTCATTGAGAAGAGAGGTGTGTTTTGTTTCTTGTTTATTTCACTTGCTTTGGCAATGTAAACATACATTTCCCATGCCAATAAAACCCCTTTGAATTGAATTGAGAGAGAAAGAGAGCGAGAGAGAGAAAGAAAGCTAGAGAGGTAGAGGGAGAAAAACAAAGAAGAGTGAGAACAAGATAGACACAGACAGTCTAGAACACACTAGTTGGCCTCCCGAGTGGCACAGCGGTCTAAGGCACTGCATCGCAGTGCTTGAGGCGTCACTACAGATCCGGGTTCGATCCCAGGTTGTGTCACAACCGGCCGTGATCGGGAGTCCCATAGGGCGTCGCACAATTGGCCCAGCGTCGTCCGGGTTAGGGGATGGTTTGGCCGGGGGGGGGGCTTTACTTGGCTCATCGCGCTCTAGCTACTCCTTGTGGCAGGCCGGGCGCCTGAAGGCTGACTTCGGTCGTCAGTTGAACTGTGTTTCCTACGACACATTGGTGCAGCTGGCTTCTGGGTTAAGCGGGCGGGTGTTAAGAAGCTCGGTTTGGCGGGTCATGTTTCAGAGGACGACCTGAGCGCGTTGGACAGTTGGCAGCGATGAGACAAGATCGAAATTGGGGAGAAACGGGGTAAAAAAAAAAAATGACACTAGTTGAGAAGAGGTGAGAGAGAGAGAGAGAGAGAGAGCGAGAGAGCGAGAGAGAGAGAGAGAGAGAGAGAGAGAGAGAGAGAGAGAGAGAGACGAGAGAGAGTAGGATGAGAGATAGAAAGGATAGGATAGAAGTAAGAGCGGAGGATAGTGAGAGAGAACGAAGAGGAGGGGGAGGAGACTCTCTATCGTTTCGGTCGCGGATCTCGCCTTGAAAGTCAGGTCGGCTGGCGAACCCTGAAACACTGGAGGAGAGAGAGGTCTGGAGTTAGGTGGAAGGAAAGGGGAGGTTCGGGGTACTCAGGGCGAGCGGCTGTTTTTAGACGCGGTGACGTAATCCCAGGGGTGAAAGGCCACCAGTTGTCTTTAGGAGACGGGAAAAAACGGGTTTTAAAATTTAACACCACACCGTCAGTCTGGTGACGGGCCCGGGAATGCGTAATTTAATCTTTTTAACGGGGAGGTCCATAGAGCTGGTACTTGGAGGGAGGGGAAAGAATGATTTCTATAATCATGATTTATACTTTTTGTAGCCTTTTGTGTCATAGCCAATCATCCGACCGGGCAGTATCAGTACCAAATATGACCTGAGAAATGGGACACAGTTTAAACAGGTACAGGTGTGGTGGATTAGAAGAAACTATCTATCTTAATTCTTTACCCGATTGCCTCCAGGCTATGCCCAGGATCATGCCCCTCGGGGACAAGGTACCATGAGGGAGGATACAGTTCTGTCCTGCTCTAATCCTTCAACATGACCTTGGGTTATTAAACGTGCCTGAGACTTCCACATCACACTTAGGGCAATTTGTCGTGGAAATGGCCATCCTTCCTAGGTTCCTGCTGAAACAAGCATCACAAGGTGGCGCCTTGTCCCCTTCAACTTTTTTAGTTCTTTGTTTTTTCACTATCTTTTGTTACTTATCCTCTTCACCATCTTCAGTCATCCTATCCTAACAATCACACTAAACTTCCCTTCCTTTACTCAACCATTTTATTTATCCACCGGAAGTTCTTAGGGACCACATCTGGCCACTGTGTCAAAATCCAACATCCTCACAGAACCTGTCATTTTTCAAAAGAGTCCATCGAAGTCCTTCTGTTACCGTATCTGGACACGGGGGGAAACGCAGTCATTCTCTCCCTTAAAATGATTTGGGTACTTTATTTGTCCTTTTTTTTGCTCGCAATCTGGTAGATGTTTTAGGTCAGTTAAGCCACAAAAATGGAAACTACTTATACAATGAGGACATCAATTTGTAAGCATTGTTTAAAGGGGTTTGGTCCGATAATGAATTGCAGTTCGTAACAAATACAGTTAAATTGATCTGGCAGCCCATGTATTTGGTGACCCATGGGATGGACAAGGCCCCCGGCCATCATCCACAGGGCACAAGTGGTCACTGAATGGTTGGATGAGCATAAAACAGATATAAAACCATATGCCATGGCCGTCTAAGTCACTAGATCTCAACCTAATTGAACACTTATGGGAGATTCTGGAGCGGTGCCTGAGACAGAGTTTTCCAGCACCATCAACAAAACACCAAATTATGGAATTTGTCGTGGAAGAATGGTGTCGCATCCCTCTAATAGAGTTCCAGACACTTGTAAAATCTAAGCCAAGGCACATTAAAGCTGTTTTGGCGGCCAGTGGTGGACCAACACCCTATTAAGATACTTCTTGTTGGTGTTCCTTTATTTTGGCAGTTCTGTGTACATTTTCTCTTGGTTGACGTTTTCTTCAGGTCAGTCCTATCCAAAGAAAATCAACACTAACAACATTGGCATTTTACTGTGTGTTTTACACAATGTTCCTATTCTTTTTATCGTATTGTAAGCACATCAGACACCAGTCAGACTCTCTAAAACACAACACACTCAATTTGTCTCCCATTTTGATAAAAAAAAATCCAACATACAGTGCCTTCAGAAACGAAGTGAAAACATGTTTCAATTTTTTTTGCAAAATGTATTGAGAATGAAATACAGAAATATCTCATTTACATAAGTATTCACACCCCTGAGTCAATACATGTTAGAATCACCTTTGGCTGCGATTACAGCAGTGAATCTTTCTGGGTAAGTCTCTAAGAGTTTTGCACACCTGGATTGTACAATATTATTATTTAAAAAATTCTTCAAGCTCTGTCAAGTTGGTTGTTGATCATTGTTAGACAGCCATTTCAAGTCTTGACATACATTTTCAAGCCAATTTGTCAAAGCTTTAACTAGGCCACTCAGGAACATTCAATGTCGTCTTGATAAGCAACCTTGTGTTTTAGGTTATTGTTGAAAGGTGAATTTGTCTCCCAGTGTCTGGTGGGAAGCAGACTGAACCAGGTTTTCCTCTAGGATTTTGCCTGTGCTTAGCTCCATTCCGTTTCTTTTTTATCCTGAAAAACTCCCCAGTCCTTAATGATTACAAGCATACCCATAACATGATGCAACCATCACTATGCTAAAAAATATGGAGAGTGGTACTGAGTAATGTACTGTATTGGATTTGCACCAAACATAACACTTTGTAATAAGGACCAAAAGTTAATTGCTTTGCCACATTTTTTGCAGTATTACTTTAGTGCCTTGTTGCAAACAGGATGCATGTTTTGGAATATTTTCATTCTGTACAGGCTTCCTTCTTTTCACTCTGTTAATTAGGTTAGTATTGTGGAGTAACTACAATGGTGTTGATCCATCCTCAGTTTTCTCCTATCACAGCCATTAAACTCTGTAACTGTTTTAAAGTAATTATTGGCCTCATCCCTGAGCGGTTTTCTTCCTCTCCAGCAACTGTGTTAGGAAGGACAACTGTATCTTTGCAGTGACTGGGTGGATTGATACACCATCCAAAGTGTAATAAATAACTTCACCATGCTCAAAGGGATATTCAATGTCTGCTTTTTTATTTTTGACCCATCTACCCTTATTTGCGAGGCATTGGAAAACCTCCCTGGTCTTTGTGGTTGAATCTGTGTTTGAAATTCACTGCTCGACTGAGGGAACTTAAATATAATTGTATGTGTGGGGTACAGTGTCAGCGTCTCGGTGAAGTGGGGAAATGGAATCAGGCGCAGGACACAGAACTGAGAGATAAATGGCTTTACTAGACTCAAAGTAAACCATAGCAAACCCTCCACGCAGGGAAGAGCAAAACAACAGCTCAACAGACGACGTAACAAAGAACAATCACGCACACACCCAGGAGGGAAAACAGAAGTAATATAGGGAAACTAATAAGCCTAATGAGTAACAGGTGTGAAATATAAAGACAGAACTAGTGAGACACAGAAACATCGATCGGTGGCAGCTAGTACTCCGGTGACGACGACCGCTGAAGCCTGCCCGAGCGAGGAGGAGGGGCAGCCACGGCCGTATCCGTGACAGTACCCCCCCCCCCCCTGACGCGCGGCTCCAGCCGTGCGTCGACACCGGCCTCGGGGACGGCCAGGAGGACGCGGAGCAGGGTGAGTCGGATGACGACGATGGAACTCCCTTAACAAGGAGGGATTGAGGATGTCCCTCCTGGGAACCCAGCTCCGTTCCTCCGGACCGTACCCCTCCCACTCCACGAGATACTGCAGGCCTCCAACCCGACGCCTCGAATCCATGATGGAACGGACCGAGTACGCTGGTGCCCCCTCAGTGTCCAATGGGGGCGGAGGAACCTCCCGCACCTCGGACTCCTGGAGCGGACCAGCTACCACCGGCCTGAGGAGAGACACATGGAACGAGGGGTTAATACGGTAATCAGGGGGGAGCTGTAACCTATAACAAACCTCGTTCAACCTCCTCAGAACTTTAAAGGGCCCCACAAACCACCGACCCAGCTTCCGGCAGGGCAGGCGAAGGGGCAGGTTTCGGGTCGAGAGCCAGACCCGGTCCCCCGGTGCATAAACCGGAGCCTCACTGCGGTGGTGGTCGGCACTCGCCTTCTGTCTCCTAATCGCCCTTTGCAGGCATACATGGGCAGCGTTCCTCCGAGCGCCGAAACCATTCATCCACCGCAGGAACCTCGATCTGGCTCTGATGCCACGGTGCCAGGACCGGCTGGTAACCTAGTACACACTGAAAAGGAGACAGGTCAGTGGAGGAGTGGCGGAGGGAATTTTGTGCCATCTCTGCCCAGGGGATGTAAACTGACCAATCCCCCTGCCGGTCCTGGCAATACGACCTCAGAAACCTACCCACATCCTGGTTTACTCTCTCATCCTGCTCATTACTCTCGGGGTGAAAACCTGAGGTCAGGTTGACCAAGACCCCCAGATGGTCCATAAACGCCTTCCAGACCCTCGACGTGAACTGGGTACCCCGATCAGACACTATATCCTCAGGCACCCCGTAGTGCCGGAAGACGTGTGTAAACAGGGCCTCTGCGGTCTGTAGGGCAGTAGGGAGACCAGGCAAAGGAATGAGACGACAGGACATAGAAAACCGATCCACAACGACCAGGATCGTGGTGTTACCCTGAGACGGAGGAAGATCCGTAACAAAGTCCACCGATAGGTGTGACCACGGCCGCTGTGGAACGGGAAGAGGTTGTAATTTACCTCTGGGCAGGTGTCTAGGTGCCTTGCACTGGGCACACACCGAACAGGAAGAAACATAAACCCTCACGTCCTGAGCTAAGGTAGGCCACCAATACTTCCCACTAAGACAGCGCACTGTCCGACCAATGCCAGGATGGCCAGAAGAGGATGACGTGTGAGCCCAATAAATCAAACGATCGCGAACCTCGGACGGAACGTACGCACGACCCACTGGACACTGGGGGGGAGTGGGCTCCATGCGTAATGCCCGCTCGATGTCCGCATCAACCTCCCATACCACCGGTGCCACCAGACAAGAAGCCGGAAGTATGGGAGTAGGCTCCCTGGTCCGATCCTCTGAGTCATGTAGCCGGGACAGAGCATCTGCCTTAGCATTCTGGGAACCTGGTCTATATGATAGGGTGAACACAAAACGCGTGAAAAACATGGCCCACCTTGCCTGACGAGGATTCAGTTCATTCGCTGAGACAGTACAGCTCCTATCCCCGCCTCGGACGCGTCCACCCCGACTATGAATTGCAAGGAAGGATCCGGATGAGCCAGCACGGGAGCCGTGGTGAACAGCGCCTTCAGCTGACCAAAAGCCCTGTTTGCCTCAGCTGACCACTGCAGGCGCACCGATCCGCCCTTTAGCAAAGAGGTTATGGGAGCTGCTACCTGGCCAAAGCCCCGGATAAATCTCCGGTAGTAGTTGGCAAAACCCAAAAATCGCTGCACCTCCTTTACCGTGGTAGGAGTCGGCCAATTACGCACGGCTGGAATGCGGTCACACTCCATCTCGACCCCTGACTCTGACAAGCGGTATCCTAAGAAGGAGACGGACTGTTTGAAGAACAGACATTTCTCAGCCTTAACGTACAGGTCATGCTCCAACAGTCTACCAAGCACCTTGCGCACCAGGGACACATGCTCGTCGCGTGTAGCGGAGTATATTAGAATATCATCTATATACACCACTACACCCTGTCCGTGCAGGTCCCTGAAAATCTCATCGACAAAGGATTGAAAGACTGAGGGAGCATTCATCAACCCGTACGGCATGATGAGTTACTCACAGTGACCAGAGGTGGTACTAAATGCCGTCTTCCACTTGTCCCCCTCCCGGATACGGATCAGATTGTACGCGCTCCTGAGGTCCAATTTTGTGAAGAAGCGCCCCCCGTGCAATGACTCCGTCATACTAGCAATGAGAGGAAGAGGTTAGCTGTATTTTACGGTTATCTGATTGAGACCTCGATAGTCAATGCACGGGCGTAAACCTCCATCCTTTTTCTTCACAAAAAAGAAACTTGAGGAGGCAGGGGAAGTGGAGGGCCGAATGTATCCCTGTCCCAGTGATTCGGTGACATATGTCTCCATAGCCACCGTCTCCTCCTGTGACAGAGGATACACGTGACTCCTGGGAAGTGCAGCGCCCTCACAGAGATCTATCGCACAATCCCCTCGTCGATGGGGTGGAAATTGAGTTGCCTTCTTTTTATAGAAGGCGAGAGCCAAATCGGCATATTCTGAGGGAATGTGCATTGGAGAGACATGGTTTGGACTCTCCACCGTGGTTGCCCCTACGGAAACACCTACACACCTTCCCGAGCACTGAGGTGACCATCCCTTAAGAGCCCTCTGTTGCCACGAAATACTGGGGTCATGGGTGGCTAGCCAGGGAAGGCCCAGCACCACGGGAGTATCAATAAGGAAGAGACTAATTCGCTCCTCATGACGCCCCCTGTGTCTCCATCCGAAGTGGAACTGTGACCTCCCTAACCATACCTGACCCTAATGGGCGACTATCTAGGGCACGTATGGGGAAGGGCACATCTAAAGGCAATATAGGAATCCCTAATCTATGCGCAACCAGTCTATCCATGAAATTCCCAGCTGCGCCGGAATCTACGAGCGCCCTATGCTGGGAAAAAAATTACATTTATCATCATGTGAGCAACAGGGAGCTCTGGGTGTGTTGGGTGCCTACTCACCTGGGATGGTCCCCCAGAACCCTGCCTGCTGCCTCGATTCCATGAGGGTCTTCTCCTGCACCGGCCCGCAGTGTGTCCTCTGCGGCCACAGTTGGTGCAGGAGACCACCCCCTTGCTCGTTCTCTCCGCATCAGCACTTCCAAGCTCCATAGGTGTGGACTCGGAAGGGCTGGGGGATGGACTGGACGGACCCTGATCTGGACGTCCGCGGGTAGCCAACAGGTTATCCAGCCGGATCGATAAATCTACCAGCTGGTCCAGGTTAAGATTAGTGTCCCTGCAGGCCAGCTCCCGATGAACGTCCTCCCGTAGACTGCATCGGTAGTGATCAATCAGGGCCCTCTCGTTCCATCCCGCGCTGGCTGCCAGTGTCCTGAAATCCAGGGCGAATTCCTGTGCGCTCCTCCCTCCCTGGCTGAGGTGAAACAGACGCTCCCCCGCCGCTCTCCCCTCAGGCGGATGATCGAATACAGCCCGGAAACGGCGGGTAAAATCCTCATAACGAACGGACTCAGCGTCTATTCCACCCCACTCCGCGTTGGCCCATTCCAGGGCTCTGCCCTACAGACAGGAGATGAGGGCGGACACGCTCTCGTATCCCGAGGGAGCCGGGTGGATGGTGGCCAGGTAAAGCTCCACCTGGAGCAGGAAACCCTTACACCCAGCAGCTGTCCCATCGTATTCCCTCGGGAGCGAGAGCCGAATACCACTGGACCCAGGGTTTGAGGGTCTTGATGGAGGAGAAATCGGCGAAGGAGGAGGTGTAGAAAACCCAACTCTCTCCCATCGACCCATGGTGTTGATCACTTGATCCAGAGCTGAACCTAGTCTCTGCAGCATGGTCGCGTGCTGGTGGATGCGTTCCTCCACCGAAGCGCTGGGATCGGGTGTGCCTGCTGACTCCATAAAGGGTGCGTGATTCTGTCAGCGTCTGGGTGAAGTGGGGAAACGGAATCAGGCGCAGGACACAGAACTGAGAGATAAATGGCTTTCCTAGACTCAAAGTAAACCATAGCAAACCCTCCACGCAGGGAAGAGCAAAACAACAGCTCAACAGACGACGTAACAAAGAACAATCACGCACACACCCAGGAGGGAAAACAGAGGTAATATAGGTAAACTAATAAGCCTAATGAGTAACAGGTGTGAGAAATAAAGACAGAACTAGTGAGACACAGAAACATCGATCGGTGGCAGCTAGTACTCCGGTGACGACGACCGCCGAAGCCTGCCCGAACGAGGAGGGGCAGCCTCGGCCGTATCCGTGACATACAGAGATGAGGTAGTCGTTCAAAAATCACGTTAAACACTATTATTGCACACAGAGTCCATGTTATTATGTGACTTGTTAAGCAATGTTTTACTCCTGAACTTATTTAGGCTTGCCATAACGAAGGGGTTGAATATTTACTGACTCAAGTCATTTCAGCTTTTCATTCTTAATTAATTAGTTTAAAAAAGAAAATTCAAACATAATTCCACTTTGACATTATGGGGTATTGTGTGTCGGCCAGCGACACAACATTTCAATTTAATCAATTTTAAATTCAGGCTGTTAAAGCAACAATATTTGGAAAAAGTCAAGGGGTGTGAATACTTTCTGAAGGCACTGTATATTGCACACGAAGCAGGCCTACACCCATGTCTTAAATCAAAAGCAGTGCTCTAACAGTGGGTTGTTTTGAGGAAAGAGAAAGGCACAGTGGGAGAGCAGAGGAAGCAATCCATCTGAATCAATCACAACACTACTCTCTTTCTCTCTTCCTCTCTCAGTCCTGCTCTCTTTCACTCCTTTTCCATCTCTCTCTCTCTCTGCCCTCTTTTGTTTGTCTCTTTCCCTCTCTTCTGGGGTAGCCCAGAACTCTGTCCGGTGGCAGGGAAGGAAAGGGTTAATCCTTCATTCCTTACTGTACTTTGGCAGTGTCCCAAATGCCACCCTAGTGTAGGCCCCATAGGGCTTTGGTCAAAAGGGAATAGTGTGCCATTTGGGACACACACAGCCTTTGTGTGGAAAACAACAAGTCTCTACACTGAGCGTACGGCCCCCTCCGTGCCACACTAAGTATGTCAGCAATGCAAAGACTGGCTGCTATGAGGAATAACCGGATTTCACTCCAGCAGGATTTGTGTGTGTGTGTGTGTGTGTGTGTGTGTACTGTGTGTGTCTGTGTGTGTGTACGTGCTTGTGACTGTGTCTGTGACTGTGTCTCCACTCTCTCAATCTCTCTCTCTCTCTCTCTCTCTCTCTGTCTCTCTCTCTGCTGAGGGTATAGGCTGCCCAGCAAACCAAAATTGGTTCTGTGAAAGTTCCCAGAACATTTGTTAGGTCGAGGCAAATGTTGTCATAACACCAAAACTTTCCAGTCGTGCTGATGATTATAGAATGGTTGTCTAAAACATTTGCCTGATGTTGCAAGAACGTTCCTAGAACACATTACAAAGTTCTTTAAAAGGTTCCCATAATATTTCATTAGGTTGTGGGAACAGTCTTGTGGGAACATTATGGGAACATCACAAAAGATATGTTCCCAAAACCCAAAAACTGTCCAGTTGTGCGGATGATTCTACAATATTTATTTTAGGGTGCAAAAAAAACATTCACCTGATGTTACAAGAATGTTCACAGAACACATGTTGTTTGTTCTTTAAAAGTACACATAATGTTTCTTTAGGCTGTGGGAACATTGTGGGGATATGATAAGTGATAGGTTCCCAAAACACTAAAACTGTCCAGTTGTGTTGACATTCAGATAATGTTTGTATTAAGGTGCACAAAACAGTCCTTTGATGTTGTAAGAATTTGTTGACAGAACACCAGGTCTAAGTTCTTTAAAGGTTCCCAGAACATTTAATTAAGTATGGGAGTTGTCTGGGATGTTGTAAGAATATTATTGTGATATTCACATAGGTTGCACAGAACATTCCCACATCGTTGCAAAATGTTCCACAATTTCCAAATAAGTCAGTTTTTATGACGTCAGCGCATTTGTGTGTCAACGAAGGAATAAACTCTGCATTCGGTGATTACCCTCCTGCGCCTGACTCCTTTCATCACACTCATCACAGAATCACCCACCTGCTATGGAGTCAGCGGGAGAAGAGCGCATGCCTGGAGTCGTGGCACAGGTCCAAGAGCATTCCACGATCCTGGCCAGCTTGGGGGAAGCGATGGATCGGGTTCTTCAGGTCGTCCAATGCCTGGAGAGGAGAGGACCCAATCTGTCTAGACCAGCTGGCCAACCGGATCCAGCCACCTACACCCCAGCACCCGGAGGGATCCAGATATCCCGACCACGGGGGTTTGATGGGACGGCGGCGCTGTGCCAGGGATTCCTCCTTCAAATGGAGCTGTACTTCTCCAGCATCAGGCCGGCGCCATCGGAGCGTGAGAAGGTGTCCATCCTTGTTTCCTGTCTCTGTGGGAAAGCCCTGGAGTGGGCCAACACGGTGTGGAACAAAGGAGGTGCCGCGTTGGAGGACCACGGGGAGTTCGCTCGCCTCTTTCGGGCGGTCTTCGATCGTGCAAGGAGACGATTAAATTTAGTTATCCTCTCCCCCTCATTCCTTCAGTGATTGAGTCAATGCATGGGGCGCGCTTCTTTACTAAGCTAGATCTCAGGAGTGCATACAACCTGGTGCGTGTTCGGGAGGGGGATGAGTGGAAGACTGCATTCAGCACAACCACGGTGCATTATGAATACCTGGTGATGCCCTACGGTTTGATGAATGCTCCATCCGTCTTCCAGTCCTTTGTGAACGAGGTGTTTCGGGATATGCTTGGTCGCGGTGTGGTGGTCTACATCGATGACATCCTGGTATATTCCGCTACTCGCGCCGAGCATGTGTCCCTGGTTCGCAAAGTGCTGGCCCGACTGTTGGAAAATGACCTTCATGCCAAGGCAGAGAAGTGTATGTTTTTCCAGCAGTCCGTCTCCTTCCTCGGATACCGCATTACCACCTCAGGTGTGGAGATGGAGGGAGATCGCATTTCAGCCCTGAGTAATTGGCCGACTCCAACCACGGTTAAGGAGGTGCAGCGCTTCCTTCCGGAGGTTTATCTGGGGCTTTGGCAAGGTTGCAGCTCCCATTACATCCCTGTTGAAGGGTGGGCCGTCCCGGCTCCGCTGGTCGGCTGAGGCTGAACTGGCCTTCAGGAGACTGCGGGGTCTGTTCACCTCAGCTCCGGTACTGGCCCACCCCGATCCATCACTACCGTTCGTAGTGGAGGTGGATGCATCCGAGGTAGGGATAGGCGCTGTCCTGTCCCAACGCTCGGTCACACCACCCAAGCTCCACCCCTGTGCCTTCTTCTCTAAGAAGCTCAGCCCGGCGGAGCAGAACTACGACGTTGGTGATCGGGAACTGTTGGCTGTTGTCCGAGCTTTGACCGTGTGGAGGCATTGGCTCGAAGGGGCGAAACACCCTTTCTTCGTCTGGACGTACCACCATAACCTGGAGTACATCCGGGCAGCGAGGAGGCTGAATCCTCGCCAGGCCAGGTGGGCCCTATTCTTCACCCGGTTTGATTTTACACTGTCATACATTCTGGGTATGAAAAACGTGAAGGCAGACGCACTGTCCCGGCTGTATGACACAGAGGAGAGGCCCAGAGACAACACCCCCATACTCCCAGCCTCCTGCATTGTGGCGCCGGTAGTATGGGCGATGGACGCGGATATAGAGCAGGCATTACGCACAGATCCATCTCCACCGCAGTGTCCAGCTGGGCTGCGGTATATGCCTGCTCTTATCCGTGATCGTCTGATCTTCTGGGCACACATGTCACCCTCCTCTGGTCACCCAGGTATCGGTCGTACAGTGCGCTGCTTGATCGGAAAGTACTGGTGGCCTACCTTGGCTAAGGACGTGAGGGTGTACGTCTCCTCCTGCTCGGTGTGCTCCCAGAGTAAGGCACCTAGGCACCTCCCAGCGGGTAAGCTACAACCTTTATCAGTTCCACAACTCCCATGGTCTCACCTTAGTATAGATTTTTTAACTGATCTTCCCCTCTCCCATGGTAACACCACCATCCTGGTCGTTGTGGACCGCTTCTCCAAGTCCTGCCGCCTCCTTCCTCTGCCCGGTCTCCCCACGGCCCTGCAGACTGCGGAGGCCCTGTTTACTCACGTCTTCCAGCACTACGGGGTGCCAGAGGATATAGTGTCCGACCGAGGTTCCCAGTTCACGTCCAAGGTTTGGAAGGTGTTCATGGAACATCTGGGGGTCTCGGTCAGCCTGACCTCTGGGTTCCACCCCGAGTCAAATGGGCAGGTGGAACGGGTAAATCAGGATATGGGTAGGTTCCTGCGGTCCTACTGCCAGGACTGGCCGGGGGAGTGGTCGGTGTTCTTGTCATAGGCAGAATATGCCCAGAACTCTCTGCGCCACTCCTCTACTAACCTAACACCATTCCAATGTGTTTTAGGTTACCAACCGGTTCTGGCACTGTGGCACCAGAGCCAGACCGAGGCTCCTGCGCCTGACTCCTTTCATCACACTCATCACACATTCTCAGCATGCAAATTTGTACCTATTTTCTTGCAACATGAGGCAAATATTTTATACAAACATTGTATAATCATCAGCACGACTAGAAAGTATCTGTGTTATGAGAACATTTGACACAACCTAACAAATGTTCTGGGAACTTTCACAGAACCAATTTTGGTTTGCTGGAAAAACATTACTGGTACATTGTGTTATTACATTACCTGGAAACCTAATGAGAACTTTTGGGAATGTTCTGTAGTCGTTGTTACAGATGTTGTGCACAACATTTTAGTGAATGTTAGGAGACCATTCTAAGGATATTTAATTTAAGACATGGGGGAAAAAATGATTTTGCTATGGGGGAAAAAATGATTTTGCTATCATCCTAACATTAGATAAAACCCTAACTACAACTTCATGGAAATCTTAGCTAATGTTCTGGGAATGTTCCGGTTTGCTGGGTAGGATAATCCTCTCCTAGGCCCTAAGTAATGTTTTGTTTCTGATCTACTATTTAACTTAAAATCAAATCAAATTGTATTTGCCACATGCGCCGAATAAAACAGGTGTAGACATTACAGTGAAATACTTACTTACAAGCCCTTAACCAACAATGCAAAGTAAAACAAATAAAAAAAAGTGTTAAGCAAAAAAAATTAAAGCAAATAACTAAAGAGCAGCAGTAAAATAATATAACAGTAGGGAGGCTATATACAGGGGGGTACCGGTGCAGAGTCAATGTGCTGGGGCACCGGCTAGTTGAGGTAATTGCGGTAATATGTACATGTGGGTAGAGTTAAAGTGACTATGCATAAATAATAAACAGAGTAGCAGCAGAGTAAAAAAGGGGGACGGGGTGGGGGTGGGGGGGCAGTGCAAATTGTCCGGGTAGCCATGATTAGCTGTTCAGGAGTCTTATGGCTTGGGGGTAGAAGCTGTTGAGAAGCCTTTTGGACCTAGACTTGGCGCTCCGGTACCGCTTGCCGTGCGGTAGCAGAGAGAACAGTCTATGACTAGGGTGGCTGGAGTCTTTTACAATTTTGAGGGCCTTCCTCTGACACCGCCTGGTATAGAGGTCCTGGATAGCAGGAAGCTTGGCCCCAGTGATGTACTGGGCCGTACGCACTACCCTCTGTAGTGCCTTGCGGTCAGAGGCCGAGCAGTTGCCATACCAGGCGGTGATGCAACAAGTCAGGATGCTCTCGATGGTGCAGCTGTATAACTTTTTGAGGATCTGAGGACCCATGCCAAATGTTTTCAGTCTCCTGAGGGGGAATAGGCTTTGTCGTGCCCTCTTCACGACTGTCTTGGTGTGTTTGGACCATGATAGTTCGTTGGTGATGTGGACACCAAGGAACTTGAAGCTCTCAACCTGTTCCACTACAGCCCTGTCGATGAGAATGGGGGCGTGCTCAGTCCTCTTTTTTTCCCTGTAGTCCACAATCATCTCCTTTGTCTTGATCACGTTGAGGGAGAGGTTGTTATCCTGGCACCACACGGCCAGGTCTCTGACCTCCTCCCTATAGGCTGTTTCACCACTGTTGTGTCGTCTGCAAACTTAATGAAGGTTTTGGAGTCGTGCCTGGCCATCCAGTCATGGGTGAACAGGGAGTACAGGAGGGGACTGAGCACGCACCCCTGAGGGGCCCCCGTGTTGAGGATCAGCATGGCAGATGTGTTGTTACTTACCCTTACCACCTGGGGGCAGCCTGTCAGGAATTCCAGGATCCAGTTGCAGAGGGAGGTGTTTAGTCCCAGGATCCTTAGTTTAGTGATGAGCTTTGAGGGCACTATGGTGTTGAACGCTGAGCTGTAGTCAATGAATAGCATTCTCACGTAGGTGTTCCTCTTGTCTAGGTGGGAAAGGGCAGTGTGGAGTGCAATAGAGATTGCATAATCTGTGGATCTGTTGGGGCGGTATGCAATTTGGAGTGGGTCTAGGGTTTCTGGGATAATGGTGTTGATGTGAGGCATGACCAGCCTTTCAAAGCACTTCATGGCTACAGACGTGAGTGCTACGGGTCGGTAGTCATTTAGGCAGGTTATCTTAGTGTCCTTCTGCACAGGGACTATGGTGGTCTGCTTGAAACATGTTGGTATTACAGACTCAGTCAGGGACATGTTGAAAATGTCAGTGAAGACACTTGCCAGTTGGTCAGCACATGCTCGGAGTAGACGTCCTGGTAATCCGTCTGGCCCTGCGGCCTTGTGAATGTTGACCTGCTTAAAAGTATTACTCACATCGGCTATGGAGAGCGTGATCACAGTCATCAGTGTTGCTTGCCTCGAAGCGAGCATAGAAGTGATTTAGCTCGTCTGGTAGGCTTGTGTCACTGGGCAGCTTGCGGCTGTGCTTCCCTTTGTAGTCTGTAATAGTTTTCAAGGCCTGCCACATCCGACGAGCGTCAGAGCCGATGTAGTACAATTCAATCTTAGTCCTGTATTGACTCTTTGCCTGTTTGATGGTTCGTCGGAGGGCATAGCGGGATTTCTTATAAGCTTCCGGGTTAGAGTCCCGCTCCTTGAAAGCGGCAGCTCTAGCCTTTAGCTCAGTGCGGATGTTGCCTGTAATCCATGGCTTCTGGTTGGGGTATGGTCACTGTGGGGACGACGTCATCGATGCACTTATTGATGAAGCCAGTGATTGATGTGGCGTACTCCTCAATGCTATCTGAAGAATCCCAGAACATATTCCAGTCTGTGCTAGCAAAACAGTCCTGTAGCTTAGCATCTGCGTCATCTGAACACTTTTTTATTAACCGAGTCACTGGTGCTTCCTGCTTTAGTTTTTGCTTATAAGCAGGAATCAGGAGGATAGTTATGGTCAAATTTGCCAAATGGAGGGTGAGGGAGAGCTTTGTATGCGTCTCTGTGTGTGGAGTAAAGGTGGTCTAGAGTTTTTTTTCCTGTGGTTGCACATTTAACATGCTGGTAGAAATTAGGTAGAACGGATTTAAGTTTCCCTGCATTAAAGTCCCCGGCCACTAGGAGCGCTGCCTCTGGATGAGCGTTTTCCTGTTTACTTATGGCCTTATACAGCTCATTGAGTGCAGTCTTAGTGCCAGCATTGGTTTGTGGTGGTATATAGACAGCTACGAAAAATATAGAAGAAAACTCTTGGTAAATAGTGTGGTCTACAGCTTATCATGAGATACTCTACCTCAGGCGAGTAAAACCTTGAGACTTCCTTAGTATTAGATTTTTTGCACCAGCTGTTGTTTACAAATATACACAGATCGCCACCCCTTGTCTTACCGGAGTCAGCCGTTTTATCCTGACGATGTAGCGTATATCCCGCCAGCTGTATGTTATTAATGTCGTCGTTCAGCCACGACTCGGTGAAACATAAGATATTACAGTTTTTAATGTCCTGTTGGTAGGATAACCGTAATCTTAGGTCGTCTACCTTATTTTCAAATGATTGAACATTGGCTAATAGGATTGATGGAAGAGGCAGTTTACTTGCTCGCCGTTGGATCCTTACAAGGCACCCCAACCTACGTCCACGATATCTCCGTCTCTTTCTCATGCGAATGACAGGGATTTGGGCCTTGTCGGGTGTCTGTAGGATATCCTTCGCGTCTGTGAGTAATCGCTGTCCTGATATCCAGAAGCTCTTTATGGTCATAACAGACGGTGGCAGAAACATTATGTACAGAATTGCTGTAAAAACTTGTGGTCAATGTTGGGAGTTGCTCTTGCACGCCAAGGTTGATAACAGTTCCCTATTAATTGAATGATTAGCTTGTGAATCAATGTGTTGTTTCATGTTTGCTAGACACTGTATCGATGTCCTACAGAAGTCGCTGTATTATACGATAAATGATTTGAGCCTCACACACACATACACACACTTGCGAACACAATGCCACATGCTGATGAGCAACCCTAAAGGTATGAGGTAGTGGCTGGAGCACAATGGACAGTGTTGACACAGTCAGTCTGTTGTTCTGTCATTGGTATCTGACAGCACACTCCTGCCTGTATGGGCAGGACACACCCACCTCAACTCTCAGGATATGACTGAATATCTGACAATGAATGACTGACACACACCTGATTTACAGGACACACAAGCGTATGTCCACCTATAACCTACAATGTCATTTTATGAGAGCTTATAAGAGAGTGAGGGAGAGCATGTGTCTGCCTACCTCTATGCATAATAAACACAGGACTTCAACAGGACCTACACTAGGATAGGGGAACCCAAAGCAACTCCCTGAGGGGTTATGTGAAGTCAGGGGAAGTTCCCACTAGGTTAGGAAACCCTGTTTCTGGGCTCATCTATGCCACATAAGAGAAGGCAAACCACCACAAATAACAGACCCCCCCCCCCACACACACACTCCAACAATGCAGGGAGGCCACAGGGCAGCAGCAGAGTTGACATAATAAGGAAGTGAGGCCTGCTGGGCGGACACAGCCTGGGCAGGGAGGGAGAAGCTAGGACAGGACAGTCAGGGTACAGACAGGGCAGGGAGAAGTAGGTACCCACCCAGACTAACCCCCCAGCCATCCCTGCCCTGTCTTGCCATAACTAGGGCCAGGAGTTTTTTTCCCCCAGACCACCTGACCTGCCGATACATCCTAGACAGGTGACGGGAGATTTAGTCTGAAGAGAGTATGATGGCCTTGAGCTAGACACTTTTCAAACGCCTCTCAATTTCAACATGCACATTATGTCTAAAGAAACATACATTTACAAACGGTCATTGGAGTGTTTGCTGAGAAAGGAAAGTGTATCACTTCTATAAGGGGGCTTTCGAACCAAATTGGTCTGGAGTGGTTTTTACAGCTCTGGTACATTTTCCTCCTTAGTTCAGTTCGTTTGGACTGGTGTGAACACTCCGTCAGCACTCGGGAGCACACTAAACAAAGAACCGTTGTTCACTCAAAAAAGGTGGTCTCGGTCCGATTCCATTTGTACCGTGCTGCACGGTATTCCGAAACGTCTGTACTTTTTCTATACTAGAACATGAACAATGAATTTTTTTAATTTTCGGAATTTCTGTCAAATGTGTCTCACGGATCAACACTGTCTATCAGCGCAGCCGATTTCCCCCTTATAGCGCGAAAGCACTGTGCTTGCTCCACTTAGCCTGCACTGATAGTCTGGACTGCATCTTGTTAGCTCCCCACTCATGCTGCACAGAAGTTAACACACTTGAATAATGCGAAACAGCATGTAAAAATGTTGAAACTGTTAATTATCTATTGCCTTAGTGTACTGACTCCGGGCCACCTCCTTCTTGCCTGGTGAATGAGGTCATTACTGGGTAAAGACACAGTGCACACTTTTATCAAATAAGCGACTCCTATGCGAATTTTATTTATCAGTACAATAAAATAAGTCCCAAATGGAAGGGAAACAGATTGTTCTGTTCATCTGTATCCCCATGAAATCAGCCAAAACAAGCTCAATAACTCAATGCATGAACACATTTCTATTGATTATCTGCATTTATGTGAATAGGCCTAGGCTACATGTTGACTTACCCAGTTTATCAATAGAGATTTACCATTCAAATAAAGAATTACCATTATGTTATGTAGTTAGATTGTAAAAACAAAGTCAAATTGAGTGTATGATTGTATAATTGGTTCATTATTGCATGCATGGCTGTTTGTGAAAAATGTTGACGCGAAAAATGTGAAATGTAATGATATTGAACTCAAAAGATGCCCAACGATTGAACAGAGCAGTAGCTGAGTTTATCTGTCTGGATCAAGTGCCATTCTGTGACTTTGGTTAATATGCCTTCTTTTTTTGCAGCGGTATCGTTTTGGTATTGAGTATTGTGATGGTATCGAGAACTGTGATACTTAACCTGGTATCGAAGTCCAAATTCTGGTATCGTGACAACACTAATAGGCTACTGAATATAGCTTATTCACGTCACAGTTAGAGCGGATATTGAGCTGTTTCCTCCCGCATGTTGTTGGAAGACCAAAGTGAAAGTAATATGAAGTTTGGGACACACAAGTTACGCTTCTTCATAATCATAGATGGATTTAACATAAGCATTTATTTCCAATAAACAGATGATTCATGGTTTTGTTTAGGCATTCTAGTTCATTTGACATTTGCCAATGTGAAACCAACCAGACCAAATGAAAAAAATACAATGTAACAAATAACCAAACTTTGATTCGAACTATAGCTCAGAACTGTGTACAAACGCAGAAATACACAGTATCCAACCACCCACAGGAGGGCCAGCCTTAACACACTGAAGCTAAGCCTTGAGTCTCCACACAATCATCCACTCCTGATTGACAGCTGACTGCCTTTGTTTAGCCACCAGTGTTAAACAAACAAACAAAGCTAAATCTCACCAGAAATGTGTGTGAGTGCAACAGATAAATATAATCTCTAGCCCACACAACAACAACAACAACAACAACTAGCTCTCATCTCAACCCCGCGGCTACAGCCAGACAGCACAATGAAAAACATTTGGGAAAGGGATTTAATCTGCGTTGAGAGAAAACAAAAGTCTGATTTAATTGAATGGAGTTAATGTAAGTATTTTTTATTTTATGTGAGTGTTTTCCTAAGGGATGAGCAGAAGACAGACGGTCCGTGTGGAATTGAATCTGCTCATTTAGAAATGAACGTGACTAATTTAATCATAAAAGTATTTAATTTAGTGGAGATGAGTTTGAAAACGTTTCGCTCTCCTTCTCTCTACGTATTCAGTTTTTCTTAAATTGGCCTATTCTGATTCCTGGAAATGATGTGGCATAATAACTTGCAAAGGTGAGGGAATACCATTTCAATATGTAAAATTCATATGAAAAATTCCTTGACAATATTCATATCAAGATCAATCTGGTGACAATATTGATAAATTCAACATAGCTTATCGTCTTTGCCTGACACTTGACCAAGAATGGCATCTGTGAGTTTACAACATGTTTAGCTTTAACATGCTTACTTAATGTCACTGATAAGACTGCTGGCAGTCATCATCCTTGACACTACACTCATATCTCTGGATATCATCAGATCAGGGTTATTTAGCCCATATCAGTTAGAAAACAGGTTTTCACAACTGAAAACTCTTGACAAATGCAGAGCATAAAACACAGCTAAAGACTAGCGAGCAAAGAAAGGCCAGAGTAAAGATTTTCGCCACAGTAAGGCCTTTGACTCGATCATTTCTCAAAGTTCAGTCAATACAAATAATACATTCATTATTCGATGGAGACACTTGGCGAATGATCATGCGTCTCATCAATATCAAACAACATGGCGCTCTGACTATAAATAATCAAATAAGTTCCAGTGATTTTCAGTTCCTAAATAACGCTACATAATTCAGAGAAAGATGAACAAAAAAATCTATATAATTACCGTTTCTGCCGTTCTACTAATTTCTCTGTGTTGTGTTTGAGAAATTCAAATCCAGTGTCGGAATACCCCTGCCAAAACATCTGAGACGGAAGGCCCAGATGGTTTGGGCATAGACATAATGTTAATGAGTGGGGTAACGCTGAGGCAAACCTGTCAACTTACTGTTGATGTGGTCGATGTAGTAGATGCCAATCTGAGGGTCGTATGAGGCCTCCCATCCCCACGGTAACTCGTCTCCCACACAGTCCGCAAACGACAGGGGCTTCGTCAACCTGAGAGAGAGAGAGAGAGAGAGAGAGGGAGAGAGAGAGAGAGAAAAACGTACAGTATCTATACACAGAAACACATGAAACGTAAAGCTAGTGCATATCGTAAACAATATATAAACTACATAATGTGGTTCATTCATATAAAAAGAAGAGTAAGAAGAAAAGCCATAAAGGAATCATCCATTACTACAATGCTGGTTTATAGTGACTTCCGTCAGAGGCCATAGACTGTCTATAACTTTTCATGTGAAAGACCTAGTGACCTTAGAAACTAGAGTCCAAAAAGACAAGCCACTAAACAACAACAACACACACCACTGGAGCATCCAGCAGTAACAGCAACACATTCCTGAGTGACCAAAGTCTAAAGCTGCCGGCGTGGTACCACTCACTCAGCCAAGGCCCTTTCTGTTACTGTGTGGCTGGCTGTGGGCTGGGGGAAGTCTGGCTAGACAGGGAGAGAGAAGGGACACTAAACCACTGTGCCTTCTATTTGGGATGCGTTGCCCAAGGACTGGCTGGGTGGCTGCCTGAACATTGTTCCCGCACTCCTTTCTACTGGTAGTTTGGATGACTTGGCTCATGCAGACACTAGACTAGAGACAGCCAAGTTCACTGGCAGGGTCATGACAAGATGGGGGTGGGGAACGGGTGTAGGAGTGAGAGGGAGAGAGTGGTTTTGGAAGAATGTGTTGCATCTTTGAAACTCCTAAATCTGTTTGAGAAACTGGGACCGAATCTATATCGGATAAGTCTAAGACTGTGGGCAATGGGTATTCACTTGGAGTTTAAGCCAAGACAGCATGCCGCCCCGCGTACTTCACTGTGTTTATTCAGTGCACTCTCACTCTAAGATACACAAACGCTAATGCAAACAAACAGGTGCACCCACACACACACACACACACAGGCCATCTCTACTGGCCTGGGCGGCTGTCAGTCTGGTATGCACGCTCCCTCTCGGCTGTAAACGTTAAAAATTAGACAGGCGGTATTCCTGGTATGCCCCCTCGGCTGGGCCGGCCAACTATCGCACTCCGTACACCACCGACGACCTTTGAACTCAGAAGCCAGTCTCTGGACTCGTCTGCTATCCTCGCACTGTCCTCCTATAGGTATTGGCCTACTATAACGATTACCTACAGTTATTACTCTGCTACTAGTTTAGCATCAGTGTGGCTGTTCAACTGAAGAATGAATGCATGAATCAAGCGTTTGACGAGCTAAAACCTCCACACTATCAGTAGACCAATCACTAACATCACACTGATCAAACCAACACTTTACTGTTTGGACACAGGCCCAACACCGAGAAATGTCCTCATACAACACTCAGTGAGGTCAGCAGCAACACTAAGCAATGTCAAAATAGAGACAGTACTGAAGTGACAGGATAGGGACCGCCCTCCTCCCTCTCCACTATGGTGTGACTATTGAGACATCTTCTGACAGGTAGTCTGCCCCTCAGTGTGTGTGTGTGTGTACCACATTCCAGAAATTGATAACTCACTCGCACCTTGGCTACCCCCCCCCACCCCGCAATGAGATGTCCTCACCTCACCCAACTGCCATGTCACACATTCACCATATCACCATACACACATCCTCATTGTGCTCTGAACCCTCTCACACACACAATGCCCAGCCCAACACCTCCCTCAGCCCCATACATCACCTCGGGGGGCACCTCTTCTCCCTGCACAATAACAAAGACTGTTAAAAATGACATCATGTCCAAAATGTCCAAAAGAGAGAAAAGTGTTAATCTGGCCCTGCACACATCTGAGGACAAATCATTGAGATTGCCAGCCACACAGTCGGCGGTGGGACACAAAGACCTGGACTGGAGCTTGTTGCTGCGGCTGAGATAAGATATCTGACTGGCTAGCACCTTTTGATGCGTCCCGACCAACAGAAGGAGCCAAACATCACCACTACAGAGTGGAGTGTGTGTGTGTGT